CTTAGTAGACAAGTAACTAGCAACATTATTAACTGCTTTTAGGGAAAGTGATGATGTTTTTTAGAAAGGAAGAATAAGAAGAGTAGGCACATTTTCTGAGTATCTGTGATATGTCAGGCATTGTGCAAGGTAATTTGTGTACATGGGGTGAAATAAATGTATGTTAGTATTCTGGTAAGCTTTAAGTTAAATAGCTAATCTACATCAGGACTTCTGAGTCCTGCCACTATTTTTGTGCTACATCATTCGTTGTTTTGGGAGGTTATCTTAGGCTTTGTAGGACGTTTATCAGTATCATTGGCCTCCGTCCAGTAAATGCTAGTAGCTCCCTGCCTTCCCCTTCTTCCCCACTTCAGTGTGACAGCCAAAATTGTCTCCAGAACTATTGTTTTACAGAATAATGTGAGATATTTAAGTGGAGGTGAAAAGTTCATGGTATTTTATGTATCCATTAAATATATTCTAAAAATGGCCCCCTTTATCTCTCTATTTTTATGTCTGAAAAGTTGAAAGACGTAATGACAGGCTTTTATGTTAAACTCAATCTTTTCCCCCAAAAGAAATCATACCTAGTATTAAAATATCCTAAGACTTAATTGTTAGAGATATTATCATTCATGAGTATGTATACGAATTCTCCAATATACCAGCGACTGGATTTTGTCAGTTCAAATATACTTATCTTCACTACTTGAGAATTTGGGCCCTTGTATTTGAATAAAAATGTGTTTCTCCCAAATGTTTTTTTTTTTTTTCTTTAACTCGCTTCCTTACTCCATTCATATGTCTGGAGTGTGGCGTTTACAGTTCTAGTCTATCAGATCTGTTAACTGAGCTCTGCATTCAAAAAGTAATATAGATGAGAATGGAAAAAAAAATCACCTCAATTTAAGGATTCATTAGCATTTAGCTACTAGCAGTGAAAACATGTCTATAAATGAGCAGAAGAATTCCATAGTCAAGATGATTTCATTTTAGCCCATTAAAAAAAAAGCAGTTCTCTGATATTCACTAATAGGATTGGTCCTATTGTAGATAGATTTGCTTTACAAAAACATATTCTATAGAGTCAATCTAAAAGTTTGTAATACTGAAATTATTTTGGACCCAAATACCATAGCAATCTTCCATCATTATATATTTTTTTAACTTAAATACTTCTGAATGTCCATGTAATTAAAGTCATAGGACAGAAAGCACTTTAAGATTCAATTTATCTGTCCTTTTGCCAGAAAGAGTTATATCTAAACTGTTGTGGCCAAATGGAAATAAATCCTATTTTAAAAGACCTCTAGAGACATCATAGTTGGCAACCAATTCATGGTTCAGTGATCTTTACTGTTAACTGCTTCTTTTCTAGACTTTCTTTAAGTTGTTCATGCTATTATTTAGGCCCATTATCATCTTTTCTTCTGGCCTTAGTAGTTATAAGGATTGGCCGTTCCTGGTACTTATTAGACCTAATCTGAAGACTTCTTACATATCTGTTCAACTAACTTATTTTCTTTAGATGAGAAAGGCCTTTTCCCCCAACCTCTGTATAATGTTCTTCCAAACATTTATCATCATTCTGACTGATACACATGTGTCCTGAATATGACAAGCAGATAGAAGATAAGAGGAATCTTCCTCCTTCCTTCACTTCCTTCCTGCCTCCCTCTTTTCTTTATTTCCTTTGTCCTTTCTTTTACTTCCTGTCTCTCTTAACTTCTTATTTATACCTGAAGATTACTTGCTGAGCAATGTATACTCTTAGTATACAAAAGATTTCAAAACAAAGACATAATTTGGAACTTTATGATATCACATTCAAAAGGAAGAAAGTCTTTTGTTCTAAGTGCTAGTGGCTGTGTGTGTGTGTGTGTGTGTGTGTGTGTGTGTGTGTGTGTGTGTTGTCTGTGTGAGAGAGAGATGGGGGATTCTTGTCAGAAATATACTGTTTTGATGTTTCAAAAAAGATGGATATTTTGTTCAAAATATAAAGATTTCAAGTCTGAAATAATTAAAATTGGTTTACCCTTAAAAAAATGATTGCAGTACTTTTTATTGCAAAAATAAATTTTTCAAGCAGCGTTACGTCTGTGTTATCACCTGTTAGTTTCCAAGTCTTTTTTAAACTACAGCTAAATATTCTTAAAATATTTTTAATATGAAGAATTCTTTAAAACTAGTTTATATATATGTATATAGTGATGATTTTGGTAGTAACGATTTTAGGTTAAATAATTATTTATGGCAGTTTAAATGTAAAATCAAATGTATTTTATATCCTATTGCATATACTTTACCATATACTTCATTTTCTACTGACTAACCAGTAGAAAAATTTGTACAGAGAGTTGGATATTGTCAGGCAGTCTAGAAGCCAGTCTATTGTGAACCATCGGTGACCTTGAGAAAGTTATTTAACAATATAGGTTTTATGTTTTCTTGTGCCAAAGAAGGTCAGACTGGTAAGCTCTAAGGTCACTTCCAGTGCCAACATCTTATAGGTTTATTAGAGACAGAAACAGACAGGCTTTTGCCCTCTCTTAGCAAGAGAAGGGACTTGGAAGAGAGGTACTTCCAACCTTAAAGCCAGAAAGGAATGAAGTTGAGAAGGGTTATAAGAAGCATAGGAGTGCAGCCTCCCATAAATGTTGAATGTTAGAAGCTAATGAATGAATGAGTTCCAAATTACTCTGCTTTTTTTTTTTTTTTTTTTTTTTTTTTCTAATTCTTTCTGCCATACCCAACAGGACAATAATTAAAATCTGCCTGTTTCATAGAAAGGACAATCCTCTCTGTATGGAAAGGAAATCTTTGACCTGACCTTTGGAGAAATGTAGAGAAAGTAAGAATATGGTGAAAACTTAAATAAATTCATATAATTTGTTCTTTAGCTGAGAACGTTAGGGATGGTAATTTTTTTTCAAGTGAGTACAAGGATTTTATGTAGTCAATATTAATGACTTCTATTTGTTTACTAAAAGTAAATGAAAGGAGGGTTAAATTCTGAACAGACAGGTTTTCCTTTAGATAAGAGGATTCATTTCTTGGTAATCATAGTTGTTAAAAGCTTAAATGACCATTCAAGATAGAGTACTTTCCAAATCTCTGCTGTTTGAGAAGCTTCTATGTTAGATAATGTTCTTAGATGACTTTTAAGATCCTTAATAGGCTATAAAATATTTTTCAGTTATCACCTGTCATTGATGTGATATGCATATTCATGAGCCTAAAGTTCTTAAACCCATTGGATTTTAATTAATAAAAGGATTCTACTCCTATGGGTTGACTGCTAGTAAAAACTGTGAGCAAGAAAAGGGTTATTTAAAATTTTTAAATTAGGTCCTTTCCAATAATTTTTTGATAATTATAAAAAATATTTTTTGTTTTTAATATATATTTTTGAAATGTTTTAGGAATTTTAAATTACTGAAAATGCATGAAAGTATTTAGGAATCATTTCTCAACTTTTCTGACTTTATATAAGGCTTTATTTTAACTGCTTCAGCCTAATGGGATCAAATTTTTTTTTCACAGATTAATCCAAAAGATAATCCTATAACTTTTTGTTTTCTCAAAGCAAAATTCTATTGTTACAGTTTGTCAGGTCCTCTCTTTTGTAATGCCTAAATGTTTCTTACTGTCCTTTAAAAGACATCATCTGTAAGGTACCAAAAACTGTAACCATGGTCTTTCCATTCTGTGTTTTTGAGTCTGGGTAGCATAATTGGTGATGCTATAGTAAACATTAAGTTTGTGTAAATGAGAAAGTTTCTTTTTAGCTTTTCTAACTTGAGTGAGTGAAAACTTGTGCTTAATTTGTTTTCTTTGGAATGAAAAATAAAGACATTATTTCACTCATGTTGAAGGAAATGTGGGAATTAAAAGCCTGTTTCTAAATTACCTTGAAATTTTGCACGTGGGACAAAAGTATGCAATATAAATTGTATCTTTGTGTTATAACTGTACTACTTAACAACAACCTTTAGCACTTATTTAAACTACAGGAATGTGTATCAAGTATAATTAATTTTGATTTGTTGAAAGCTATGGAAGTTATTTATTTGAGTAAAATATATTGTAGGTTTCTGCTGTGCTATTATGAAAAAGTTGTGCCTTTGACAGTAATTATATTTGCTTCTAAAACAGAAAGAAACAAAATAGCCATTTCCAAGATTTTAAATATATATTATTTGAGCTTTCTCTGTTAGGATGCCTAATGTTTCAACGTTTAAAACAGAAAATGTGATTATGATTTATAGATAAGATTATAGAGTTTTCTTGGTTCTCATAACTTATTCACTTTTTTCTATACATCATCTCAATTAAAAATTTGCAAGAATTTAAATGTAACACCTTTTTAAAGGCTTTTTATTCAATTTATGGTCATGGGGCAGCAAAACCTGGATGCTTGTTAGAAATGCAAAATCTCCAGTCACACCTTTAACCTGTAGCATAATCATTTGTATTTTAACCAGCTCTCAGGGTGACTTATGCTCATTTGAGTATGATAAGCACAGATTTCAATATCATTGAATATCATTGGCAGCATAAACCTTTTAAAAATTGAACTGATGATGGAGTTGTGGAATTTAACGTTCTTTTTTGTTTAAAATGCTCAATTTTTTATATCTGTATGGTTTTAGCATCTAAGATTTATAGTGTTTTTAAACCCATTACATATTAGTTCTCTAACCTGTAATCTGGTAGCAAAATGTAAAGTTATTTTTAAATGTTTTATAATTTTATAGTTCTCATCCATTGTAGCTCTGCCATTTAATCATAGTAGAGAATTTAAGGTTCACTTCTGTTTTTCTTAAATTATTCATGATTATACCTATAATGCTAACAAATATTCATTCATGGATAGTGTGAGCTATATATTCAAATATTAACATGTTCTTTATCTTAAAAGAAGAATCATTGTTAAGTCAAATCTTATTACGTTCTGTTTCATTTTATGTTTCCTTATTTTTATTTATTCCATGTTTTCTTTTTTTGTTTTGTTTTAGTTGGGTCTGGTAAGTTGACATTTTATTGGCCATCTTCTAATCACCGTGTCACTGTGACTGGAACTTCTCTTCCCCTTTCCATCCATACCCTTCCATGTCCTTCAACCAATCAGCCTCCATGTTTCACTTGTCATTGGCCACAAAGACAGACTACACAGAATAAAGTCTGCAGGAAGTATGGGTAACTGTGACAAAGAGTAAAGGTAATGGGGTTGCTAACTTTATATCTTATTAAATTATGTGTGATCTGCATCCTTTTATTTCTTCTTTCCTGAAATAAGTGGTAGGATTGTATCTTGGTTAAGTATTGTTCCAATTTATATCTCATAAGATTAAACAAAAATACAGGCACAAAATGATTTTGGTTCTTTTGGTTCAAAATATATTTGTGAATTCATGTGTGTCTATATGAGTTTTTATAACGATTGTTCAGTAATAGTCATTAAAAATCCTGTTGATGAGTAATTGCCTTCCACTTAGGACTGTTTGCACTCATTTTCGTTTCTGTGTGTCAGATTCATTTCATTTTGTGTAGGAAATAATCCCATGATGTGTCTAAAGTTTATCAAAATGTACTTTGATAAACATTTGTCCCCGTATAAATAATGAGCCGTCAAATTTCTAAGTGTTTACCTTGGAGAATGGTCCAATTATTTTATAAGGTCACTAGAAAGCAATTTTTAGATAATTTTACATAAATATGCAAAAGGGTATGTCAGAGAATAACACTGACCCTAAAAGAATCTCTCTCACTGTTTTTAAGTTAAAAAGTTGCAGTAGGTCAGGTGTGATGGTTCATGCCTATAATCCCAGCACTTTGGGAGGTGGAGCTGGATGGATCGTTTGAGGCCAACAGTTCAAGACCAGCCTGGCCAGCACAGCAAAACCCTATCTGTACAAAAATACAAAATTAACCAGGCCTGGTGGTGCACGCCTGTAATCCCAGCTACTCAGGAGGCTGAGGAAGGAGAATCACTTGAACCAAGAGGCGGAGGTTGCAGTGAACCAAGATGGCACCACTGCACTCCAGTATGGATGATAAGAGTGAGACCCTGCCTCGAAAATAGAAAAAAACAAAAAAGTTACAATAATATTATAAAAGTGACTTTTCATATTAATACAGATAGGATGGATTGTTCAATAATAATGTAATATCTGGCTATTTGAAAAAATAGCTTTCTATATGATACTTTACAAAAAATACAAAAATAAAGAAAAAATTTAAAAATAATTTAAAAATTAAAATACATGCACAACAAAAATAAAGAAAAAAGGAAAAACAATACATGTAGACAATGAAATAGCATAAAATAATAAAGGTATAAAAGCACAGGATGATAAGTGAGTTGAATATTTATGTGATTTATTATGTATTATATAATCTATATTATATAATTTTATTAATACAACAAAAATGCCTAAATAGATTAGAAAGACTATTAATAGAATGGAAAAATAGTTACAGCCTATAGGAGAAATGGCTAAAATTGTAGCCTATCAGCAGTTCTTAGAAATCAAAAAAAAATCTGAGCTCATGAGCACTAACTATACCCACAACAAATCAAATATCAACCACAAGGTGGTTTGAAGGAAAATGTTTAACATTTCAAATCAAAAAATGTTAATTAAGAGGAGAATCTGTTCTTAGTTTGGCAAACATGCTAATGCTCAATGTTTGTGAGGTTTGGGAGAAAAGGCTATTTGTATGCAGTTAATGAAAGTATCAGTTGATTAAAAACATTCCTGAGCATGGTTTAGCTATACTTGTTAATATACACCGGATCTTTGCATATTTTCAGAACCTGTAACACTACAGCTAGCAAATGATTTTTATTATACTTGTCAGAAGGATGTTAACATTACCATTATTTTTAACAGTAAAAATCAGAAATAACCTAAATTTAAAACAATTGAGATTGGTTTAGTAATTAAAAGTAGTTTGCATATTGTTTATTTAACAGTCTTTAAAATGATTTTTTAAGTAGTATGACCCAACATCTATAATAGAATTATTGGCAGCTTTTCTTTTTTTCCCCTTTGTCTGATTTTATAGATTTTCAACCTCTAAACATAAATGACCTTGGTAACATGATTACGTATTTTTGGTTACAGCAAGTTTATATATTGTAGCTTTTTTTTGGAATAAAAAAATTCCAATATTTCATCACAAACATCATAAACATCAAGTGGACACATATAATGAATGGTCTTCTCAGTCTAAATAGATAACAATGACAGATTGATAGATAGAAGCATATTTAGTCCATTAAATTTTTTCTTAGAGGTACATCTACTACAACTGATATTTAACACACATGTAGAAGAGGGTTTTTAAAAGTTATATTTCTAAGACATATCTTGTGGTTGATGTCACTGTTGATGTTGGCTTCAGAATATGCCTACAAAATGTAGTAAATTCGTTTCCAGGCAAATATCCTGTGTGGAAGGATTGCTTCAGGATGAATGTAGTTAGCATAAGGGTTTGTATTCCTTGTTCTCAAATAAGTCTTTGAGGTTTGAGGAGAACTGGCATTTTATAAAAGAAACATAGATTCTGGCACACATTCTTAAACATGCTTCTGAGATTTAGAAAAGAGACCACCCGAAGTTTTTTACTTAACTAAGTGGTTTGAACATTTATATTTTCCTACTCAAATTCCCTGCATATTGGAAAGTCATATTCTCCCACTCATCTAATTAATCACTTGGATTTCTTTCACTGAAGCAAACCAAACTCCAGTCTGAATTTAGTTTATTATCCAGTCAATCTTTTCAATTTTTTGGTCTGATTTTGACATCAATTATTCCAACCCTTGAGGAATAGAATGCTCCTGTATGGATTTGTACTGGAGGAAAATCCCTAAGCAATGATACACTTGCCTATTATTATACCTGGATAATGATAGTGTTTGCTAAATTCATGAGTAAGCCATTCAATCACAATCACAGTTTTTTAAAAAATTATAAGCTAGAACTTCAGTTTTACCAAACTGAACTTAAACTATATTTCCTAACTTCATATTTTCTTGCCTATAAGTTAGAGGGCATTTGAAAGCCTGTGACCTGATTTTTCAGGTCTCCTATAATTTTCTAGTCAAATGTTATAATTTCTACTTAACCTCAATTAAAAAAAAAAAAAAAAAGAGTATAGAAGAAGGAACACTAATCTAGAAGTTAGGAGATCTAATTACTTTCCTCAGTTTTGCCACCATGCAATCATCAAGTCGTTTTACATTTACTTTTTTTAAAGGAGGTTTTATATTTGAAATATATACATATTTTTAATATGTGTATTAAATAACCTTTAATTTTTTTATGAACTACAAATGTAAATACCCAGAATTAAGGACATTTTAGCTATTTTGTTAAAATCTATAAATTGATAAAATCTATATCTTTATATATTTTATATATATCAAAATATATTTTATGTGTGTATGTAATTAGATGCAACTGACCAAAAATGCTAAGCAAAAGACAAATATAAAATACTGACCTTCATTAACAAATAAATTAAACTATTGTGAGCAAACTGATGATATTTGTGAACAGAATCTGAATGTTATCTGATTCATATTCACTTTATGGAGTTTCCCTTAAGTGACTGATTTAAGTAACTCAACATATTTTTAAAGAGAAGGTTAGAAATAATGGAAAAGTCTTAAAAAGTAAAGTAGATAAACCCTGTCCTGTAGAAACTGTTAAATATCGCTTGAAGCATTCATTCACTCCAATGTAAACTGAGACAAGAGAGGAGAAAAATTAGGTGTTTAAGATAGCTGATAAGAAATGAATTTGAAACGTGCAAACAGTAAAAGACTTACTTTTGTTGTACAGTTTTCCAAGCCCAAGGCTCAGCCCAAAAACAAGTATCTTTTTTTTTTTCCAGAAGTCACACCATCAGCACACCTAAAGTTTTCAGCTACTGTTGTATTCAATGTAATTGACACAATTTTCTGACACTCTGTTTGCTGCTGGATGAAGTAGCCATTTAAATCGGTATAAATCAAACACTTCGGACAAAGCTGGCAGTATTTATAATGTCACGATGAGCAGATGTTTCAAATTTGCCCTCATTTCCATATATATTCTGTTTGAACATGCCCTTGCCTATGTAAATGAAAGAGGAATTTGACTCCACTATTGCTTTAAATTCATTTCTGTTCAAATAATTGGACTGAAGGTTTTAAATGTTAATAATTTGCATGGTAGCATTTCAGGAGATTTTGAGTTAAATTAATTTTAAGACCTGCCTGCATGAGGAGGTCCTTGTGTGTATGATTCTAGCTCATTCACCTTTAAGCAGATCTAAGTGAGAAAAGATCATATTTATTCATAAACAATTCAGGTATACTTTGAATGTATAGGATCAAATTGTAGCTTTAGAATTCCTTTCAATATGTGGGTTAATCTTAGTAGGTCAGGTAATAAAAAACTTCATATAACAACTCTATTTCATTCTCTATGAACCTAACATTTTAGTTTCAAATTAAGGACAATAATTATCATTAATATTTTACGTAACATTTATAAAATAGTGGCAGCACTTAGAATTTAAGTAATTGCCTCAGGACAGTAACTACATGATTTTTAATTCAGTGTCATTTTTTTCATCTTCTTCAGAACCTCCACATTTTGTTGTGAAACCCCGTGACCAGGTTGTTGCCTTGGGACGGACAGTAACTTTTCAATGTGAAGCAACCGGAAATCCTCAGCCAGCTATATTTTGGAGGAGAGAGGGGAGTCAGGTACCACATTTTTCTAATTTCTTTTTAAATCAGCAAAGATGGTTGCCAAGATGAGTGAGAAGAGAAACCAACATATTACTTAGTCATGCAACTGTCACATTAAGAGAACTGAGAAATCTCTGAATGTCCAGAAAACTTTAGCAATGAGAAGGAAAACAAACTTTTTACTGCTTGAATTCTGAAAGCAATTTTCTCTACCTAGTTTTGGTACACAAGGTGGTATGTAAAGTTTACCTTTATTTCTAGTTCAACCAGTTTAAAAAGAAAAGAAACATTTCTTTCTCAACATTATTCAATTAATTATCATTTGTATTATTTGGGTACCAAATTATATATTAAAAAAGACTTATGTACATTTCAAACAGATGATAACTATTCAGTGATTTCTCAGAAAGCTTCAGCAGTCTAAATTGCCTTCTGAATCATTACCCTATATGAAATTCTCTTTAACAGAGATGCTGTGTTAAATATATTTGTTATATTCAAGTGTGTTGAAAACTATCATATGTGGTCCATATTTGCTATCAAATCTGACTCTAAATATTTTATGAACCACAATTTTTTATGTATATGGAAACTGAAATACAGAGATTTGTACTCTTTCAAACTCTAAGTTCACTATTGGGCTTCAGTTTAATAAGCAGAAAATCTAAAAGAGTTTAAAATATCTTTTTGTCTCATCTCTTAATGATTTGCCTTCTTCAATAAAACAAAATGTGGTTGGGCACAGTGACTCAGCACTTTGGTAGGCTCAGCCAGGAGGATCACTTGACCTCGGGAGTTTGAGACTAGCTTGGGCAACATAGTGAGAACTCATCTCTACAAAACTTTAAAAATAAAAAAAAATTAATGGGGCATGGTGGTGAATGTTTCTAGTCACAGCTACTCTGGAGGCTGCGGAGGGAGGATCACTTGAGCCCCTGAGGTAGAGACTGCAGTGAGCTCTGATTATATCACTACACTCTAGCCTGGGTGAAAGAGTGAGACCCTGTCTCAAAATACAAGTATATAAAACAGAATGTTTCCCTCTACTTATTTCTGATATGTGTAAATAACCGATTCTCATTTATTTTTAATAGTTATTTCTGGTCTTTTAAAAAAAATTTTGCTTAAATCAATTGTGGGAGTTTGTTTCAGGGTCTTGTTTCTAATGTGCTCTCATAAATAACAGGTCATTTATTGACTGCATTTAATATTTCGTCGGGAATGTTATCAAGTTCACTTTTGCTTTCACTTCGGTAGCCAAATATTGACTTGATTATGGTATATAGGCCCTTATTTGAATTCTAGAATCTTGGTGGGTCCTAACACATTCCATTTGGCCTCAAAGAACGAAATTTGCTGACAGCAAATTAGAGACAAGAAAGAATGAAATATTTTAATAGAGCAGGAAGAATTTTAAGTGCATTTTAGAAGGAAATCTTTGCAGCAAAAATAGTAAATCTACTGGAACCTCTCCTTAATAGAGTAATATTTTAGTGATTCATTTATGTTATTTAAACATTACATCAAATTTTCAGATAATTTTGGTTTCGTTAAATAGTACAACTCATTTTTTCCCTAAAATGTTGTCATTGGACATATATCCATGGAATAATACTTAAACCTTTATAAAATAATGTATATTAAAAGGCACCAAAACTTTTTAAAAGAATCTATTTTGTTGTGATAGAGAAAATATTACTATTTTTTATTTCATGAAATTCAATAACATGATCTATTATTTTGTGTGACATATACACTAACTCTAAGAAGCATGATTTTTCAATTAAATTCAGTATATGAATTTTAGAAAAATCTATAACAGATATTCTCACCTCCTGTCTCTCCTGTTAAAAGTTGGATATAGGTTACTGAACATTTACAGTGGTTAGCTAACAGACATGCTTATTGTGGTGCCAAAATAGTATCCTTGAATTTAATTTGTCAGAATGTGTTTGCATTTTAGATTTTTAACATATTAAAAATCTTAGTATTAATAATTCTAATAGTCATATGTAGTTGAAGCAAGACTTTTGTCTTTGTTTTTCTAAATATGTAATTTTTTTTACTATAATGATAGTTAATATTCTTATATATCTAGTATTGCTTAAAAACAGATAGAAAAATATGTATTAATCTTTAGAGTTAAATTTTCAAATAACCCGATTTGAGGTTAGATTATTAAACCTCGTGTGTGTATATATGTACCTATTTATGTACCTATATATGTACCTATAAATATGTAGATATTTATGTGCATGGACATGTGTATATGTGGGTATGTGATAGAAGAATATTTAGCTTATTTTCGTATGTGTATATGGACAGATAAATATATATTTGTGTATGTATACTATATGTATGTTTTTAGATATAAATGTATAAGTGACAAAATATTGGAAACTAACAACCTGTTTTTATTTTCCGCCCTCTCGATTTCTGGGTTCTAGAATCTGCTTTTCTCGTATCAACCACCACAGTCATCCAGCCGGTTTTCAGTCTCCCAGACTGGTGACCTCACAATTACTAATGTCCAGCGATCTGATGTTGGTTATTACATTTGCCAGACTTTAAATGTTGCTGGAAGCATCATCACAAAGGCATATTTGGAAGTTACAGATGGTAAAGTGTAAAGCATTTTATTTCAAAATGTCCAAGTTTGGCTTAGGATCCAAAGAGGGTGCCAGTAGATATGTTTATTTCCAACTTTATACCTTTGTTATGGCTATTTTTGTATAAAACCTAAGAGGGTGTTGATACAATGGTAAGTTCAAAAGTGTTCTTATTTTGACCTAAATGTATCATAAATTTGTAGCATTCAATCAGATTCATAAAACATAGTAATTATCTAAGGAGAAGTTTAGCTGCACCTAGGAATGTTTCTATGTTTTGGAAAACAAAAAATTATTTTGTAATCTCTTAGCGTAAATTACCATCTCTTCTCTTTCCTCTAAATTTAGGAGATAAGAGGAACCTTTAGGTCATAAGCTCAAAATCTAACAGCTCACAACTTATGGTAATGAACAAGTTTTCTTCAGTGTGATTTTATTCTGCCAACTCCCCTAAATATACTCAATTAATGCCAAACCTATTATAAAACACAGTGCTGAACAAAATCTCCAAATTGTAAGATGAACAGTAATGATAACTTGAGAAGGTAATGAAAGAAAAAAAAAAAACCACACGTAAATTTGTTTTATTTTCTATATATGTATTTTTCTCTCATATCTTATTTCACATATTTACATATAAATATATGTACATGTATAGTATATATGTGTGCAATCAAGAAAGAATTACAAGAATTTTTCCAGATTAAAAATAGAAGCAAAGCCATGACAGTAGTAAAGAACTTGTTACTTCTGAAACTAAATTTGTTATAGTGATAGGATTTATATTTTCACAGTTAATTCCAAAAAGTATATGAAAGAGCATTTAAGGAAAGAAATGTCTTGTTTCTCAGGGAAAAAAATGGAACAAGAATAAAAGAAGAGGAGCAGGAATAAAAGATGCTTACTCTATAATATATTCAGTGTGGTTGATTTTTTTAAAACTCCAGATAATGATCCAAATCATGTAATAGTATAATAGCAGTTGCTTTATTTTATGCTTTCTTTTCTTTCTTTCATTTTTATTTTTTATTTATTTTTTTATTTTTTGGAGACAGTCTTGCTTTGTCACCCAGGCTGGAGTGCAATGGCACCATCTCTGCTCACTGCAACCTCCACCTCCCAAGTTCAAACGATTCTTCTGCCTCAGCCTCCCGAATAGGTGGGATTATAGGGGCACGCCACCACACCTGGCTAATTTTAGTATTTTTTAGTAGAGGTAGGATTTCACCATGTTGGCCAGACTGGTCTCAAACTCCTGGCCTAGTGTGATCTGCCCACCTCAGCCTCCCAAAGTACTGGGATGACAGGCGTGAGCCACCTTGCGCCACCTAGCAGTTGCTTTTTAAATTACAATCTGTGGAGTCATCTGATTTCTCATCTTTCCCTATCTCTGTATCTACTCATTATCTTTTTAATTCATCAGGTTGCCTTCATCTCTATTGCAACTCCCAGAGCTAGTCATCTGTAGTGTGAAACTCTAACAGCCTACTAATTCCATCCTGTTTTTGGTGTTCTCCCTAAATTACATTTTTTATTGTTGCTAGAATACTTTTTCCCTAGACTAGTCTTCTTTTCCCGATTATGTAAACTGAAGTATAATACTCATGCCATGAGTAAGTAAACTAATGTAGCATGATGAATTTATGCATGTAATGACCATTCTGATGAAGATATTGAATATTTCCAAGATCATAGAAGGCTTCCATTGACTCTTTTCTAGTCAATAAGGCTCTCTCTGGCAGAGATAATTACTTTTCTGACTTTTATCATCATTGATTCATTTTACCTATTCTTGTAATCCGGCTAAATAAAATCATACAGTAGATACACTTTTGTGTATATTTTTGCCTCAAAATAATGTCAGTAAAATACACTTATGTTCTTTTTTGTTACTGTGTAGTATTCCATTGCATAAGTAGACAACAATTTATTTCTGTGCTTTACTATTGATAGAGTATTTTCAGCTGAGGATTTTTATTAATAAACCTCAGTATTCGTGTACATGTCTATTGTTGGGCATGTGCACTCAGTTATCTTGGTTTGCCTTTTGGTGGGAATATGTACTAATTTCTGTTTCCCATGTATTTGGCATACAAGTCTTCATCAGATATCTATACACACACACACACACATATACATATATATGTGTGTGTGTGTGTGTGTGTGTGTGTGTGTGTGTATATATGTATATATATATAGTAAATATTTTCTTCCTGGTCATTCACTTAATGATGGTTTTAGGGATTAAATAATTAATTTTGCTGGAAACCAGTGTTTGGTTTTTTTTTTTTTTTAATGGTTAGTTGGTTAGTACTTTCAGTGTTCTGTACTACCTTGAAGCCATGAAAATATTCTCCTATGTCTTCTTCTAGAAGCTTTATTATTTATACCTTTGAGATGCAAATTTTTTATTTACCTTGAATTAATTTTTGTATATCATGTGAGTTCAAAGTCAAAATTCTTTTTATTTCCCCCTTTTGAAAACTAATAGTTCCAGCATAACTTATTGGAAAAATTATCCTTTCTCCACTGAATTGCAGTGGTATCTTACCACAATTCAAATGAAGGCTTGTCTCTAGTCAGATTAAATGCTTACCAGTATCCAACCAGGATCTCTCATGTGGAAATGCTCAATAGATTTTTTTTTTTTTTTAATGAGTGGATGAAACAAAGAAAAAAGGAAGGAACAACTAGCTTTCGGTTAACTGAGAATTCAACGCTAGTATAATAGCAGTTGCTTTATTTTATGCTTTCTTTTCTTTCTTTCATTTTTATTATTTATTTATTTATTTATTTTTTGGAGACAGGGTCTTGCTTTGTCACCCGGGCTGGAGTGCAATGGCACCATCTCTGCTCACTGCAACCTCCACCTCCCAGGTTCAAATGATTCTTCTGCCTCAGCCTCCCGATTAGGTGGGGTTACAGGGGCACGCCACCACACCTGGCTAATTTTAATGAGTGGATGAAACAAAGAAAAAAGGAAGGAACAACTAGCTTTCGTTTAACTGATAATTCAACACTAGGGTTGTCTCTCTCAAAACCTCAAAATCTTACCCCTATATAGGATACATATTATACATGTACTGGTTCCAATAAGCTAGAATGAACTGAAACATTTTTATAATGTCTTAAGTACATTACAGCCATTAAACAATGATTGTGAAAACTACATAGTGAATTTGATGATTACTGTAACCAATATAACAAGACGTTAGGACATAGAATAGTTCCAGCATAACTTGTTGGAAAAATTATCCTTTCTCTGCTGAATTGCAGTGGCATCTTACCACAATTCAAATGAACATAGATTTGTGGGCCATTAATTCTATTTTATGCCACCCAAAGTGCTAGGAGTACAGGTATGAGCCACCATGCCCAGCCCATTTGTTGTTAATTATTGTAGCTTTATGCTAAGTCTTAAAAACTGGTGTTATAAGTCTCCATCTTTCTTTTCTTGTTTTGGGTTTGCTGTTGATGATCATCAACATTTTCTTACAAATTTTAAAATAAACTTGGCAAAATTTTACATGGACATATCCACTCCCTAAACAAACAAAAAATCTGAATATTTAATTTTGATTTTATTTAAACTGTTGAATAACTTAAAATTAACATCTTAATCTGAGTCAATTCAGGGAAATAATATATATCCCACATATATCTCTTCATTATTTAGGTCTTTAATTTCTCTCAGCAATGGTTTGTAGTTTCGACAGTAAAGGCCTTGCACACACTTTGGTACATTTATATGTAAAGTGTCTCATGATTTTTTTATGTGACTGTATATATAGTGTGTGTGTATATATATATATATACATATTAAATGTTACAGAATAAAATTATAGTAATATAATTTTATTATTGAATTATATAAGGGAAATGCTTGAATGTACAATTGACTTTTGTATATTAACCTTGTGTCCAGTAGCTTTGCTAAATGCACTGATTTTTAATAGTTTGTAGTTAGATTATTTTGAAATTTTTATGTGCAAAATGTGTCAGCTACACAAAAAAACCAGTTTTTGCTTCTTCCTCTTAATATTTGTACCTTTTATTTCTCTTACTTGCCTACATTGCCAGTGACCTCCAATATAGTGAGCAGAATTGGCAATAGGGAACATATTTTTCTTGATCCTAACTGCAGGGGGAAATAATGTAATATTTAACCACCAGATACAAGGACTTTTGTAGATGTCTTTGAATTTCAGGAAGTTCTTGAAGAATTTCTTAATCATCAGTTTCATTATTTGCCTTTTTTAGTATTCTCAAGATTAAATGTATATTCCTTAATGTGCGTTACCATTCATTATCTGCCCCACTGCAGGCCCAGCTCTGAGTACTGTGCTGCTCACATGCCCTAATGGCTTGTGCTTGCCATGTTTCTCCGTCTTAAGTCTTCTGCACGTTGTTTCCACCAATGTGAAACTTCATTTCCTTCAAGAAGCATTCCCTAACTCTTCAAATACGGGTTCTATACTCCAAACCCTGCAATATACACATACATTGCATCCTATACCTTTTTGTCTTCTGTTTATTTTCCTAAGTTCTTCATTAGACATTGAGTTCCATGAAGGCGGGACCCTTGTCTCTCTAGTCAAATTAAATGCTTGCCAGTATCCAACCAGGATCTCTCATGTGGAAATGCTCAATAGATTTTTTTTTTTTTAATGAGTGGATGAAACAAAGAAAAAAGGAAGGAACAACTAGCTTTTGGTTAACTGAGAATTCAACACTAGGGTTGTCTCTCTCAAAACCTCAAACTCTTAACCCTATATAGGATACATATTATACATGTACTGGTTCCAATAAGCTAGAATGAACTGAAATATTTTTATGATGTCTTAAGTATATTACAGCCATTAAACAATGATTGTGAAAACTACATAGTGAATTTGATGATTACTGTAACCAATATAAAGAGACGTTAGGACATAGAATGACACGTATATTAATAATTGCAATTTTGTAAAATAACATATATAGGTATACATAAAAAATTTAAAAACCTATGCTACAGTAATCTCAAGTATCTCCTATTTTTATAATTATACTTTAAAGCAAAGGATTTAATGTGCCAACTGACATGACATTATCACAAATTGCTTGTATTTGTGGAGACCAGATCATGCATAGATCTTTTATTAAACTATAATAAAAAAAACCAAAATCTTTAAATCTGTGAATTTGGGATTCATCCCTACTAGCCAATTCAACACTAAATGGTTTGTTTCACCCTGTAAGCTCCCGGGCTTTTAAGGTGGTTTTGTGTTTGCTGTGTACTGTTTTTTAAAGTTTTGTTGGCTTTATTTTGGAGTTTATTGATATTGCACAAACAACGTAACACTATGGTCTCATTTTTCATGGGTAAAACTATAATTATTGTGTATACTGAAAATACCAATAATTTATACATTAACAAGTCGAGAGGATGGCAAGTAGGCAGAGTACTTTGGGATAGTATTTGTCTTTAGCTTCTTGACCTTCTTTACTGTTTGCAAACAAAATAAAAACTAAGGCAGAATAAAACATGAAACACAGAAGTAGCAGCTGCCTTTAAAGTGTTCTGTTGCCTATCTCCAATAGCATTTGTCTCAGAAACAGACAAACACATGTCTTCTATTTAACTGAGCAACTTTCTTCTCTTTATTATATCAGAGTGTAAGGAAACAAAGTTAATGATTACTATATAATGTATAAAATTTAAAATCATTTGTATTCATCACACAAAATTTATAGATATATAGTGCAAAGAGTGTTATATTTTATTTAGAAAAGAGATTTGCCAATTACTACTTGATTTGGACAAGTCACTTGAACTTCTAGAGTTTCAGTTCCCTGATTTCTAAAATGGAATAATAAAATTTCTAGCCGAATTTATAAATTTCCAAGATGTGATGCTTGCATTTTGTAAATGGGTGACAATTGTGCTCTTTATCTGTGATGTTAACTGGTGTATAAATGTGACTTTTCATATATGAACCAATCAATATATGTATGTTATTTTCTGCTCTTTTTCACTTAAAATTATTTCATAAATATATTTATGTGTATTAACATAGACTTCATTATCATTATTTTTGAGGTGAAAGTTACTACATTCTGATTATATACCCTGATTTTGGAGGGGTTTTGAAGTCTTTCATTGAATGTGTGGAAAATATAGCTAAACTTGAATAACCCTGCTGTAACAGGGTCACACCACCCTTTATACCATCACCACTTCCACCACTATTATTTTTATACTGACAAGAATAAGCTACAGTGACTAATAACAAGTTATATGATAAGCTTACTTTGGGCCAGGCACTATACTGGAAACTTTTTACGCATGAACAATTTCAAATCTAACCACATCTCATTTCACTAGTGAGGAAACTGAGGCAGTGAATGTGAAGATGTGCACCCAAATTACAATAAGTAGCAGAGCTGACGTGTTTGCACTCTTTAATGAGGTAGCTACTTACCATATGGGGGCTATTTAAATTTGAATCTAAATTACTTAAAATTAAATACAATTGCGTATCCAATTCCCCAACTACTGTAGCTACACTTACATGTTCAATAGCCGCTGGAGCTATTGGCTGCTGTATTGGAGAGAGTAGTTATGGAACATTTCCACTTATGGCACTAACATTTTCCAACTCCAAAGCTCGTGCACTGAATCACTGTTAAACATTTCTGGTTCTTACACCTCCTATTTTACTTCCTGATAATTCATTCTAATAATTTCAGTAGAAGATCCCAGACCTGAATATGAAGTTTGTCTCATTCTAAATGAAGGTTTGACTCAACTGCAGTACATTCTTTGGTATCTGTAACTGTAAACATTTTACAAGTATTTTATTCTACTTCATGACATCACAAACTTTCATTTCTCGATCTGAAGACATGTAATTGCTTTATTAACCCTTAAATCTCTCTCTCTCGTTTTTTGTTTGTTTGTTTGTTTGTTTGTTTGAGACAGGGTCTCTCTCTGTCACCCAGGCTGGAGTACACTGGCCTGATCAAAGCCCACTACTGTAGCCTTAACCTCCTGGGCTGAGGTGATCCTCCTACTTCAGTCTCTCAAGTAGCTGGGCCTGAAGGTGCATGCCACCATGTCTGGCTAATTTTTTATGTTTTTTGATGGAGATGGAGTTTTGCCATGTTACCCAGGCTGGTTTTGGACTCCTAGACTTAAGCAATCCACCTCACTAGGCTTTCCAAAGTGCTGGATTACAGGTGTAAGCCACAGTGCCTGTCCAAATCTTTCATCTCTGATTTACATAATAGTTTTGTTTTTGGTTTTTACCAAAGAGATCTAGTGATGATATTACAGTACATATATATGTCTGGCCTTTTGCAATTAGCCAAGCACTCCCTTGTCTGTTCCATTTAAATCTTCATAACAATGCCCTGCCTGAGCTATTTAGAAAAAAATTATTGTGCTTAGTTTATGGATTTAAAAGCAAAACAAAACTGAGGCTGAGAGAATTTAAGGAACTTGCCCAAAGACATATGGCAGATGCTAACACTGAACCTTTTCTTTTATTGCTTTATTTTTGTTAAGTATGCATTGTAAATTATACAAAAACAAACGACATCAGTAACTGGGTTGGATGGAATGGGGCGGTGTGGATGACACTAAATATAATACAGATATCAAAGAACTACAAAGATAAAGAACATTGAATATGTTCCCAGATACTGGATTGTTTTTAAATGTGACAAGACCACCAAATTTCAACCATTCATCTACTGGACTTAATTATAAACAGTGATAAATAACACTCCTAACAAGTTTCAAACTCTAGCCTTCTACTACAGCCCTTGGTATTAGCAAATTTCATCCTAGTAACCAAGACATAGAAGATGATCAGAATAGTAGAGCTGAAATGCACAGTCGTTGATTTCACTCCATTACTTTCCTGTTCATCCTCTTTTTTTTTTTTTTTTTAGTTTGAATGCACAAAACTAATATTTATTGCATGATAAATAAGGAACAAGTTAAAGTGTCACTCCAGCTTGTCTTTGGTGCCTAAAACTTTGAACGTGACAGATCCAGCTTTGAAAATTATTGCCTCCAAAATTTAGTTACTCGGGCAACCAGTTTTATTCAACCAGGCAACGTAGAATCTTTCTTTGCACATTTGTGTCTTTTAAAAAATTTTAATATCCAGAATTTTCAACTTGAATAATTAAAGAGAATTTCTGAATTTTATTTTTTAAGTCATTAAAAAGAACAGAGTTTCATATAAATTGCCTAAATCAGGCGACAGGAACACCTCTTCAATGTAGCATTTATCCTAGTTCCAACACAGTTGTTCTAATTTTCCCATAAAAAAAGACTATGTCGGATAAAGTTTTTTACATTTTAGATTTTTTTTATGTAACAATAGGGATAATTGTATTTACACAGAATAAAATTGCCTCGTTATTTTCCATAGTGCGTTATAACTATTACTTAAGGTAACGGAGTTAGCAGAGGCACATTCCCAATCCTATTAATCCCAATAGACAAATACCATATTTGCCAAGTTAGAACATGATTTTGACTTGTCGGATCAGCCAATCAACACTGTATTTGGGCAATTTTCCAATTTCTTTGAATTCACTATAATTGGATAATTTTATCCCATATATATTGTTAAAGAAAGAATTACAAGATAAAAAGACACAGGGAGCTCAATCATACTGATTCATTAAATTATGAAAATCCAGTGCACTTTGTTGGACCCAAAATTGTTAAATGTGCTGATATGCTACCATGTTTTTTTCTGTTGCAGAGCGCAGTTATGATATGTTAAATTGGCTTTTCTTCATTTATTAAAATTTCATATGTTTTCTGAGATAAATGATTTTTTTTTGTCATGTTGGGTTTTGTCATATTATTAAGCTTAAAAAATACAGTATTCCATGATCACGACTCTGTATCTACTTCACCATCCACAATTCCACTCTTTAACTAGGCCTCTCAACAATGCAGCAAGCTCAGTGAGTGGCTGGTCATTTGAAAGTAGCACATTGTATCTCATTTTAATATTCTGAATCAGTGCATCATATAAAGGCATTTTGAATAATGCATGTCTCCTACTTTAATTACTTGTTTAATTATCTTTAGTTTGTTTCAAAGCCTAGAGCAACTGCTGTTGCTTGGATGATTAGAAAATTGCTTCCAGTTGCAGAAATCTATTTCCTGTTGTTTCTTCTGGCAGTGATTGCAGATCGGCCTCCCCCGGTTATTCGACAAGGTCCTGTGAATCAGACTGTAGCTGTGGATGGCACTTTCGTCCTCAGCTGTGTGGCCACAGGCAGTCCGGTGCCCACAATTCTGTGGAGAAAGGATGGAGTCCTCATTTCAACCCAAGATTCTCGAATCAAACAGTTGGAGAATGGAGTGCTGCAGATCCGATATGCTAAGGTAACTTGGAATGGCACCATGGGTTTCTTGTTTCATTTCACTTTGTGCCTCCAACAGCTAGCGTTGAAATTTCAAACTTTGCCACTAATGAAATGTTAAATGAAGAGTAGTAATATATTTTTAATTTGATGTTTTTTTTTCCAGATGTTTCATTGTATATGGTTGAGATGATTTAACTCGTAATTTAGTTCGTGGCAGGAAATTTAAGGTTATATGGAGGAGAAGAAAAGATTTATAAGAACCTATGAAGGAAAGTAAATGAGGGTTTATGAGAGATTAAATATCTTCAAAGTAGTGCTATGATGCAATCATTCCATAAAGCATCTTTTGAGATATTTACTTGTATCATTTTATGTGCAATATACTTAGATAGTTCTTCTATTGTATTTGTCTCACCATTTTGCAATTGCAAAACTATACATGCACACAAAAGCCATAAAGCAATGTGCACCCCTAGTGTACATTCAAATCAGAATGCTAAATGATGGAAAGCCCACAGGTTTGTGGGAACCATGTAAGGATTTACTTTCACAGGGCATCACATCCCATGCCTGCTCATACAGGATTGCATTGTTTTGATTTTTCTTCTTTTTTTAGGTCAAGATCAAACAAGCTGCTGAGGCACATGAAAGAATAGTCCTGACAGCAGTAAACATAAATTTCACTTGCTTTATTTCCTAGTGTGGGTGGCTCCTTTGGAGTATTGGATCAGCATCACAGTTCACTTTAAGTGCAATACAGTTAATATGCTGTGCTTCTTTGTGACTATTGTGACTTTGTTATTGTAATTGCCAGAGCAAGATGACAGCATTCTTTTTTATCAAATGTTACTTGAGGATAGTTATTAGCTTGAGCAGTAGATGGGTTTATTATGTTACTGTTGATTTGAAAGTTGAATGTGTGACCATGTTTGCTTTCTGTTATTCAGCTTTCAAAAGAGAGCAATAGTGTTCATTCCAGCTTGAGTTTGGCTTTGTACTTCTTAAACTGTCTTAAGTTATAGGTTTTAGAACCTGGGAAAATCAATATTTTAAGAAAAAATTCTTTGATGGCTATCCCGTTTCTGTTTATCTCATATATCCATATAGGCATAACTGATAAAATAAGAAATCACAAGAATAGCCATTGGTTAAACTTTATCAGCCTTATTATATGACTTATTAATCATTTATATATTTTAGTAATAAATATTAATGCTTTGAATTTGAAGAGTTATATGCCTTACCTTAAGAATTATTGTTCCTGAGACTGATAATAATATATGCTAATGCAGTTAAATATTTCTTACTATACCATTAGAAGAATCATATAAAATCTTTTTTTTCTATATTGATATAATATTTTCCTTCACATTCAATAAAATTATATTCAATTAAGGGGAAGTTTCCAGTTAGTGAATTTTAATGCAGTTATCCATATTCATGGATCATATCCAAACCTGTAATTGCTTTTTCAGCACAGTAAGCTCTCGATTTTTCCAAATATTTATTTTCTGTCTGCCTTCTCAGCTGGGTGATACTGGTCGGTACACCTGCATTGCATCAACTCCCAGTGGTGAAGCAACATGGAGTGCTTACATTGAAGTCCAAGGTAAATTAAATGGTATATTTGCCTTAAAGTAAAGCTTAAAATGCAGTTGTTTACTTACTGATATATTGGTAAAATAAATATCATATTCCTTGAATATGTGCATGAATATGTTATTTGCATTTATATGCTTATCTGTGTATGTATAAACATCTTTTTTTTTTTTTTTTGGTCTTTTTCCTACTTTTTAGAATTTGGAGTTCCTGTTCAGCCTCCAAGACCCACTGACCCAAATTTAATTCCTAGTGCTCCATCAAAACCTGAAGTTACAGATGTCAGCAGAAATACAGTAACATTATCATGGCAACCAAATTTGAATTCAGGAGCAACTCCAACATCTTATATTATAGAAGCCTTCAGGTAGAGTGGAGGAGACGCTTCATAATTTTTCTTGTTTGATTTGCCATTAAATACGCATGTTCTAACCTGTGTGTCTGTCCTTAGCCACGCATCTGGCAGCAGCTGGCAGACCGTAGCAGAGAATGTGAAAACAGAAACATTTGCCATTAAAGGACTCAAACCAAATGCAATTTACCTTTTCCTTGTGAGGGCAGCTAATGCATATGGAATTAGTGATCCAAGCCAAATATCAGACCCAGTGAAAACACAAGGTAAATGTTGATTTATGTAACCCTGTGAACCTACTTATCCTTAGATGCTATGATTACACAGACAAATCACTTGTGTTACATGCTAGAATGGTACATTTACAGTCTGTTGTTCACATTGCCCAAGTTGCTTAATTAATTTTTAATATCCAAACACAATGTTTACAAACTTTATTATTTTCCAGACTAAGCATACCAACAGAAGATTGATAAACAAAGAGAACTGTGTATCATAAAATTATAAAAATGTCAAGACAAAAGTAATGTATGTTAGGATATGGAAAGTAGAATTATGGTTACCAGAGGCTGGGAAGGGCAGTAGGGTGGGTATGGGGGGAGTGGGGATGGTTAATGGGTATGAAAACATAGGCAGAATGAATAAGATCTAGTATTTGATAGCAACAGGGTGCCTACGGTCAATAATTTATTGTCCATTTTTAAATAACTAAAGTATAATTGAAATGTTTGTAACACAAAGAAAGGATAAATGATTGAGGTGATGGATACCCCATCTACCCTGTGATTATTATGCACTATATGCCTATATTAAAATATCTCATGTACCCATAAATATATAAAGATATATATATTTACATAATATAAATTTTTTAAATATGTGAATATTTGTGTATTCTCTTCAATTTTCTGAATTTTAAATATAGTGACATGTAAGCGTACAATCCTAGTCATATTATAATTGTATTTAAAATTAACCACATTTTATTTTTTATATAAATTCAGTACTCATAACCTTCTGGGTGAATTTTTAGATTACAATCCTAATCAAGCAATACTGTCTTGAGATCACACGAATGTAAGAGGCAACTGGAAACTTGTTCTTAATTCCTCTGTCCAGTCAGCTTCCGACAAAGCATGGAGAAAATACTTTAGGTCCTTATTTTGTTTGGCCTGTCTTTCATTATCAATTGTATAAGCCATGGTATAAGAAGCTTTTAAATGAAAAACACCTACGTTTTGGTCAAAGCTGGGTTCGGAAAACAGATAAAAAAGGGCATGTTCAAAGCTGCTTCTACAACATTTGAAACTAGAAATTTTGTTCCTTCAGGTCACATTTTGGGTATTCTGCATTTTATCTTTTGTGAACAGAAATCATTTTTAGCTTTCAGCAGACTTCTGTTTTCACTTCTCCACACTCTTGCTCATCCTATTATTTGGGTGCTCTAATAGGAGTAAAATTTATATACTGGGGAAAAAGAGATTAATTTAAATCATTCTTTACCTTTTATTTTTGGGGAAAAATTACATGCCATTGTAAATTAATGTTCTTGTTTTTGTATTTGTAAAGAAACGTAACTTTAGAGGGGAGTGATTCGAACTATAAAAATATTTTCTCAATATACAAAGGGTCAGTGTTTCTATCTTGAGGAAACAAAGGAATAAAGGGAAAAATAGACTTGGTTATTTTAATAGAAACAAGTTATACATAAGATGATTGAGACTTAAACTATGTTGCTGGTTTGGGAGAGGGGTCGGCCAGCTGTGTTACTGTTTTGTTAGTTCTAATATGTACATAAACAATCTTTTTGGAAGCACTTTTTGTTTTAGAATTTGCAGAAAAAGCACACCATGTTGTAGAATATGCCTATGTCTTTCTCTTGTGTGAATGTAACACACCCATCGATCATATTTGCTATTATAAATCACTTCTCCATGAGCTTTACTGTACTTGCAGCATGCCTTAAGGCAGTCTGAGATTTTCAATATTAGATACACATTTGTAAAGAATGTAGAACCTATGACAGCTGTAAAATGAATTTAAACTTTTGTCCCCAGTACAGACAGTGGTCTTCAGCCAGTAGACTCTAACTAAAAGTTTTTGACTGACTACAGCTCAATACTGTTCTGTCATATCCTCACATGCATGATTCTGTAATATGTAACCCCCTTTGTAAGTGAGGAGTGAGTTAGCACTCTATCTGAACAGTCATTTAAGTCTTTTAAACATTTCATTGCCTTTCAACATTGCCTTTGTATGTGCATAGCTAGTGGAACAATGTATCAGTCTGTTCTCAAGCTGATAATAAAGAACTGCCTGAGACTGGGTTGTTTATAAAGGAAAGAGATTGAATTAACTCACCATTCAGCATGGGCGGGGAGGCCTCAGGAAACTTACAATCATGGCAGAAAGGGAAACAAACACATCCCACTTCACATGGCAGCAGCAAGGAGAAGTGCAGAGCAAAAGTGGGAAAAGCCCCTTATAAAACCATCAGATCTCACGAGAACCCACTCACTATCGTGAGAATAGCAGCGTGGGGGTTACTACTCCATGATTAAATTACCTCCTACTCAGTTCCTCCGTGACACTTGGGGATTATGGGAAGTACAATTCAAGATAAGATTTGGGTGGGGGCATAACCAAATCATATCAATCTAAGTATGATTAACCCTTGTCAACTAGAAGACCAAAAATATAGGGAAACAGGCACACAATTTTGAAATCAAAGAGATTTTTTAATTCAACTCTTCAATCTACTAGCTACATGTCCTGGAGCAAGTTAGCCCTTCTGAGTTTCCTCACCTATAAAATGGGGCTAAATATACCCATTCCTCAGGATTGAACAAGGAATAAATTAACTAACCAATATATAAATATATAAGATTCAGACTTGTTTTCAATTTTATGCCATACGATCTGTTATTGGACTTGTGTTTCTTTTAGTGTCAGAACTAAAAGTAAAGGAAGTTCATAAAATTTGTGGATATCATAAAACTGAGAAAGACCGCTAGTATGCCAAATGTGAGAATCAGAATTAAATATAGCTCAACGGATTGGAGTGATGGGAAAGTGCTAACTATTAAAGTTAATGGAGCAAATTAAAAAGTCTGGTACTTGAAGTTGGTTTAAAAAATTAGCTGTAAACGGATAAAGACACCAGTCTTAAGGGAAGTATATGTGAGTGTGTCAGGGATTTAGGGGTGGGCTGACATTAAATTTAAACCCCTATCTGAACTTACTGAGGGATGTACTTGCCAAGAGAACAAATGTAGTCTTAGCTGGCATTAGAATTATGCCTGGATCAAGTAATGTTCCTCTTTTTTCTTAGAACTATTCAGTTCATGAATGAAGTAATGTGTTTGTTCTGGACACTACAGTTTCAGATGCACTTTTAAGAGGAAGAAAATAAGTATAGTCAATGAGGCTGCATGAAAGGCTGAAGATCACATCATAGGAAAAGACATTCAAGAACCTTGGCATGGTTAGCCCAGAAAATAATAACATCAGAGCAGGCATGACATCCTTTCCTTAGCATGTTAAGAGACTGCCATATGGAGGAGTTATGCTTTTTCTAGCTTGAGGCAACAGAAGAGGACCCACATATCTTGTCTAATTCTTGGACTTCATTTGCGACTACAAACCCAGGATTATAACCATGATAAGAAGCTGAGGAATAACCTTCATAAAATTTCATTGGAGGGAACAGAATGCATACGCAGGAAGGAGAAAAATGAGGGGTGAGGAAATTCAGGAAGGATGTGTTGGACAGTGATTTATAAAGGAATGGGCATAACTTCTCTAACCATTTCTGAAATACGGCTGCAAAAGAATCATCCCCAAGTGAAGATACTTATGAATAAGCTGGGGTCAAAAGCTGAAGGTGCACAGATGTAAGGCACAGTTCCCAATACAGGAGTCAGGGAGACCTATGTCACGGTTGGAGTTAGAGCCCTGTCCTGGGGTAATCAAGCATTCTTTCCCAAAGACAAGATTTGATTACGTAAGGAAGGTGGGATGAGTATCTGGCAGGTAGGGGTGGTAGAGGTCATCGTCGCTGAGATGCAGCTGCTGTTACCATTGTTAGTAACTACGACTCTTCACCAACATGTCCTGTGTGTGCAGCATTTTTGAGGCCTAGATATAAAATAATATGTACAGGCCAGGTGTGGTGGCTCACGCCTGTAATCCCAGCACTTTGGTAGGGCGAGGAGGGCGGATCACCTGAGGTTGGGAGTTCGAGACCAGCCTAACCAATATGGAGAAACCCTGTCGCTACTAAAAATACAAAAAATTAGCCAGGCTTGGTGGTGCAAGCCTGTAATCCCAGCTACTTGGGAGGCTGAGATAGGAGAGTTGCTTGAATTCAGGAGGCAGAGGTTGCGGTGAGCCAAGATTGTGCCATTGCTCTCCAGCCTGGGCAACAAAAGCAAAACTCTGTCTGACAAAAAAAAAAAAGAATATGTACAGATACACAGAATTTAACAGAATGTGTGTGTGTGTATATATATATATGTTATATATATATTTTATATATATAAAATATATATATTATATATGTAATATATATTATATATATATATATCTCATACATAAGATAATATCAGTTATTATAAATGGGTGGGGCCTGGATAATCTCCCCTCAGAGGTTGTGTATACAGAGTTTTGACATTGGCGGAAACAGATGGCTGGAGCAGTGAGGTTTTCTTTAAGTCTAATTCTGAATATTGGGAAAGACCTTTTTACATTGTCATACATTTCTTTCAGGAGGAAGTGAACAAAAACAGTAACAGGATCAATTCATAAACTTCTCAAAACTATATTATTAGGCATCACGTTCCCTTTTTCTCTCTGACGTGAACATTTCTATTATAATATTATACACTGCCGTTGCTGTCATGGGTCCTCTTGGTGGGAGAATCTAGCAGTTTTCATGAAGGAACTGAATGGCAGGTTTATCTCAAATCAGAGGAATTAGAGATTGGGATGGAGATCATGGCAGCTACATATGTAATGGCTATTTCTGTATTTGAAGATACTTTCTGAAAAGCAGATGATTTTGTGAGGATGGGAGCTTACATACGAGGGAAATATTTGGGAGCCGACATAATGTGTGTGTTTTTCATACACGAACACATTTTAATTGAATCTATGTTTATTAAGCAACACGTATGTATATGGCGCTGTGCTATATACCATTGGTCCACAAATACTGGCCCAATTCCTGCTCTCAGGAAAAACGCTTTTTATGTCTTAGCACAAGACAACTTTTACCACAGCCCTCAAGATTAGCTGCCTTTGATGTCACCATTCGAAGCACAAAGAAACAGAAAAATAGTGATGTTAGGAAATTGTCCCAATGTCATGCACTTTTTAAGTTGCCAAGGTGGGGTGCAAACCCAAGTCTGTTTTCTTGCGAGTATTCCACTCTTACCCTAGAGATGGATGGCAGCTGAAGTCATAGGAGCAGTTGAGACCGGGGGGTCAGGAAGAGAGGGGAATGCGATGACAGAGTGCAGAGGCTGTGATGATAGCTATCCTGAGGGCACGTCCTAGCCAAAAATATCGGTAAGGTAAGATGAAGTATGGGATGCCAGAATTACCTCAGGATTTTTTAATCTTGCTTATTTATCAGCTTAATTTCTAGGTTAAGTATAACAACAACCAAACAATATGTAAGAGTGTCTGATAACACTCTCGATGTCATCTCTCCCACATGCCTAGCTTCCCTCGACTTCATCAGAGATACTTAGCAATCTCATTCTTAATATTCATGTTTGTGCTTTCGACCCAGGATCAATTCTTGGAAGGTGTTTAATGATTCAGTAAACTACAATTCTCACTTTTGTTTTTTATGTAATGGGGAATGTTCTGCACTATAGGTGTCAAAATACAATACTTTGAGAAAGAGGATTCTGAAGTCCAAAAGTAATATTTTCTTCACTTCCTCCCATGTATTCCCTGTTACTATTATAAACAAAGCAAAACATCTGAGTTTAGAAAAACACTTCAGAAATGGGCTTTTTTTTTTTTTTTTTTTTTTTTTGGCTTATAGACATTAAGAAGCTTAACAAAACCCTTATAAATTAACATTAGTAGCCATTTCATTCTTACTGTGTTCTTGGTTTACTTTCTAAAATTTGGGGGCTTTTGAGATTAAGAAGTCTTAATTAAACCTCCGTTACTGTGATACAATAACTAAAAAAGCATCAATTAAATAGATGTTACATATTTTTCCTCATGAATCTAATCAGATTTATTTTATTTCACTTTCTTCGTGGCTTGCTGTATCACCTCCATTGTAGCCACTAACGTACCATGTACCTTATATGAGAAGATATCTAAGTTCATCTTAAAAGATGTAAAGTATCTGACTTCTTTCTGTTCTTGCTTTTCACTAACTGTATCTCCTTTCTTTCCGTTGCTTAGCCACTCTGCTGCAATTTCATTCACTTTTCTTTCTTGCATATTTAGGATCACTATGGAAGGTTTTAACAAACTCAGAGGGGACTGCATAGTGCCCTCATTTTCATCAGGAAAGTGACGATCATGTGGTAGCAGGAGCCACTAAATATTGCTATTTGCCATTGTCTTTGCTTCCTGCTCTCTCTGACTTTCTATAATACATTTACTCTGTATTCCCTCTCTGTGTGTCTCCCTGTTTATCTCTCTCCCCTCTTACTTTCCAGATCCTAACAAAAAGGTTACAGGATTCCAATTTTTTTTTTTTCTGTATCACAGCCTGGCTTGGATTCCTCTTTACTGAGAGTTGCTATGAATGAAAGGTTCGTTTTACCATGCTTTCATTCATTCAGTAACATCGTGTAGAATCTGACACAGTTTTCTTGAATTGTTGTAGATGTTCCACCAACAAGTCAGGGTGTGGACCACAAGCAGGTCCAGAGAGAACTGGGAAATGTTGTCCTGCACCTCCACAACCCCACCATCCTTTCTTCCTCTTCCATCGAAGTGCACTGGACAGTGAGTTGTTGTTACAATATTTGATCTCAGTTTTAATAAGCAGGTGACGTTCGTGAGATCATTGCAATGCATATAAAATGTAACTATCTATTGCCTATTTGTACATCAATGATAATTTTATAGTGTAAGCCCTGTTGATTATAGTAGCTATCAGTTTGGCTTTGAACAGAGAAAAGTTGCATCTTAAGTGTATTTTTTCCTTTTGTGCTGCAGTAGTGAACTTGACCTGTCTCAGGAAGGAAACACATAGTATTACCTATGATATGTAACTTGTGATAGGACCATTATTACACAGATTTTTTAGCTTAGAAATATTTCCAAGTAGTATTAAGAAGGTTTTTAAAATCAGAGAGTAGTCAAACATTTTACCTTCTCATCCCCTTGGCCCAGGAATGTCTTACATGAAATGTCAGAATGGCAGTGAGGCCTCACATTTCTGCATGAAGCACAGAACTTAATGCCATAGAAATTCGTATCACCTACGTAAGCAGAATATGTACTAAAAAAAAAAAAAAAAAGAAACTCATATCACCTTACAAACGATAGTGAATTCTTTTCAGTATTCTACTTATTGAATAAATAGAATATTTAGCTGAAGATTCTTTTGGATTTTCTACGAGCACACTCATGTTGTCCACAAATAATGAGTTTTATTTTTTCCTTTCAAATTCCTACATATTTCTTGTGTCAGAATGTGATTTGAAGACAGACAGAATGTTTTGCATTTTATAACATTTCATTTTTATTATTTTCTAATGAACCAATAAAATAATATGAATAATTATATTTTGTTTATCTTTTAAATAGGTGGATCAACAGTCTCAGTATATTCAAGGATATAAAATTCTCTATCGGCCATCTGGAGCCAGCCACGGAGAATCAGAGTGGTTAGTTTTTGAAGTGAGGACCCCAACCAAAAATAGCGTGGTTATCCCTGATCTCAAAAAGGGAGTCAACTATGAAATTAAGGCTCGCCCATTTTTTAATGAATTTCAAGGAGCAGATAGTGAAATCAAGTTTGCCAAAACCCTAGAAGAAGGCAAGTATGATGAAGTGTATGATTTCCGTGCATTGCAGTATATTTATTTGTTAGGATTTTATTAGCTTAATTAAAATTGTTATAATATTAATAGTGGCATCAATTATAGACCTTCTTGATATTGAACATATATCTTGCTAAAAGTATTTGTTTATTTAGAAAACTAGAAAAGCACAATGCTATACAGTTGACTTGCTTCAATACCGGCCTACATACAAATGTGCAAATGTGAACATTATATTACTTAATGGCACATAGAGGGAATTTCATTATTTGGAACTATCACATTTAAAAATGAAACTGTTTTCCATTTGGCTTGTTTTTCATTCAGTATTTTCTATTTGTTTATTTTAATCCATAATTTGTAAGCAACGTGAATAATGTGTTGATTTGCCCAGGACTTTCTGGGATTACCATTTTCTTCTTAAATCTCATCACACGTAAAACACCTCAGTTCTAGATAAACCACTCTAGCTGGCCACCCTATACCTAGAAAGTAAACAATATTTCCATAAAGGTCAAAGATTACATGAAGTAATAGCAGGATTTCCCCCAACATGTCTTTGTCACTTTGGCTGTATAAATAATTATCATGAATGGTTAACATTCATTGTCATACTTTTGAACATTTCTGGAGAGAATATGAGACTAGAGTTACAGGGTAGAAGGAATAGAAGTTGTCCTAGGATGTCTAGTGGAGATAAGGTATTTAACTTTGGTTATGGAAAACCTACAATGGCAATGAGTTAGCATTGACTGAGGAACAACTTAGTAATTTGGGACTATTCAGACTTGGATGAGATACGTCTTTAAAACATATGCAACTGGGCACGGTGGCTCATGCCTGTAATTCCAGCACTTTGGGAGGTTGAGGCAGGCGGATCATCTGAGGTCAGGAGTTCCAGACCACCCTGGCCAAGGTGATGAAACCCCACCTCTACTAAAAATACAAAAATCAGCTGGACGTGGTGGTGGGCACGTGTAATCCCAGCTACTGGGGGCGCTGAGGCAGGAGAATTGCTTGAACCTGGGAGGCGGGAGTTGCAGTGAGCTGAGATCCCGCCACTGCAATCTAGTCTGGACAATGGAGCAAGACCCCATCTAAAAAAAAAAAAAAACCCTGCATATATTAATATAATATTAATATATTTATTATCAGGTTTTGATAATACCTGCTTTGATGTTCTCTAGCACATTCTAATAACCTACCTTTTAAAACAATAGCACCCAGTGCCCCACCCCAAGGTGTAACTGTATCAAAGAATGATGGAAATGGAACTGCAATTCTTGTTAGTTGGCAGCCACCTCCGGAAGACACTCAGAATGGAATGGTCCAAGAGTACAAGGTAATACATGTGTATTAATATCCTGATGGACAGCCCCCGCCATCCACAAAGAAAAGGCCAGCTGGTATTTGTTTATGGGTATTTGGCGCCATCTGCTGGTCCAAGTAGCAACATGTAAAATTATTTTTTAAACATTTTCTTGTTTATTCAATGGTTGTGAGTTTCTGATTCAGTTGATCTGTCAGGGTCCCTTGCACATATATTTTGGTGAATCTTTTGGCGTTAATGATATGCATCCCTAGTTAAGACCCAAATAAGACTATACGTGTTCTTCTGAGTAGCAAATTAACCTGTACAGTAACCAAGTATCCTGAGCCTGATTTTATTTTCAAAAGATTTTTTAAAACAAATTGAGAAACCTCTTTATGAAATTTGTATATATTAACAGAGTATATTTAAAAGTATTTACAAGACTGCCATAAGTGCACTGTGGATGTTTTAAGATATTTCAAGTAAGATTTTCTAGCATAATTGAGTCATTAAGAGGTAAAATTCTCTGTACTTTTAAGTGCTTTCTTAAGAGTTTCTAGGTTGTTTCAATACAAGGGAGTTACAAGATACTATGTGCTAGTATGGAAAAATAGAATGCTATAGAAGATTTTTAAGGATTTAAAATGAGGTTATGTCTCAGCTCTCAAGCTAAATTGTGTAATGTAGGCATTTTCCCCTAAGAGTTAGAACTCATTTCTCTCCTGAAGAAATGCAAAAGGGTGGATTTCACTTAACTTCATGGTCAGTTTAAAATAATAAAATGCCTTTCAGAAGCTGATTGAATGGTACAAAATCACTTTGTGGCTTCAGTTCAGCTGCATAATGTAATTGGAGAAAATAAAGTCACAAAAGAGGCTTTATTTCCAGATGGTCAGCTCGTGGTACAGGATCCGACCATTTCTTGGTGTTATGTATTACAACTATATTAAAATAATATTAACATTCAAAGAAAAAAAGAAGGATATTGTGTAAATGATGGAGGACACTGGTATGCTTAAATTTCTTTTAAATCTCACTTCCTATTACAGTTTAGACAATTGTCTACTTAAAGTTAATGGCATATATTGCTTGAGGACATCATAAAGTATATGGAGTACGTTGGCCGGGCATGGTGGCCCACGCCTGTAGTCCCAGCACTTTGAGAGGCTAAGGCGGGCAGATCATCTGAGGTTAGGAATTCTAGGCCAGGTTGGCCAACATGGTGAAACTCCTTTTCTACTAAAAATATAAAAATTAGCTGGGCAGGTTGATCCCAGAGAACTGTTCAAGTAAAGCACTAGACTTGGAGTTTCCTACTCGTTTTTGTTTCACAATATCTGGTCCTCTGTGCCATACCTAGAATGCAAATGTTGAATGATTATTGGTCTTTATCTGTATAGACACAGCTATCTGCAAAGTACTTATTTATCTGGCAAATAACGTCTTGATGTTTAAAAAAAATGTTAATGAAGTGGGCTGGTAGAAACTAATTCCTTCAAGCACAGATTTGTAGACTTACCTGATATAACCTTTTAAAAGTATATGAGAAAGTAATAAAGACGTGTTGAAACTACTTTTAACATTAAATTTGACTAGAAGATTGTTTATAAAACTAGATTCTAGGGAAAAATAACTTCTGAAACTTCTTATGGTAGTGTGTGACAGTTTGCACTCTAAGTCTAAAATTGCAATCCTCTGTTGATTTTTGCATTAATTTAGGTAATTTACCAGCTTGATTTTTGTTATGTGCTTCTTACAGGTTTGGTGTCTGGGCAATGAAACTCGATACCACATAAACAAAACAGTGGATGGTTCCACCTTTTCTGTGGTCATTCCCTTTCTTGTTCCTGGAATCCGATACAGTGTGGAAGTGGCAGCCAGCACTGGGGCTGGGCCTGGGGTGAAGAGTGAGCCTCAGTTCATCCAGTTAGGTGAGTGTCAGTGCAGATCCAGTTTGACAATCTATGACTCTACCATTTGTCCCGCTCTGCCTGTTTGCATTTGGTTGAGCCACCCACCATTGGTAGTTCAATAGAATATGGAATATGGCTTAGAGCTACAAAAAGGTGTTAACTGTACTTAAAATATAGTCGATAGATAGGGAAAGAGAGGGAAAGAGAAAATGAAAGAGAGAGAGAGAGAGAGAGAGAGAGACTAGATGTAGATATATAGACATAGATATCTCAACTAAATTTGGACATATCCAAGCACACATTTTTGATATTTCAAGCAAAAGGCTGTCCGTATTCAATGTTATCCTAATCCTGTCCTATGTAATTTTTATCTATTCAACAAAGACTGTTAATTGAGCATCATGAATAAGTCCGTGAACATGAGGAGACATCCTGCACCTTCATGGAACTCACAGTTGTTTGGATTTAAAATCAGACAAACGAGCAAACTTCTGTTTAAAACTTAAACTAGGTATTGGAAGTTTATAGCAATGAACAATCTATATTCACATGTAGTGTCTATTTAAAATTGCAATTGCTTATTATAACAAAAGAAAGATTACGATGTCAAAGAGCATTGAAACAGGTTTATGTGCTGATTGGATAGAAAGTTAAATACAATTTGTGCCTCTAATGTGGTTAGATGAATTTAAATAAAACTGACATCGAAAGCATCATTACCACAGTTTATCCTAGGCAATATAGCGTGAGCATAAAGTACATATTAGTAAGTGCATGCTAGTAAAATCTAAAACAAACCATAACAAAACAATGACAAGATGCCATTTTAACTGAAAAGCAAGAAGAAAGGTTCAAATATTAAGAAGCCACATTTAAATTATGAATGATGCCAAGAAGTGTATAGCACCTTCATGCCTGTGTCTTCCAGATCAGAAGTTAAGCAGAGTAGCATTTTATCAGTGGTAAAATATTAGTATATGTTACTAACCTTACAGTCCAGTTGTTAAATCATCAAAAAGGATTATATGTATGAAGCTTTATAATTAAGTCACATACTATTTATGCATGTTAATAATATTGATGACATCCTGGAAACTATTTCAAAACATAATTAAGAAACACTTGGTTTTCATAAACTTCATTGCTCTACAAAAAGAACTTTGAACTTCTCATTTATTTTGAAGACCATTATTGGTGTTCCATTATGTAGACAATGTGAGTTGCAGTCATAGATACATTTGCAGAATTTCTGTCCTATAATACAATAAAGTCTACCAAAGTCCACCTCAATGACACAGACATTGAGGGTCAGAGGCGGAGGAGTTAGCCTCTTTATCACAGGGCTTCTGAAATGGACCCTGCGCCTGCAGAAAGGTGAGGAAAGAAACACGAGTCTATGGGAGGGTTTAATGGTGCAGGCCTAGACACGGTGCACATCACTCCTCGCCAGTGTGACTGCAAGCAGGTGAATGGGGCTGACTACAAAACCAAGCCATTAGCTAGGAAGCCTCCTCCCAGCAGCTCTGTTATGTGAGAGTCCCGTTCAAGCCTGTAGGGAAAAACTTGCTGTCTCTGTCACAGTCACAGGCTAAAATTTGATTTTTGCACTTGGGTTACCACTAAAGAACTTATCCATGTAACCAAAAATGTCCTGTTCTCCAAAAACTGTTAAAACAAAATAATTTTTTAAAAAATGATTATATATAGAAATAAAACTTCTAAACAAAAATATCTCCTGGTTTGTTCCAGCAACACAGGAAACTATAACAAAATAAGTTGCTTCATGCGTCTGTTGCACATTTATATAAGGTGGAGGAAAACAGTTTATGTTGAGAAAATAGTTGATATTCTAATATTTACCCAATTTTGTTAAATGTCAATATTAATTTGTTAAAATTGAAGTCATAAATTAAATTTGTAGTGATTCAATATGTTGTTTATTTTTATGACCAAAGATATGTTAGTTGTATTTTTTGGAAGATAAATTGGGAAAATGACTATGTGTCATTTTATTCATTTAAGATTTAAATCATGTGGGCTTAAGGGCCAAATTGGTTTCATTGAAATTACAAATATGTTCCATTTTTCCATATCTTAATATAGGCTCAGCTGCAGTGAGACAAAGATTGAGATAGAGAACGGCTGTTTTAATTCATTAGTCACACCACACTGGAGTCTGTTAAGTGCATCTGCTTGCTTGCCTAGGACCTCTCTTGGCTGTTTCCATGTTATCTGAGGCTACCCAACTTAACCTTGCACAAATAGCCATGAAATCTATAAACCTAGCAGATACAAAGAATGTATTAGGAATAAGAAGAATAGGTCTGCCCAATGAACTTTAAGAGGATGAAGTGATCTTAGGATAACCGGAGGTAATAAAAGAGCCTGGAACATGAAACAGAAACTTTCATTCAACAAACAGAGAAAAGCAGGTAACTGCTTGTGAAAATAGGTTTTCCAGCCTTGACCCTCTGTGGAATGAGATCTGGAATTCTGTTCAAGAAAAAAGCAAACTGAAAAACCACACACACTCGTACAACATGAGAAGGAATTTAGCCATTTTGCATTCAAAGGGGTGCTGTTTTCCTAAAGGCTGTTCCTTAATCATTGAATACTGCTTAGTTTTCCTTCCAGTTTTCTTATTAAGATGCAATGTCATTTAATAAGAAAAAAATCCTTTGAAAGAAGAATCCATAAAAAATGTTATTCATATGTATTGAGTTATATCAATTATTTTTCTGGAAAAAATGTATTTTTGGACTGAAAAATGTTTCTGTCTTAAAGCAGATTGTATTAGCAGAATTGCTGTATATCTTTCTAATTTGTCTTAAGGTCTCTCTTTGCAGAGTGGCTATAATCTCTAGTCCTGCCCTGGCAGGGCTTTGGAGAATTTGGTTGTGAGTGTTCACTTTGTGCCTTTCACAGGATGCTTCTTAATCCCGGCAGACAGCATAAAGCCTTAGTGTTCAACCCATGACCAGGTACCCCTTGCACAGCAAACTTATTTATACTGGAAGATGTCCCTGGGGCTCCTATCTGACCTGTGTCCAGCTTATTCCTGTCAATATGCACCCTTCTAGGAGAGCCTTGACTGGGAGGAAAGTTAAAACCTCCCAGTGTGCTGCTTAAATGAGACTCAGGAGAGGCAACACAACAGAAGCACATGAAATCACTGAAGCAGTTTATTACTCACAGATCCATGAGACAGAGGGTGTGCCGACAAAGGCAGATGAGAAGGCCTCCAGGGCGATGTGCTCAACCAGCAGGTGGGGATCCAGAGCAGGAAGACCTAGGGTTGGAAGACTTTTTGCTGTTGAAGGCATTACTTAAGCAGGTTACCTTTGGGAAGTTCCAACTGGTGGGTTCTTAGTGCAAATGGCACAATTTCCATTGGGTCACACTGTCTGAGCATGGTCACTGTGGCATGTCTACACAGTCCATGTGGGATGTGGGGTCACTGGGGTGAGTCAAGTAAGTTGTATCTACATATCCTATAGGTAGGTGGTCACTGTAAGTCAGCTGTATAAGGCAGATATCTGGGCTGACCATGTTGAGGAACTGGAAGGAGGCAGGGAACTTGAAATTGTTAAGGATGAAAAAACCCAGATTCTGGTATGAGGTTAAACTTAGATTCAAAATCAATGCTGAGGCCACATGAAATGATGAGAACTCATGACAAGAATATATAGCAGAGGCAAATGATTTAATAGTTGTAAGAAAGCACCAATCTTAATGAAATGGGCCAACAACTTCTTGTTTCACCAGATATGGTGGGAGAAGAACGTCAAAATTGCAGACAGAGCTGGGAATTCTGCACAACAGGCATCCTCAGGGTTGATAACACTCAATGCCAACAAACTTGTTTATTGCTTGATGATACAACCTCCAGTTTTCCACAAAACCTTTGCAGGCCCCTTGTGTGACTTGGTGTTATGGTGGGCTTGAAAAAACACAGTAGGCTTAAAACATAGATGTAAACTAAGTAAATTTTATTAGCCATATATTCCATCAATTTTTAATTATTGAATCAAAATGGCCAGCAGAAAAATATGAGCCCTTTTGACTATTTATAACCTTTGATATTATAATTCTTTTATGTATTTAACATTATTTTATTATATCTATTGCTCACCATGATTATTTTTAATAGAGAGATTATTCATGACTTTCAATGGTAACATTATCTTAATTTTTCATTGGGTGTTAATTGATCCTGAATTTTATAGGTCTTTCTGAACTTACATTAGGTAATGTGTTTCTAAGACTATTAAATGTCTTACAATGTAATGTTAGCATTGGGTGTACACACACATGCACACACATAGAGACTTTTCCATATCTAGCATAGAGAGGAAATAAAATTGTGTTTCTTTTTTTTTTTTTTTAGAACATACTATTTAAGGATGCCTATAGAAGCCTGAAAATGTTTATGTCTTGTCTGTACACACTTATTAAATATTCCTTGTTTGTACATGTATTATTTGTACTTGTATTAAAGTATTTCATCTTTTAGTGTTATGTTTTTGTATTTTTCTCAGTTGGCTAGCACTGCCCTGTGCGACTTAATCTAAGCGGTAACCTGCAGAGCTTTTTGGATTGACAAGAGAAACAGCGTGCCATTGCTTTTTTTTTAAAGCATGATCCTGTAAAATTATGTCACACTTGCTTTGAGTTAAAATGAATAAATTGTGCAATTTTGCTGAAAACAGTACGAACTATTTTATTTGATGATGGTGAGGGGTGTGGGACGAAAAACAGAAATCATCATCCAGAAATTAACAAAATAATGGCAGCCACAAACGAGTTACAAAGGAGTGCGTGCATTTTTGCATTGAGTCTTAAGCCCAAATTAATCGGAAGATGGCTTTTCAGATTCCCATGGAAACCCTGTGTCACCTGAGGACCAAGTCAGCCTCGCCCAGCAGATCTCAGATGTGGTGAAGCAGCCTGCCTTCATTGCAGGAATTGGAGCAGCCTGTTGGATCATCCTCATGCTCTTCAGCGTCTGGCTCTATCGACACCGCAAGAAGAGGAACGGACTTACTAGTACTTACGCGGGTATCAGAAAAGGTATAAGCTTCTGCCAGGTTTTCTTATTTAAACGTTTATAAAACTCTTGATTTTCTATTTGATTCCAAATTATTCATGGTTATGCATAGCCTCTAAAAATGACCTTCATATATAGAGGGCCCAGTTCCTTTGAAACAGATTTCACCAAGGTGTGTCTAGCTTTGGCTGTTACACCATTTTCCTTTTTTATTAGGGAATTACGTTATTGCTTTACATTCTTGAGGGAAATTTTTAATGTCCTTGTTATAGGAATTATAAACGCAAGCTTTGAGCTGTCTCACCCGGTTTCAGGGGGGACTTTGTTACCCTTTGTGAAGCACAGTGGAAAATACCGCCAATTGATTATTTATAAAACACTCCTTTCTTGGTGGATATGGAGGGCATGACGGAGTGATGTCCTTTTGCTTACAGAGATAAGAGGGTTAGTGCATTTTTATTACTATAGTTAAAGTTACAAAATTGAATATGTGTTTGCTGCTACTTAGTTTGGTAATTTTCTTACAAATGGGTTTACAATTTTTAAAAAAGACAGCTTGGGTGGCCACTATTATTATTTAGAATTTTAAAGATGACCCAGATACGCCAAAGTTTTCACAGCTACGTTTGCTACTTATCCTTAAACTCTGAAGACTGCTGGTATTTTTATGTTTTTTCTTCTCAGAGGAGATTGTTAACAGTGTCAGACAGACAAACTCCCTGTCCCCTGAATACAGTCATCAACTCTGGGCCTCCATCTGGCCTGTAGGTGAGATGGCTGTAAATCCCAGTTTTCAGGAACAGTGCAGTTTACGTCATTAGTCCAACAAGATCATTTCTAGTGCTCCTTCTTGCTTTCAAAATTGTACCTACTTAAATGGCAAATTATACAAATTATAGGGCCCGTCCTTCAGTCAAATGCAACAGCTTTGCTTTGCTGCAAAGCACATTTAAAGAGGATTTCCCATAAAAGAGTCTTCTGCCCTACCATCACCAACTTTTTCCTCCCTAATTGTCTACATAAATGAACATTTCCTACACATGTTGACCAGATTGTTTCTCTGACCAATTATATGGCAAAGTCAGAATTTTTCATTTTAGCTGGAATTTGAATGTCCCTATGCATAGATAAAACAGTGTGGGACAGCAGTCTAAAATATCCGTGTTCTCCGTCACAAGGAGACTTAGCAAGAAAGAGTCAACACAAATGCATCCCTAATATTATAAAAATAAATCTTGCCACCTGCCTGTGGCTCAGCAGCGATCTCTTCATGTACATACATTTGCTTTAGCATTATCATCCTTAAATATGTTTTTTTCAGATATGTGTCCTATCTAGGGAGGAAGCAGTATGTCAATACTCCCGCCTGTGAAATGGAAAATGAGGGCTTGGAGGTTACTGAAAAGAGAGCTGGTGCTCATTATGTATACAAAGTAGAAGAATGTCAGGCACATGCTACCATAGAAAACCTTTGACTAAAAATAATTGTAGACAAGGGGTTTTGGGGTGTTTTTGTGTGGTGGAGACAGGAAGGGGTATGATGTTGGGGGTAGATGATGTTTGGAAATCTGATTTGAATGAGGAAAAGAATGACTAATTAACATATAGATGTGGAGTCTCTTGAATTCTTCATCAAAAGACTTCCATCATCAACTGTGTTTTGCAAATAGCCAGTCAGTGGAATCCTGTGTTTCTTAACACAATGAAGTGCCATAGCTATGTGATTACAATAATTTAATGCTCTACATGGTCCTGAAATATAAAAATGTGACATGCAGCTCTCCTTCCTACTGAAATGTTTCTTTTCCTTTACTAACGTACTTTGAGCATGCTGACAAATGCCTATGTGCTCTTTGTGCAAAACCTATTAAACTAATACCATTGCCCCTTCAACTTAGCCTGCGTTTAAGCAGAAATCATAGAACATAATCACAAATGTAATTTGATGAGCATTTGATTCTGCTTTCTTCAATTTGTTCTGTTGACCCTTTTTCATAATTTTGTTTCTATGCAATTTTTTTAAGTGCATTTTGAGATCTTAAATTTTCCATGCCAAAATCAATGCCGGGTCATTTTAAGAAAAATAGAAAGTGAACTATTTTAAAGAATAAAACTTGTAAAAGAGACTATTAACCTTTAAAACATCAAGGCAGAGTGTAACTTTTGGGAAATCCTGTCCACATGCGTTCACATATTGCACCAACATCACTTAGGTACACAAAGAGTTTATCGTATTATTGGAAGCTTTGAAAATTAAGTTGTTATTTGAGGTGCTAGCAGTGAAAATTTCATATAGATTGACCTCCTTTTCATCTCTTCTTCAATTCCTCAAAGTGGGGTTAGCAGTTAGCTAGAAGAAGTAATGACAGGGACCTTTCATATTTCCTGGTGTCCTTGTGATTGCAAATTAATGTTCAGGCACTCCATTCTTGCTTGAATAGCTTTATTTTCAAATGCACCTTTCATTTTTTTTTTAATGAAGACTTGTTACTATGGCTCTGAATTTTTGAATGTAGCTAAATTACACTGACTCACTGAAAAGACCTTACTGAAAGAAAACACAATAGGATTCTTAAGACGGGGATCGCTGTGCTGCCAACGAAGGCCAAGGTATAAATTGGGACACAGCATTGAGGTTTTTGCTTTTGTTCTTTCTAGTATGCTCAGAGACAAAGTGGCTTGGGAAGAAGTGACAATTGTAGAGGATGCTATAGTGTTTCAGTTTGCAACCCCAAATGCTCCGATTCTCCAGTAAATTTCTTGGAGATGTTCAAATCTGAAATAGAAAATATATTTCTGGAAGCGTTTGGATGCATGATAAGTAATCAATAGTCTAGTTTGTTATACTAAAGATTAGTTTAAAGAAACTTTAATCTTAGAGGGAATAACATATATTTCATTGCTTTTTTTTAACCAGAGCAGTGTTTACTTTACTGTAACATGAAGAGATTGGAAATAAGTCAATCTCCTCCCCCTGTGAAATGACATGGAAATTGCTCTGGCATTATCCAACCCCCCAGGAATGAGAGAAGATAGGAAAAGTGGGGGAGGAATGGCTGCTCCTTTTGAGGTCTGCAGTTCAATTTCAGGCATTATTGATTAGATTAAGATTTATAACTGCAGAGAGTGTGAAGGTTTTCAGAGAGGTGTTATTGTTCTATTGTTTAGCTTCCACTCTGGAATTAAAAGAATGTCCAGCCTACTTCTAGGAAGTTTCTAAAAGTAAACTCAGATAAAGAAATTCTAATTTAAAACTCAACTTCTTTCTGTCCATTCTCAATTTTTTATGATGATAAAAATGTCATTTATATGATAAAATGTCAGGTGTTTCCGCTTAGTAAACAGTTAAGTTTTATGGTTCTCTTTTACTCGGCTCATCTTTCCTTTCCTTTCCTTTCCTTTTTCCTTCCGTTTTGTTTGTTTCTTCTTCCCCTTTCCTTGCCTTTCCTTCTTTTCCTTCTTTCTCTCTCTTTCTTTCTCTCGATGTTGAATACGTAAGTGCACCTAGTGGTTCACTTTAATATAATAAGCATTTACTTTTAGATTTCTAGATAAGGTTCCGGCAAGACTCTGATAATACGTGTTTAAGAATCCATCATCCTGTGTTCGGAGATGATTAATAGTGGAGGATGCCTGTTTGTACTAAAGCCATGAGCTAAGTCTTTGTTACTAAATGCAGGGTCAGTCACAGGCTAACCCAGCACCATTCCCCTCCTGAGCATGCTAGAATGTCAGACATTTCAAAATGGTACCTGTAGAGACAAGCTCTATTTTTAACCTCAGAGATGGTTTTATTCATATATCAGAGTGTCAGAACTACTGGCTTAGTTATTTACATTTGTTTTATGTTCAGCTGTCTGCTTGATTTATACTAATGTGATATGTTCCCTTTCTCCCTTCAGCTTAATAACTGGTTTCTATTTTGTTTTGATTTTCCAGTCCCGTCTTTTACCTTCACACCAACAGGTATATATTTGCACTTACCCTCCTCCTTTCCATTGTTAGTTTGGCATGTGTTCTACTATTGTGTTTCTGTTTTTATTTCATTTTCTGCAGTAAGTTGGGGAAAGAACTTAAAGTGGAGTGTTACACTTCATTTACTCACACCAGGCATGCATTTGAAGTAGAAATGGTTGGTGTTGCTTTTCACCCATTCAATGCAATTATTTATTCACAGATCCACACTGGATCTTAGCCTTGTTTGCATGTGTTTCATTAAGTAGACACACTGTCTCTACCTTCAGCATGATTTAACATGCTAATGATCTTATTGACTATTTCAGACTTGGCAGTGCATTTTCAACATAAGCTTTCGAGTTTTCCAACAAAAATTTCTCTCCCTTATAATCCTCCGTCCCTAGAATCAATATTGTTAAAGGTAACCCAAATATCCAGCCCATGTGAAAGATAAAACTTTTCGTTTTCCCTAAGTCAGAATCCTAATATTCTGTTCTATTCCATTTCTTTCAAAATGGGTCCTCTTCTGTCACATCACCTCCAGGAAAAGATGTACCTGTACTTATGCCCTCTCAGTTTTAACCCAGTTACTGTAATCACTGGGAGCAGTTATCTCTCTACAACAGACTTCCAGTTTGGAGTTCTTCTAAGTAGCAGAATTTGGCAGCTTTAAAAACACAATTCTTCGTAGAAAATGTGTCTGTATTTACAGAAAAGCTAATCTTCTTAACCACTTAGCCTAACTATGTGCAAATCTTTTTTGTTGTTCTTGTTATGGTTCAATTTTTACACCCCAAATTCATTAAGCTGAGAATGCTTTCAAGAGCATTATAATATATTTTGATTACCTATACATGTCTGATGAAAATATAATGAGAAATAGTTTGCACAAGCCACAATGAAAAATAGGTCACATGAATTAATAGTCACAATTTGGCATACATCTTTGTGTGTGGAAAGGTTTATTTTAACATTAATTTACTGGTACTCATACTTCTGGGAAAATAATTTAGTATTTTTTTTTCCTGAGTTTAACACATAAAATCATGAAATTATGTAATCTAATAAATTCAAAATGGAAATCCATGAGAATGCTAATGTAGATGTGTAATAGTTATATTTAATAAGTGTGTACTGATGTTTTGCTTTTTCTTGATTCTCAACCTTATTGGAATATGAAGAAAATAAGAGTGATATATAGAAAGATATTTATTTAGTTCTATACAATATTTAAAGCAACATTACTAGTTGAATAAGAAATCTGCTACATCGTGTGATTTTTTTTTCAATGCTTCTAGGTAGGAAGGGAGAAGGAATTCTATTTTAGAAAGATGCTCATGAATGTAATAGCTTTTGATATATAAACATGTCTATTAATTGTTCTCTTTTTTTGTAACATTCTAGTAACTTATCAGAGAGGAGGCGAAGCTGTCAGCAGTGGAGGGAGGTAATTACCTTGCTTGTTTTGTAGATCCTTAAGGGAATTCCAAATATTTCTTCTTCATCTTCCTCAACGACACCACTTTCTCTGCTTCAAATGTCTAATAACTTAAAGGTGAAATTTATTTAGTTCCTTGAGAAAGACTCCATTCAGCTGTGCTGTTGAACGAAGCTATTTACACACAAATGCAGTTGATTGGAGCAGTTGCACCTTAGTAACCACCAGAGGGAGCACTTTAACCGAGAAAGAGAGACAGCATTGCTGATTTAGCAAATGATTAAAAGGAGTTAAAGTGACTAAGCTGCAGCATTTATGAAGATTAAGAAACATAGCTAGTTAACAAATACTACCAAAGAAAATGTGTTCACTTGAAAAACCTGCTGAACACAGCAATTGCTCATAATTTGTAGGTTATGTTTGTTTGTTCTTGTTATGAATTCAACATAGTTCACGTCTCCATTTGCAGGAAAATGTGTTGAAATAAAAGACGAAATCTAGGTAGCTGGTTAACAAAGAACGTTTTCCTTCCTCTAATTAAAATGGATCTCAATCTTATATTTGTGATTTTTAAAGTAATTATTATTCAGTGAACTTTAATATATTCACAGAGAAATCACAAATGAATTTGACAGCCAGCTTAAAGGGGCTTAAATAAGGTATAAGTTACGTGAGCCAAGCTTCAGGATTTTCCACAATTAGGCGTTTTTCCCTCTAAGACAGTAACACCTAGCTTACAGTGTAAAAAAAAAAAAATCTCCCAACCAAAACCATCTTATAATTCAAAATCAGTGGACTTATTCCATAGTATTCAAGGAATATATCATCGGATAAGAAAATCACTTAATGTATTTACATAACAAGGAGTGATTTTAAAAATAAATGTTGACCACATTTAGCCTATGCTGTACAAGTTTGGCAACAAGTGCTAATCTTTTCTTTCCTGGGTATTGCTAACTTCCTGTTTTCATACCTGTGAAACAAAGCCAGCCCGTGAAAGACCCAAAACTAGGGAGGTTTTCATAAGGAAAAAATCCACTTGATTCAGGAATTAAACCAGGGCTTGTTTGTGCATCCAGGGGAATTCCATCTAAATCACAGTGCAGACGTTCATGAAAGAGCCTCTGGCATAAGAACATTTTCTCGTAGGTGAATCTGGAATACGTGATTTTATAACCACTTCATTACATGTGTATATTCATGACTGTAGATTTCAACTTCCTCATTAATCAAAGCATGTGAAAGTGCTTCTTGAGCATCTTTGGTATGTTCTTCCCTAGCCTCTGTGCGTGGGCGTGTGCACACAAGTATCACACACACGTGCACATGCAGAAAAGTAAGCCTGGTTCCTACTCCAAAAAAATTTACAACCTCGATAGGTCAAACTAGCCCATGGGAAACAATGGCAGGAAAATGCATAGGTAGCAAATGCTAGTTGCTACAGCAAGACTGAAAAATCACAAAGTTCCTGAGCTGTCTCTTTGGAAAGCTCACTGTTATCACAAAACAAACATAGCTTTTTAAATTTAAAAATAGAATCCCTGGCAGTGAAACTGATTTATTTCAAATACTAAATAGAAGTGATCATTTTCCTAAATGAAATGCTGAACGATGTTGGGATGTTACGGAGGCCACAGTTAAATAAAGATTTCAGAGTCAGTCCTCAAAATGTCAGTTATATACAAAATTTTAGATTTATTTATTCATGCAGTATATTGAACACTTACTATGTGGCAGGTACTAGTTTACTTACTTGGGAAGCATCAGTAAGCAAAGTGGATAAAAATTCCTGCCCTTCTAGACGTCACATTATAGTGGGAGAAATGCAAGATGAATAATACACTTTTTTTTTAGTCAACTGTATAATATCAGCAGTTGATAAATGCTATGGAAAAAATAAAACAGGTTGAGGACAATAGGGAATGCCTTAAGAAGGAGCCCCATTCCTAGCCACTTATGGATGTGTGTGTCAGTTTGTGTGTGTGTCTGTGTGTGTGTGTGTGTGTTTCTGTGCCTATGTTTCATGATCCACTGAGATAAGAGAATGAATAATGAACCAAACTCCTACACTGACTTCTCTTGTGTCTGTCTCTGAAGCACCAGTTTCTCTCGTGTGTTTCAGACTCTCTGAGCCTTCACTGGACTTCCTACCTCACTTGGTTAATGACACCTAAGCCAAAACCTTTCAGTCATCCTCTTGGCCCTACTGTATCCATGACTGCACGTTGATGCTGTCTCTTACTTCTTTCCCTCTAATATTGTTTCACTTCAAGCCCCACTTCTCCTTTGCCTAATCTGTGACAAAAGCTCTTAAGAGTCCTACCTTTATCTATAATACCTTCGTTAGCACTATTTCCTGCTAATTCCCTTTGCTCACTGGAGACAGAATGATCTTTTGAAATGCATATTGATCATATTTCTGAGCTCCAGAAAATCCCATTATCAATAGGACCTACCATGTTTAGAATATCAGCTCCAAGTTCGGTATAATATACAAAGTCCACAAACTCTAGGGCTGTGCAGACTTACTTCACACCTCAAAATGTGCTAGACCCTGCAGTCCACTGTGTCACCCCACCTGCCATTTACCAAGATTGCATTCTCTGTGTGTCCTTACTACACTGTGCATGGATCACATAGGTCTGGACTGTCTCCCCGCCCAGTGACGCGTGTCAGGTTACTGAATTCCGCCTGCTGTGTCCTCCATTAACTTCTTTTTTTGTTTTTTGTTTTGTTTTGTTTTGTTTTGAGATGGAGTTTCACTCTTGTTACTCAGGCTGGAGTGCAATGGCGCGATCTCGGCTCACCGCAACCTCCGCATCCTAGGTTCAGGCAATTCTCCTGCCTCAACCTCCTGAGTAGCTGGGATTATAGGCACGCGCCACCATGCCCAGCTAATGTTTTGTATTTTTAGTAGAGACGGGGTTTCACCATGTTGACCAGGATGGTCTCGATCTCTTGACCTCGTGATCCACCCGCCTCGGCCCCCCAAAGTGCTGGGATTACAGGCTTGAGCCACCGCGCCCGGCCGTCCTCCATTAACTTCTAATGTGGAATTACCTCAATGAAGCCCCTAACATAAGAAATGCAGTTATCTTTTGTTTATATCAGAGGTCAGCTAGTTGTCGCTCTTAGGCCAAATCCAGTGTTGCTCCTGTTTTTGTAAATAAAGTTTTATAAGAATACAGCCAGGCTCATTTGATTATGTATTTTCTATGACTGTGTTTGAGCCACACTGGCAGAATTGAGTAGTTACCAAAGAAACTATATGGCTTGGAAAGCCTTAAAAGGTTACTATCTGGTCCTTTACAGAAAATGTTTGGCAACTCCTGGTAGATATGTTTGCCTCTGACAATAGAATGTGAGTTCCTGGGGGTTGGAAATTATATGGTTTATTTATTGATAAGTGGATTTTTAATAATAAATGTAATTTATTGAATTACATTAATAAATGCAATAAATCACATGAATGATTTATTTTTGAAAAGATGTCACTGATAAGTAAGAAAAAAATGAATGAGCCATTGAATAAATGAATGTCAGAAGGCCTGAGTTCAGTCCTTGGTGACTTGAAAGAAATTTTGAAGGCTCTTTCCTGTAATAAAGGATAAGGTTGTCTATAACTCTGTTGTAGTTCTGAAAATTGCAAATGTAGTTATTCCTGGAAAAGAGAGAATGAAGATTGTGGTAAGCAAAGAGACCTCGTCCCAACTTAAGAAGGACAAAGAATTTGTGAGAAAATCCAGGGAAATGATCATGGAAATATTAAGTAGCTGTTTCTATTCATTTGTCTTCCTTTCCTCAAACATCCCAGGCAGTGTGTCCAAAAAAATGTGCTTAACAATCCAAACCACAGCTTAAAGCAAGAAAGCAGCGAAAACCTGAAAAGGGTGGGGTGGGAAAGCCTGGCTAACCGGGTAGGGAATGCCAGTACCGCATTTCCTGTTGGGGGGAGGTGAGGAAATAGAGCTCAAGCCTTGCTTCTCTTTAAAGTACTGGCAATTCTGTAGTCCCAGCTACTCGGGAGGCTGAAGCAGGAGAATTGCCTGAACTCAGGAGGCGGAGGTTGCGGTGAGCCGAGATCGCGCCATTGCACTCCAGCCTGGGTAACAAGAGCGAAACTCCGTCTCAAAAAAAATAAATAAATAAATAAATAAAATAAAGTACTGGCAATTCGTAGAGCTATCTCCTAGCTTTAAGGCTCATTCAATCTGCTAGTGGGAAGGGGAGACAGCCTGACAAGCCTTCCTGCCAGCCTCCTTCACCCTTTCCCCAAATCCTGGACTCTGTAGTTTATTTTGTGATTGAGCAGTTCAAATAGGCTTTCTTGGGGTTAGTGATTGGAATATCAAGAGAAGAGTAGGAATTTAAGGTAATTGCCATATAATTACTGAAGGGCATTTGCCCTCTTTTGCTTCATGACACAAATCTATCCACTTAATATATGGTAATATTACATAATAATATTTAAGAAACATGTTAATCCCTATAATCATCATGTGGATTTTTTTTCTGCTCCTTACCTTAAGCTCAATATATAAAGGTAGCCTGTGAAATTGCTTTAAAAAAGACCTTAGAACCTTTATTAGAGTAGCTACATATGACCTTGACTTCCTCAAAGTCCTCTCTGACATACACATGGCATTTTAAGGGTCATTATGGGCCAGTAATCATGGCTCACCTTCTGCCTTAAATAACTAGCATCCCAAATTTAAGTCTAAACAGAGAACTAGGATGTAAATAGATGATTCAGCTTCCTGTTGGAAATCACTCGTATATATGAAAAGGTCTCTCAGCCTATCATGGTATCAAAGCCTTCACTATGAAAGTGTTTTTCAGAGGGAATCAGAGCAGCATAAAAATATTGTCTATTCCTTTTGAAACATGTAAGTGAGTCTGTGGAAAATTTCCTCTTGACCCATACTTCAGATACCCTATAACATCTGTGCTATGTCACGGATGAAGTTTTATTTTTAATAACTTCTACAGTGATAACATTCATAGTTTAAGTTCAAAGAAAAAATAGGAAAGAAAAGTTTACTAGATGCAGAATTTCTATAACTAATATCTATTTCAAAGGCTCCAGATATTGATGTTATAGCTTGCATTTCAATGTTTAAAATTTCAACAATTTGGAAACGTTGCTCTTCAAATCATGTTTTTATCAATAATTTTAATAGTAAGTTGGCTCAGTTTTAACAGCTTAGACTTCAGATATTTTCTCCACTCTTCTTATTAAGAATATCCCGGAGCTTTAGGAAACTTCAGCACTCTCCAGTATATATGTTTTTAAAATCTTAGATTAGAGTGTAAACTCTAGGGCCAGCCTGCTAGGGTTTGAATTTCAACTCTGCCATTCACTCACTTTGTGTAACCATGCACAAGCTTCTTAACCTCTCGATATTGCAAATGATGTGAGACTTCAGGTCTGAGGCATAATTCTTCCCATGTACAGTTGTGGCTGTATAAAGGGAGGCACATCCCAAGACCTCATATTATAGTTTCCGTGTGTGTAGAATAAAAGGGGTAATATCATTCAACATAACAAGATGAGGAATTTATTGGAATTTAAAATAGAAAGGCCTTCTTCCCTCATCTTTAAAATTTGGATAATGGTACCTCCTTTGTAACATTGTTGTAATGACTAGATGAGTTCATACATGTTTAAAAAAGAAAAACCAGAACAACTGCTCACACATTATAAGCAAAGAGTAAATATTTATTTTATTATATGTGTACCCACATACGTATACAGAAATGAATCCCAAATCTATGGTCTTTGTATAGAATGGATTATTTCTCAACCATCATTTCCATAGTAAATTTCCTCCCTTTTGTGCTAGAATAACAGCCATGGAAGGTGAACTGTCAGATTCTTTCTTCCCAGGTAAATAAGAAACATAATTATTGAATTTTAACACAGAAAATAAATAAAACCACCAAGAAAACCTTTGCAGAGTCTATCATGCCAGTCTGTTTGTTGTGAATGGGACATCACCTCTTTCGTGGAAGGGAGATGATGCTGGATGAAGTCGGTGTTGGAAAAGGAAAGGAAGAATGCCACTCTTGGACTCCAGTTTGAGTCCCTGTCTCTGGTGATCCAGGGCTCCCATTAATAATCGCCAAAGTACCTGGGATTCCCAATGCACAGTAAAAGAGGAAAAACATATTTTGTGCCAAAAAATAACAAAATGAACGCTAATATTCTTTTTAGTGGACATCTCTGTTTTATCAGATTTAATTTATCAGATTTAATTCATCAGCTTTCCTTTGCTTATGTTGGCATTTATGACATTTTACATTGCCACCATCAGAAAATGTTGACAAGCTTACAGAACTAGGCACTGAAACATTGATTAGAATCTGTGTAAAATGTCACAGAGCCCCAAACTCATTAGATATGAAATATAGTTTTGGAGAAAAATATGCCAGTGCATTTAATTTGAAGAATCTATTGTCTGAGTAAAGAGGCTTGTTTCATTTTTTAATGAAGTTGTAAGGAGTCACATTTTTTTAATTGGTCAAAATGAAGAAGTGCAAACTCTCTGCACTAGGGTATTTTTTTAAGCCACTAAAAAACTCAAAAATATTTTCATATTCCATGTTTGATTTTGAACCATTATGACTAAAAGCAGAATAGAATGTTGCAAATAATATGAGATTTTAGGTCTGATGCATAACTCTTCCTGTGTACAGTTATGGCTACGTCAATGGAGGCACATCCCAGGACTTCATATTACAGTTGCTTTGTGTGCAGAATAAGAGGAATCATATCATTCAGCATAGTTCACCAGATGATTTGCGAGAATAACAAGATGAGGAATTTGTTGGAATTTTAAATAGAAAATATTATTCTCTATTCATATAACATTTGCTTTTATATATTTTTGTCTTCAGGCCAGGACTTCTCAACATCAGTGAACCTACCACACAGCCCTGGCTGGCAGACACGTGGCCTAACACTGGCAACAATCACAATGACTGCTCCATCAGCTGCTGTGCGGCAGGCAATGGGAACAGCGACAGCAACCTCACTACCTACAGCCGCCCAGGTTAGGGACACAGAGAGAGCGTGATATGGATAAGCTTTTTAGGAACTAGCCAGAAGATGTTTTCTTCCCCTCTCTCTACATGGGAAGATGCGGTTTGACCAATATTTTATCCAATGTTGACTACTGTTTAGCAAAATAGCCTGATTTAAATATTTGTTCCATCCTTTAACCTCCATACTTTACTGTCCACTAGAAATATTTTTCCCAGATAATTGGGAAGATAAACTCTACAATCAACAGCAAATAAGGAAAAATAAAATCATGTGAAAGTATTTATCTTTTTTTTTTTTTTTTTTTTTTTTTGGAGACAGAGTCTTACTCTGTCGCTCAGGCTGAAGGGTAGTGGCACAATCTTGGCTCACCGCAACCTCTGCTCCCTAAGTCCAAGTGATTCTCATGCCTCAGCCTCCCGAGTAGCTAGGACTATGGGCCTGCACCATCAGGCTCAGCTAATTTTTGTATTTTTTTAAGTAGAGATGGGGTTTTGCCATGTTCCCCATGCTGGTCTCGAACTCCTGGCCTCAAGTGATCCATTCACCTTGGATTCCCAAATTGCTGATATTACAGGTGTGAGCCACCGTGCCCAACTATAAAAGCATTTGTCTTTTTTTTGGTGACATAGTCTCACTCTGTAGCCCAGGCTGGAGTGCAGTGGCACAATCTCGGCTCATTGCAACCTCCGCCCCCAAGTTCAAGTGCTTCTCCTGCCTCAGCCTCCCAAGTAGTTGGGCTTACAGTCACTTAGCACCACACCCAGCTAATTTTTGTAATTTTAGTAGAGATAGGGATTTACCATGGTGGTCAGTCTCGTCAAAAGTATGTATCTTGGTAAGAATGGATGTGATGACAATTTCTTTCACCATTTTTGTTTGTTTGTTTTTTGTTTTTTGAGGTAGGGTCTCACTCTGTATCCCAGGCTGGAGTGTGGTGGCATTAACACAGCTCACTCCAATCTCAAACTTCTGGGCTCAACTAATCCTCTTACTTCAGCCTCCCAAGTAGCTGAGACCACAGGCACAGACCACATTGCCTGGCTAATTAAAAATATATATAGAGAGAGATGTAGGTTTTGCTATGTTTCTCAGGCTGATTTCAAATTCCTGGGCTCAGGCAGTCCTCCTGCCTCAGCCTACCAAAGTGTTGGGATTACAGGCATAAGCTACTGTGCCTGGCATATAATTTTAAATTGTAAATAAATGACCTTTAATCATATTTAATTATTTTTGAGATTTGGTAAATAACAAAAAACAAAAGGTAAATAAATTCATAAATATAATGAACAAAATTCTTTAATAGTAAAAATAATAATAATCTACAACAGTAATGACAAAAATTTTTAAATGAAAATTAACTGAAAGTTTAAATCAGATTTTATAGTAGCAAATCCTGAGGACACAATATATATATGTATGTACATATGTCTATTATATGTATGTACACACACATACATATATTGCAGGTGTGTATGCATACATTTATTTTCCATTGTCTATTTGTTGGGTCAGATGTTTGTGTGAGTAAATTACCTTGCTAAAATTTCATGCCAAAACATAGTAAAAAATTGAATGTACAGTGTATGAGATTTAAAGTAATAACAAAGATAAAAATTAACAAAGATTTCTTACAAGACAACCCCCCCCAAAAAAAGACAATATTCCCATGTAGATAACATTAAAATTATTGTAAGGAATCTGTATGATGATAGAAATAAAATAACTCATGGAATTAAGGAAAAGTGAGAGAGAAGATGGATTTCAGTAAAGATGTTACACATTGTAAAGAACAAATCACAGAGGAATCTGCATGTCTCCCCTTAAAAAGAATCCTGAGCCTCCAATGGATGTGGATGTGACATATCTATGTAACCAAGTCTATGTCCTCCAGAGGTCCATATCTAAATGTCTAGACAAATAGATATTCATGTAATCATAAGTAAAAGAAAAACTAGGTTGAGACCTATAGGAGAGAAGAAAATGGTGATACCCATTTAAATTAATAGTTAGAGCTGTGTTGTCCAATGTGGTAGCCATTGGCCACAGATAGCTATTTACATTTAAATTAATTAAATAAAATATAATTTAAAACTCAGTCTCTCATCTGCACTAGCTAAATTCCAAGTGCTTGGTAGCCACATGTGGCTAGTGACTGCTGTATCGGACAAAGCAGAGTAGACCATGTCCAATATCTCAGAAGTTCTTTTGCACAACACACATATAGAATGACTGGTGAAACAAAATGAGATTGCAAAACCATCTGACTTTTATACTATTTCTTAACCACTGTTAAACAAAACTAGAAATTAGAAATAAGAATCGCAAAGGTCAGATGAATCAAGTATTTCTGCTCCCTGTGATCATTCACGGTTGAAATGCAGAATACTTGAATTCAGTAGGATAGAGAAATTACACATTTTTGTTTAGATTATTTCATATTCACATCTTTCATAACAAGCATGTTAATTCATCATTTTTTAAAGATATCCAGTTAAAAACCAATGCTACAGGTCACTTGTTGATGTTGTTACCACTTCTGGGCAATATGAATAAAATAATGATATTTTTATCATTGTAATTTAATTTTTCTATTATAAAACTTTTAATTTAAAAATATGATTTTAGTTCTTCCTACCATTTTAGTATTTTCAACTTTAGACCTTAAGTGTATATATATATATATATATAATATGTATATATATATAATATGTATATATATAATATGTATATATATATATGTATATATATATATATAAACATACATATAATATATATATTATATATGTGTGTGTGTATATATATATATATATATATAATATATGTATGTTCAGTTATTTAATGTCCAAATATTTCAATGAAGAGAAAACTGGAGTGGAAATGAGGTATTAGATATTTAAGTATTATTTCAGGCTGTATTTGATTCAGTGACCCAGGTTACTATGATCCCTTTTGTTATTATTATTGTCATTTTATATTTCTTGGGGTGTTACCATGAAACCATGAGAAAATGATTATATAGCATGATTTCCAGATAATGGTCATCCAGTATGACCACAACAAGAACTAGCAGAATTCTCCTTAGTACGTCATTTTACGCCATTCTTCATATCTTTTAAATATAAGTATTTTATAAAATATTGAAATCTCAAGTTCTATCATCTATGAGTAGTTTTTTTCCCTTTAGATTTTCAATGTATGTGCTTTCTCTGTTGCTTCAGCAGCTAACCTGTAGTTTCACATAATTCAGTAACCAAAGATTAGAAAATAAAAGTTGGCACATAAAGATATTTGTGTATATATTATTTTAGTCAGATTCCTATTAATGAGGTTATTAAATAAAAATTATTTTAAATTGGATGAATTGTTTACTTCAGCACTATCAGAAATTCAAATTTGTTTAGTCTCTATTCAAATTCTGTGCACCCTCTCTTATTTTCAACTATTAATTTTCTTTAGAAAGCACATGCGGACATTTGGCCCTTTTTATTGATCTTGTTTAAGCCCACTTGTACTTTGCATAACGATTTTCTTATGACTCACAAAGCTACGTAGAAAGAAATCTAAAAGGAATAACCATGCAGAATGACCATTTCCTTTTCCTCTCCATTGCACATAGCTGATTGTATAGCAAATTATAACAACCAACTGGATAACAAACAAACAAATCTGATGCTCCCTGAGTCAACTGTTTATGGTGATGTGGACCTTAGTAACAAAATCAATGAGATGAAAACCTTCAATAGCCCAAATCTGAAGGATGGGCGTTTTGTCAATCCATCAGGGCAGCCTACTCCTTACGCCACCACTCAGCTCATCCAGTCAAACCTCAGCAACAACATGAACAACGGCAGTGGGGACTCTGGCGAGAAGCACTGGAAACCACTGGGACAGCAGAAACAAGAAGTGGCACCAGTTCAGTACAACATCATGGAGCAAAACAAGCTGAACAAAGGTGAAGACGCTTGCATGTATTCCCATCCGTTTCTGCTCCCTGTGATCACTCTCAGCACCTCAACTAGATGTTCAAACTTGTCTGAGACTAGCAAGTAAAATCTTTCCTTCTGTTGCTAAGATTATCTTATTTCTTTGGTTTCGAAATTTCCCGTGTCTAAGAGTTAATTAGCACAACAATAACCTTGGAGAATTTATTTTATAATAATATATAAGTATTTTCAAATGATATTGAGATTAATTTAAATTTAATAGGTGAGGGAATGGGAGGGACAATCTTTTATTCATGAGGCAGATGTACAACTGTCACAATACCTCACATTTTCAATAAATAGACTACCCCATTCTTTCCACTAGAGGATGGAAGATAATTGCTTCTATATGGTCATATAAACCAATGGCATTTTTATATCAACCTGAAATAAAATAATTAACTTGAACTGAAGAAGTGGTTCAATTTGTTGTATGTCTGCTACCTCGTGTGGTTATTAAGACTGCTGCAATATATAATTTTAGAACCTAAATTTCTTTGGTTGACCTGATAGAAGTCTGTCCATATAAAACCTAAAATAAATTGAGTTTAGTATTAACTTGAAGCTGCAGAATAGTATTCTGTGGCCTGAAGGAAATGTTTCTCTATTGTAACGTGTAGGAGTTGGAAAAGATAGGTGTTTGATTTCGCTGTAGTCCTTTAGGCTACTGCTTTAATAACATGATTTGCCAAGTTATACCTCTAAGAAAACTGGGATTGCTCTAATGTGAATAGTTGGGGACAATGCATCCCATCTATTCCAGGTAAAGAATGTATTTTCTGGTAGATAATTGGAGACATACACTTAATTTCTTTAGCGTTGTGTTGGGAACATTTTCCTCAAAAATACAACCTAACTGCAGAAGATTACAAAAATTTAACTTAAAAAATTCATTTGGGTTAATGTTATATGTTTTAACTTGATAATGAAGTGAGCTAGCCTTTCCTCAAGTTAAAGAAAGGACTTGATTGGTATAATAACCCAATTTAATAAGTATTGATCGAGACTCCTGCATAAGTTCATGACAAAGACTGACAAAGATGAATAGGATAGTTTCTGTAATCATGGAGTTTGCAGTGGTGATTCAAACTATTGTCACATTATCCCTTCATAGTGTATGGTTTTACTGTGGACTTCGGAAAGCCCTGAGAGCCTCCGTACAAATATTTCAGAACTCTGATTTATTGTTTATACTGCTTGTAAGCAGATTTGGTATGTCAGACTATAATAAAGAACCTGGAATGCAACTAAATGACAGATTATTACTGACTACATTCCAGTGGTGAGCTTATCATTTGGATTTTCACCTTTGCCTAAGTAAGCAGAAACATTTCTGGGGAAAATTAAGATATTTTGTTTCTTTACCATGGATTTTTTTTTTATTAGATATAACCTTGCTGACAAGTTTCAGTTTTATTTTTACGTTATTGTGATTTGGTTTTTATGATTTGCAGACATGATATTTTTATGATTTCTTATTAAAATTATATTGTTATATCGTTCAAGTTATTTGTAGTTTATATATATTTGGAGTATAAGCTTTTTTATTTCCTGACAATCTGAATACAACAATAAAAGAAAAAAAAGGGAAATAAATCGTCCAATTAGTTTCTTTAGTCACTCAGAAATATAGATACAACAGAGATGTGAAACCACTCACAAAGAGACAATAAAGGTTTTTTTGTTTTTTTGTTTTCATCTGAAATGTCTAGATTATCGAGCAAATGACACAATTCCTCCAACTATCCCATACAACCAATCATACGACCAGAACACAGGAGGCTCCTACAACAGTTCGGACCGGGGCAGCAGTACATCTGGTAAGTAAGGTGAACCAAAGAATCTCTCCTTTAAAAAGCTGGTACTTTCCAAGATTACAAATTGAGTGCCAGTGGACTGATGTACGTAGGTGACGTGTCTAAATCACCGTATGTAATTTGAATCTCAGGCATGTGTCTTGTCTCTGCAATCTGAGGGACTTTCCACTCATTAAGTCATTTTATGTCCTATTTGGCAACAAAGTCTGACTGTCCTATTTTCATTCTTGTTAATGAGCTTTAGTAAAGCCAGAAGAAACATGTTTGCCTAATCTTTAAAGGCAGTTGAAACTTCTTTTTCCCCCTTGGCCAAAATATAACTTAAAATGTTACACATAGAGCTAATCTGCTAAATATGTTGCCATTTGAAATGAGCCTATAAAAGCACATAATGTTTGAGGACACTTGAGCAGAATCAAAAGCCTAAAAGACAATAACATGAGATTCAGGCACAGTAAGAACCTGTCTCAGTTTATCACCTCTCTATGATCAATCCCTCAGTTCTGACTCTGAAGCCTCGTAAAGCAATCTCCCAACCTCAGTCTGTAAGTGCCTCCCGAAGTCACACTGAGACCTCTTCCCTGTGGTCTTCATGCTGTTGCAGCTGTTTGCCAGCTGTTTTCCTGATAGGGGCTGCAGATGGGAGCTTGCTGGGTACTTAAGTCCTGTTTTTCTAATTAAAGGCAGTTCATTATTAGAACTAACATGTGGCACGTCATACCACAATGAAAACAAAACTGATTGATCTTGACGCTGGCAATGTTTCTTAAGGAGAGTGTAGAAATGGCACTTCCCAGCAACAGGATTAAAGTTGTTCTTAGGGGCTTTTAGCTAACAGTCTGTACTCTTCTTCTGAAATGAATATGGCATTTGCATTTTACAGTTTTCCCTTAACTCACATGCTGGTTTGGCATTTTCTAGCCTGTGTTTCTGTTGAAATTAAGGGAGCTTAGGAATGGCCCTTTACCATTTAGATTTACTCTGATTCTATTATATGTTGTTTGTTTTAACAATTAACATCTTATTAAATGACTTCTTTTTTGAAACTAAGTCAATCCTGAATTAAGAGAAATATTTCAGGGATCTACTTTTAAGAAACCCATATGAAATATTTTAATATTTGTTTGTCTCATGCCACTTCATCTTTGAATTCTTAGTCACATAGAGAATACCATTTCTTAATGGGAAAAAAACAATGATTCTAGATTATTAATATTTAATTGACCTTCTGTATCCCTCAGCTTAGATACCTAGATCTGGATGTTCTGCTGCTATATATCATTTGAAATTCTGTGACTATGTCGTAAAAAGATATAAATATCCGAAATCTGATGGTAATTCAGGAAGAGAACAAAGCAAGTAAATAAGATATAGGAGAGATCTGTCTCAGGCCTCTCAGGACTGATGAAGTTGCTACAGTAGATACATGTCAGGAAATCCAGAGGAAGACACTGGTTAATGTCTAGTCTACAACACATGCACCGTCATCCTGTCATCCCAATACTGGACACCAGAGTGGTGGAAGAGAAAAGAGATGCATACATATAGGACTGATTATCATAGTTTATTAATAACAGCCTGTCCCTAGCACACACCTGGTGCAGTAACATAGCAGTACAAGAACATCTGGCTTAACAAACACTGCCATTTGACTGAAAATTCCCAAGTGACAAGAAAATCAAGGCTCATTGAATATGGTCAGACCTGGTTCATGTATTACATGACTTGGAAAAGATTTGAATAAGGTTAAAAAATAAGACCAAGATAATTCACTGATAGTAAGGGACCTTATGAGAAAAACAATTATAGAATTATCTTCTGTAATTCACATATGAATCTAAATGTAATGTATCAGAAAGGGGGATATTTTATCCGAAAAGATTTGTTGACCTAAAGTTTTCTTTAAAATAAATGCTTTCAAATATATAGAGCCCCTGTGTTTAAAGAATATGCCAAATCTAAAATGAGAACACTGGAACACTTGAATAATTGGACGATGTCAAACTACTAAGAATGTTCAAGCAACATCATTTTACCATAAGCCATCATTGTATAGAAACAGTGGCTGAGAACACTTCTGTGCCTTTTAAAAATCGTTTTTCTGCCTTTTTTGTCATTAGTTCTATCAGTTATTTCAGCTATTATTTCATCTGTACTTGCCTTTCTGAAGGAAACTAGTAATTTCATTGTGCCTAAAACATTTCAATGGACAAGTACAAATTATATATATTCAGTGATTTAATGCAACAGTGGAACTCTAATAGATCGTATCTGTATCATATTGTATTTTAGGTTCCAGCAATTAAATAATAGAAAGGCACTCCTGAAAATATGTCTACAGCTCATTTGTTTGAGATGATAATCCATAATGCAATTAATTGCTGTAGGAAGATCACTATTAATGATATGGCTTGAAACATCCATTCATGGTTTTATTGCTTTTTTGCTATTTATTTTGCAGTTATACGTGGAAATGCTTTGCATTTTCTCTTGTACAAAGTTCTGTTTAAAATTAAGGCGAAAAAGTGTGTTTATGTCTGTATACATAAATGAATTATAAAATCATATTTACAAAAAATAATTAACTTGTGACAACAGAAAAGGTTTAAAGGTCAGATATCAAAGGCTTGTATTTTATTTCCTTTCTAGGGAGTCAAGGGCATAAGAAAGGGGCAAGAACACCCAAAGTACCAAAACAAGGTGGCATGAACTGGGCTGACCTGCTTCCTCCTCCCCCAGCACATCCTCCTCCGCACAGCAATAGCGAAGAGTACAACATTTCTGTAGACGAAAGGTAAGAGGAGTGTCTAAACAAATGTCAATGATGTAATATGATTGTTTCAGCCCATTTTAAGCAACTATTAAACTGGATGATCAAGAGAAGACTGATTTCTAAGATCCACAAACAATTGCCTTTAAATAAAACAGTGCTGGTCAGCAGGAGTAAATATTCTCCTTGCTGCTTCCAAAACAGGAATTTGTGCTTTGAAAGATTCTTTTGGAACTTAGAATAGACTAGAAAAATGAATACATATTAGCTCATGTATATATCCTGTGTGTGTGTGTGTGTGTGTGTGTGTATATACATAATTTAACATATGGACGTATATGATTTGTGATTTTTGAATAGTAGAACTTCTGTGGCATGTCTTGAAATTTTTATAATTGTGTGGATTTATACAACAATGACAATATCCTGAAGGTTATTTGTTCTTAGATATTATCATCTGATGCTGAGAACTCTTTGTAGAAATGTAAACTTTACTGAATTGTTTCTCTAAAGATTTAACAAGTGTAATAATCCACATGATAACAATTAGGAAATTAGTGTACCTCTTTCTCACTCCAGAATCTGTAGAATTGGACGTGGTATCACCAAACAAAACAGCTGCTTCTTTAACATAACCAAAGGAGGAAAACTGCTTTAAGGTGGAGAGTTAACAAATAATCATAAAATATACCTGAAAATGTAGTCTTTTCTGTGACTGCAAAGAAACAAAGACATCATTCCTTCATTCTCCACACACAGAAAGGTGTATTACAGTTTCAACTATGCCCATAAACAAAGCCTCCATGTTTCCATTTTCTAATGATCTTTTTATAAACTGCATTTTTAAGTAAAATTCTTATATAAAAATATTTACAGAAAACTCTCATTATTCACCATATTTATGCTTTTTAAAATTCTTGTGGATAGTGAGTTAGCAACTGTGGAACCATCGGTCCTTGGGGAAATACAGGGTTAAGTTTCTTTTAACCCCTACCCACAACATATTTGTCAACTGACCAATACATAACCTTGTTTTATGTATGTTTTTAAAGGAAGCTTATTTAATATATTTTGTTCATTTATTAATACGGAATCCAACAGCACTATACGTCATTCCTGAGTAAAGCTTATTTCGCAGATACATTTTTTTTTTTTTTTGTAAGGCACATCACAGCCTTCCAGGGCTAAGAAACACTAAACAGCACTTCCGCACTTCTTTTGAGGGCCATTTTAAACAGGGAAATCACTAATGCAAAGTTTAAAACACTTCAGCAAACATGGCACTAAATAAACCATGAAAAGGGCCTTTGTTTACAGTGGGAGGACTGACACAAGAAAGCAGAGTGTATCCTTGTTTTACCTCTGCTGGGAACATGCACATCAGGCGCTCATATTTTTGGCCTCTTTGTGAACCTGTGGGAATGACCATGAAAATGCCTCAGATACTGATTTTGGGGTTTACAAATAAATTTCACCAAGTCAGTGAATTTGCAAATATGGAATCTGCAAGTCATGGAAACAAAACTGTATGTTTGGTTTGGTTTGGTTTGGTTTGGTTTGGTTTGATTGGTTTTGCTTTGTTTTTAGAAACAGGGACTCACTCCAGGGCTCAAGTAATCCTCCCGTCTCAGCCTCCTAAGTAGCTGGGACCACAGGCGTGGCACGGTACCCAGCAAATTTTATTTTATTTGATTTTTAGAGATGATGTCTCCCTGTGTTGCCTGGGCTGTTCTCAAACTCCTGGTCTCAAGCAATCGACCAGTCCCAGCCTCCCAATGTGCTGGGATTGCAGGCAGGCATGAGCACTCTACTTGGCCTGAATGTATTTTTTTAAATGCATTTCCCAAGCTATTTTAACAACATTCGTCATGCTTTGGTTCACAAAAATAAGAGGACTAAAATGAAATAAGTGAATATAGGCTAAGAAAAATAAAAGCTATATAGGAGACGCATCTGTGTCCCAAGGAGAAAGACTGATTCTAACAGAGAAGAATGAAGGTTTCCTGATTGGCTACATTTGTTCTTGATCTGGACAAATGAGAAGGTTCACAGTTAAGAAGGAGGGGTTTTATGGACATGGGACCACACAGAGATGTGGAAAAACTAACATGAAACACATGGTAGGGAATGAAAGGAAGCTGGGATGGCAAATGCAAGCCAGATTATGCAGATACTTGAGTGTCTTGCTTAGTCCTTTAGATTTTATTCTCTAACATGGGCTGATTGAAGAGCACATGAATAACCTGTGTGTGATGCATATTTATGTAATTTTAGAAGCAATGGTGTGACTGGAGGCTAGGAGACCAATTAAAAGATTATTGCAGTAGCACATATAACAAATAAAAATAAGAGAATAGATTCTACAGAGTTCTTATTTATAGAATGAAATGAACTGGGGAGTAGTTTAAGGAAGAAGAAAGTGAAGTCAAAGATGACTAAAACATTTCCAGTTTGGGTGAGTAGGCAAGTTGCTCAGATATTTGTTAATTCCAAACAAAAACATAGGATAGAGGCAAAGTGGGAGATTGATTAAGAAAATAAAGATGCAAAGAAACATTATTTAAGCATCAACTTTTCTGAGTTCAGGTAAGCAAGGTGGGTGGTAGAGAATGAACATGAGAAATGGGTAACAGAATCACAATTTATATAATGTAGTACATCATTGCCCTTTTAATCAGTAAACATACACCCTGGGATAAGAGAAAAGAGAAATCGTGAATCTTCCCCAGATCCATCTTGCTTCCCACCCAGCTCCAGCAGAGGAGTAGAGGGGCATTTTATTATTGTATTTTTCACTCACTATCCTAAATGGAAGCCAACTACTTCATTTTGTGTTCAACTGAAGAAATAGTGATCTACTATAATTTCAGAGAAATAAATGGGTTGTATTGAACTAAATAGGTTGATCTCCAGTATATCTTTCTCTGAAAGGATTTTTAAGAGTAATTTTTCTCACCTGGGCACAGTGGCTCATGCTTGTAATCCCAGCAGTTGGGGAGGCTGAGGCAGATGGAACACCTGAATTCAGGAGTTCGAGACCAGCCTGACCAACATGGTGAAACTCTGTCTTTACTAAAAATATAAAAATTACCTAGGCATGGGGATGCACACTTGTAATCCCAGCTACTCAGGAGGCTGAGGCAAGAGATTTTCTTGAACCCAGGAGGCGGAGGTTGCAGTGAGCCGAGATCGTGCCATTGCACCCCAGCCTGGGCAACAGGAGTGAAACTCTGTCTCAAAAAAATAATAACAATAAAAATATATTTTTCTCAAAATGTAGCAGCTCATCTTCAGGTTCTCTGTAATACCATCTTGGAGTCTTCTTTTAGAGAACATATTGAATTGGAGGTACAAACTATACCAAATACATTTGGGGTGTACTAAATTAAGCCATGTTATGTGAATTTTGTTTTAATTGCATGACTTCTAAGACCTTATAATATGCTAATGTAAATTGCAATCTCTTGGAGAAAAATAGTCTATGCAGTAATTCACAAACCTTGTGAGGTAAAATCTTTTTCAACAATTATCTCCTTAACCTGACTGAGAACATTCAGATTTGAAAAACAATTTAAAGGTGACATTTCATTACTATCCAAGTAGTTTATTTGAATAATCTGAAGTAAGTCTACACATCCTTATCATTTCTTTTAGCTATGACCAAGAAATGCCATGTCCTGTGCCACCAGCAAGGATGTACTTGCAACAAGATGAATTAGAAGAGGAGGAAGATGAACGAGGCCCCACCCCCCCTGTTCGGGGAGCAGCTTCTTCTCCAGCTGCCGTGTCCTATAGCCATCAATCCACTGCCACTCTGACTCCTTCCCCACAGGAAGAACTTCAGCCCATGTTACAGGATTGTCCAGAGGAGATTGGCCACATGCAGCACCAACCCGACAGGAGGTAGGCTGTCACTAGCCTTCTTTGCCAACAAATCAGATAATTTCTACTCCTCAGTTGAAGTTATCAAACGCTATCCCATGAAGTAATTTTCTTGTCACATAAGCCTTTTCGCAGCATCATCCCACAGTAAGCCCACGTAATTAGCATATGGAGTCATATTGTTGACCATTGCATTAGATTAACTGATCCAAGTGAACTTGCAACCATAAAATAATATGCATTAATACTCACCCACTTATAAAAATTATAGTCATAACCACATGGCATATGGTTTGCTAATCCTGTAATATGTGATTGACAGTGGATGTTTTGTACTTCAGTTTTCCTTTTGCATTGGTAAATTACTTCTTTAGTTGGTAGAAAATACATTTTCTCCTCTCTTTTAAAATGAAGTTTACATAATAATGTGTTCCCTCATAACTATAATGTCACAGAAGAATGAGTTTGATATGTTCTTTTTGTGTTGACCTCAGAAACCTTTATTTTTGTTTAGATATGAGTTTGGAGTTCTTTAGTCGATTATTATGTACTGTGTGTGTATGTGTGTGTGTGTATGCACGCGTGTGTGTGCACGCTTGTGTGTGCTTAGACTTTTCTAAGCCTGTGTATTGAGCATCCTTAGTGAATACATTTTGGTTATATACAATGGCTTCACCTGTCATTTCTACCACATAAAAGCTATTACTACATCATGTTAGCTCTTCCCTCATTGTTGATGATTTTATTTATACTGTTTTATTGCCCTTGACATATTATATGTATATATTATTTTCTGTATTTCTAATATCATTTGAAATTGAGTATATTATTTGTTTCAGAAGATGTTCCTTTGATATTCTCAAATGAATAACAAATTCTGATTTATGTGGCTTGACTTTTACTCTGTAGATTAAAAGAGATTCTGCAATGTTTATTAACTCTTTTATTGTAAAGATTACCAGATTCAAATTACATACACTGTAAAATAAGAAAGTAGTTAAGCTTTCTTCTATCTGGCAGTGAGAAAGTTGGATTATCAGACATTTTAAAGTAATATTATTAACCCATGGAATGTCATGAAAATTAAGAGCAAATAAGGCACCTCTTTTCCATATTAATATCAGGATCATCCGTGCTACTCTTATTAGAAGACAATGAGAGACTAAAAGAGACCATTTAGTTCTGAAATACCTAAGGATTCTTTTTTTGTTGTTCCCTTGTATTACCTGTTTCCTCACCATCCTGTCTCTATTTTCAGGATACCCAATATTTTCTTTCTGGCTAACTCTTCTTTTGTATTCTTACGTCCTCCTTTCCACCTTCCTTGATAACAGAAATCGGTTTTCCTTTATCTATCTGGAATGTACAGCGTCTTCCTCCTCATTCAATTCCCCTTCTCTTCAGGGTTAACCCTACTCCCGTCATACATTCCTCTTCCTTGGCCTTCCTTCTGGTTCCGTGCTCTCCCCCTGCTTCCTTTTGTTTAACTCCTTCTACCTTCCTGATTTGCATTCACACCTCAGCCCACTGCATTCTGGCCCATAACTTTTTGCTTCAATCAGTCCATTGAAAGTAACCTCCTAATGGTCAAATCTAAAGGCTTCTCAGTCTTTATCATACTTAGGCTTTCTGCATTGATGGTCATTTTATAAATTGTTGTGAGAATCAATGGATAATGTTTGTAAACATCTGAAGCAGGGTAAGTATTCAGAAATATTAGTGCCCTACCGCCCTCACCTTTACAGTCATCCCACTGCTTAGTTCAACTATTATATTCTGATGGCTGTCAAATTTCTTTAGCCAGCCTAGACCCTTTTCCCAAATGCCACAGTATTTCCATTTGAACTTCACCATGTGTCCAAATTCAAATTCTTTGTCTTTGGACTTGACTTTTCAAACTTGCCTTTTCTTTTCTTTCTTTTCTTTTTTTTTTTTTTCTTTTAGACCCAAGTTTCACTCTTATTGCCAAGGCTGGAGTACATTGGTGCGATCTTGGCTCATCACAACCTCTGCCTCCTGGATTCAAGCAGTTCTTCTGCCTCAGCCTCCCGAGTAGCTGGGATTACAGGCATGCACCACCAAGGCTGGCTACTTTTGTATTTTTAGTAGAGACAGGGTTTCTCCATGTTGATCAGGCTGGTCTCAAACTCCTGACCTCAGGTGATCTGCCCGCCTCAGCCTCCCAAAGTGCTGGGATTACAGATATGAGCAAACTTGCCTTTTCTTTTACTTTGCTGGCTATCTTGTTTAGAATTTTCAACCACTATTCATTTGACCAATGTTTTAAAATAAAATGGCTAAGGGAATAGGCAAAACTCATAAAAACTACCTTTGTCATTTAAAAATCAGCTTAGTTTCTAACTAGCATTCTACAAATGAGGTTATTCATGAAATCTCTTCAATCCAAAATGCCCTTGATTTTGATTTTGCTCCTTAGTTTCCATTCCAGCAGCTTCTAGGCAGGCCCTCCACCCCTGTCCCGTGAAATCTGCCTTATCCTTAAAGAGATCTCCACTTTCCTTCTCTCTGTTTTTCTGTTCATTCTCACAATATCTTTCTTTGCACACAAGAAGTCTGGTAATGCTCCCTCATTCGGAGTCCGGTCTTAGTGTTTAACCCAGTATTTAGAGTTTTTAAATAATCCTTTTCCCTTTATTTACTTTCCCTCCCAATTTCGTCATGTACACTCTTTTCTGATTAGTCTGTTTGAAAGTCCCTAACGTTGCCTGAAACTCGTCATCATCCAGGTCTTCTACATGCTCTTTTCTGATTGCCTGGCAAGCACTTATCTTTCAAATTGCTGTTCAAATGACACACGCTCTGCTTGCCTGGAAAAAACTCACCCCATCTTTTCTTTACTCTTCATAAAGAGTCTATTCCCATCGGTGTTACCACACTAACCACTTTTCATGTTGCATTAGCATTTGCTATTTGTATCTCTATTTTCCAATTTAAATTAAAAGTTTTTTGAAGACGGAACTCATCTTGTTTATGTCATTGAGTTCTGCAGCGCTTTCTTCAATAAAGTATTTGATAAATGGAATTGGATACTATGGAAGAATTGGAGTCGATCTGCTGTCTATTGTTTTAGGCTAATGGATGATTGTAGAACTTGAGGCAGGTAAATGTAATTGGGTAATACATTAACTATCTTCACTTATAATCAACTTGACTATATGCAGCCTTTTTCAAAGATATTATTTTTAATCTATAAGGATATTATGGATTTTATTTCCAGGATCATTGCTGGAAACAACACTAGGCACTAATAAAAAGTAGGTGAAAGCCTATTTTTAAAAGTGCTTTAATTGCTATTTTATGATTAATGTATATTCTATATGTTTACTATATAAACTTTTGAAAATACCTATAAACAAAATGAAAATATAAAAGTCCCAGTGATCTATGTAATCAGACAGTCAGCGTGAAGACCTCAGTAAAGATCCTTTCAATCTTTCATCTTTACTTATCCTCACAAGGCTTGGATTTAATAACATGCCAATATTATTTTATAAACTATTTTTTTTTCACTGAACAACGTTTTTCCATGTTGGTAGCATTTTATTTAGACACTTACATAAAGTGTGTTACTCTGTTTAACCAGTTCCTTGATATTGGCCATTTCAATTGTATTTACCTTTTTGATACTATATACAATGTTATGATTTCCATCTTTAGGTAAGTATTTGAATGAAGTCACTTCTTGATCCCTTGATCTATTCAAATACCTCCCCCATTAGTAGATGACTTCTGAGTCTTATCATCCTGCCATTTCCCTAATGGTACACTCATGGATATAGATAGCTATTTCTCTACAAATCTCTTTCTGGAGTTTCAGATCCATATATCCAACTACTTGTTCCTGTAGATTTTTACTGCCTAAATATCATTCTGAGTGATACACATATCTTCAGCCATAAATGCACTTTCCTAGTTCCGACAGTCATTTTCTCTCGCCTGCATTACAGTAATGTTCTGCTAAGTGGTCTTGTTGCTTCAGTCTAATTCCTCGCTGCAGACTGTGCAGAGGCGTTTTCCTAAATTGCAACACTGATCATGTCTCTCCATTGCTTAAGATCTCTCAATGGCTTCCCATTTTTCTTAAAGGCAAGGCTCCTTAATGTAGCAATCAAAGCCCTTTGTGCTCTGACCCCTGTGTGCCCTACCATCCTTACGTGTTGCCACTCCCTCATCAATGTCTATGATGTCTTCACTCTAACTTTCTTCTGGTTCCTGGAATGAGCACAGTTCTCACTCATCTCACTATCTTTGCACAAGCTCTCCCATATTCCCAGAACACCACTTTCTCTTCTCCGTTTGGAGCTAACACCTATGTATCCTTTAGACCCAAGGTTATATGGCAGATCCTCCTCAGTAAATCTTTCTCTGGTGTCCCAACTTTGGGTAGGACCCATAGTTATGTGTTCCCACAGCATTCTATGTATCCTCTGTCATTGCATATTTAACTAATTATTTGTCTCTTCCACTAGACTAAACGTCCCTTCACACATGGATATATATTTCATTTAGGTGAATTCCTAACATAGTGCCTGAGTTCCTGTTTCTATTGCTGTATAACAAACCACTCCAAAATGTAGTCATCTAAAGTAATCATTTTATTCACATTCCCGTGAGTCAGGAATTCTGAAAGGAGTCAGCTGGACAATTCATCTCCAATCCATGTGGCTTTAGCTGTATGGCTGGGGCCAGAAGAACTACTTCCAAGTTAGGTTCTTCAGTCATGTGTCTGATGCCTCAGTGCTCCTTGTCCTCTGCCTCTTCCCACATGGAGTCTTATCCTCCAGGTCTCACCAAATTGTCTGGACCTTTCATAACAGGGAGTCTCAGGGAAATGGCACCTCTTTCATGGGAGCAGGTGTCCAAAAAGACAGGAAGGGGAAGTTGCCAGGCCAGTTAATAACTACATTTAGAACTGGTGCATAGTCTTGCTTCTGCCAGGTTGAATTAATCAAAGCAGTCACAGAGTCCATTAGATTCAAGAGTGTTGAACTAATCTCCCTCTCTTGATGGAGAGTGGCAACTTCTCATTTCGGAATAGCATTTGGAACGGAGACATGGCTATGGACATTTTGCAGAATACAGTCTGCCATGGCCAGGTAGATAGCTTACCTTAATTATGTATACCTTAAAATTGAATCCTTACCTGCCACAAAGCATAAAGCAAGTTACCTAAGCTCTGTTTGCCTATGATCTTTTTGGTATAAATCTAACAGTCTTTACCATGGTAGGTGCACAGTAAACATTTAAAGAATAAACACATTGATTAATTTTATATTTATTGATTAGTGGCACAGATAGTGTAATTTTATATTAATAAAATTACTAAACTTAAACCGTTATAACAATGCAATGATAATTAGATCAACATTACAGACCCGCATTATTATGAATATTTCAACTTTGGCATTATAATGAACTTCTAGGTTATTTCACTTTTGTCTAAAACTGGGTATACTAGGTGATCAACACAGTAGGAATTTGTCTTCTCTTATTTTCAAACAATAGCTAGGAAAATAATGTAATTAAACTTATTGTCATATATTTTTTTAAAAACTGATTGATATAGTTAAGTTTGTTGCAGTTTAGTAAAAGTCTCTAGAAAAGTACAAATTATTTTCATGTATGGAATAGGAGATTTGCTTATTTTATTAATACAGATAAATTGAGGTAATAGTTACTTATATAAGAAATTGAGGCTACATTAGTGTTAGAACAAAATCTCAAAGGTATGCATTTTTCTCCTTTGTCTTGTGCCTGGTAAATGCTATGTGGTGAATGGTATAAACAGCTACTTTGATAAATTAATGACATCACTCCGCTTTTCTCTTGAACATGTTTATGAAGGCATCATTCTTGCAGGAGACTAGAGTGTTGCGATTCATGGTCATATACTTATACATTATTTCAGGAGACATTGAAACCCCTCAGGGGGAGAAATCTAGAGGGTTGAGGTTCATTTGAGACAAGCCTCACTTGAGTGCAGCATCTTGAAATGGCTTTTTGTTTTCCAATAGAATGTATTACATATTTCAAACTGTACATGTTTATCACACATTCCCTGGGCTTGCCTTATTTACAGATGGTTTGAATAACTTTTTTCTGTCTTTCTTCAACACTTGTTAGGGGTGGTTGTAGTTAAAAGCCAGCCCTTGTTTAACATGAAGATATTTTTGCTCTACAAAATGTGAATTATTCAAACACAACAATGCTGGCATCCTTTCATAGTGAAGCTGGCCATTCTGCATCTTTCTTTATTGATGGTCAAAATAGTCCACTTTGTGCTAAAAAGTCTTACATGGCTTTAAAAAGGAAGACGTTTCTTGTGGTATTTGGGATTTGTATGCTGACAAAGATTGTAAATTAACTTTTAAGTGTGGTATTTTGTTGCATTCCAAATTAGACAATGGTTTTCCTCCTATGTGAACATGCATTCTATATTGAAACAATTATCCATTTTAATCTCTTAAATAACTTCAGCTTTGGCACATTTTTCATATTTCTCCTAGTGCCACACACAGACACTTTATAAACCACCCAGAATTGAAAAGTAATGCATTATATTAAAGCATGCTGTGTGTGTATATATAACATATATATATATACACACATAATAATATATAATTAAACGTGTGTGTATATATGCATACTTTTTCAATGTAATATATTAGCTTTAATTTCTTGGTTTTTTAAATGCATCTGTATGTGGCACGTATCTCTCCTAGCTTATATGTCTACACACACACACATACATATACATTATATACTTACACTTATATATGTGTGTGTGGAAGGTCATGACCTTAGAAACAAAACTTGATTTTAAATTCTGTATTTGATACGTGAGATCTATGGGAACTTTGGTAAGATCCTTAATTCCTCTGAATTTTAATATCCTCTTCTGTAAAATGATCATTTAAAAAGTAACTCAGAAAGTTATTGAATTAAATGAGTACATCTTGTAAACTATGCTTAGCTACAAAGTAAGTGCTCATTAAATGAATTACAGTATTTTTAATAATTATTTTTAATGTTTTCTATTGCATTGATAAAACAAATTTATTGAAATATCTCAATTCATTGAGATAAAAAGCAGAAAACGTTTTTCTTCAAAACACTGCCATGCCACCCTAAAAACTGTGCCATGTCAAAATTATTTTTCCTCCTCTATACTAGAGATCTTAGAGCAGATCCTACATGTTTTTAACTGTATTTAGATCTTAACCAGATCCTGTATCCTGTATGGTTTGGTTTTGTTTGCTTGCTGTTGAAATCTAGTTCTATTAATTTAAATTAATTCATTAATTTTTGTTGTTGTTTTTTATTGAGACAGCCTATGCCACCCAGGCTAGTGCAATTATCTCAGTTCACTGCAACTTCTGTCTCTCGGGCTCAAGCAATTTTCCTGCTTCAGCCTCTCAAGTAGCTGGGATTACAGGTGTGCGCCACTACACCTGGCTAACTTTTGTATTTGTAGTAGAGACGGGCCTTCGCCATGTTGGCCAAGCTGGTCTCAAACTCCTAGCCTCAGGAGATCCATCTGCCTCAGCCTCCCAAAGTGCTGGGATTACAGGCATGAGCCACCATGCCCAGCCAGTTCTGTTAATTTTGAAACCTTAATTGTGCATTCCCAGACGTCCTTTGCCAAATGACTCTTTCAGTGGCTATGGCGGCAAGAAGAAAGTGAGCATGTTCCGCTTTTAAATACCTCCCTCCTTTTTCCTCTGCCAGGTGCATTCTCCTAGGGCTAAGGTGGGGAAGATGGAATGAGAAAAGGGCAAACTAGATGAAGATCTTGTCTTCTGCTTGGATAGCCCTAAAGACTATTCTATCTCATCTTACACTATGAGTATCATAAGTGTGGTAAAGGAGAGGTGCCCCACTGATGCAGGCCTCAGTCCTAGGCACCACTGCAGTTATTAAATGATTTATCCATATCTTCAAGTAAACTGCCAGTTGATGGCATTCATGTCGTATCTCTCCTAGCCTCCCAAGCTGTGGAGGTCACCAGATGACACTAGACCCTAATCTCTGCTGCTCTCCAATACTGGTGCTCAGTTTGGCAGCTTGTGTAGAATCTATCCTCTATCCTCTTTACTTCTCAGGTGTGCAAACTTTGTTGAGTTGTTTTAATGACCTTTCCATCTGAAAGTCCTCCATGTATGTCATCTCTTTAACCTTGCTTAGGGAATATTAGGACTGTTGAGCAATTCACTGACCAAGAAATCCTCCAACGAGAAATCACCATGTCTTCCTTTTTCGAAGGCACTCTTAATTTAAGAGTTATTCTCTTGGCATTCTCCTCCCGTGGGGATGGCTTCTTTCCACAAACCTTGCTTTCCACCCAAGTCAATGCTTTATACCTTCTCAGTCATCTGTTCACTGTGGATCATAGCACAAATGGTGTTAGTGGAAGGATAGCTTTTAACTGTTGTTGTTCTTCACATCTGCAGAGAGATGGTTGAAACCAATTAATTGGTAACTGTGAACCTATAATGTAGGATACTACAATACTACTTCATTTTGTACTCAACTCTGGTTCTAAATAATTATATAAAAATTACCTTTAAATATTTTTAAAAGGTAGAATAACAATCAATGCAATAGTGTTAAAAATAGTTAATATTCTTTAATGAAACTCATAGTGGATAATTCAGAAAAAATTACTCTTGGCTCCCATAGCTTTTTCTTAATAGAATAAAATCTAAAGGAAATTATGTCATATGCTGAATGTATAATTTTTAAAATCTTATGAAATTTTAAGCTTTATAGTGAAAGTGAATGACTTCATTTGCTTGAAAAAGTAGGAGTGGTGACAAAAAGGAAAGAAACAGATATTTATGGAGCAAACTGTTTCAGGATGAATGTCAGTTGTCTTCAGGAATGATAAACTGCGGATAATGTTTGAAATGCTTTAGGACAGATACAGATGTTATGTTTTCAAAACAAGAATTACTTTTCCTTTTTTAACCAAACACAATCCAAAGAATAAAACACAAGAAGACTTGAAGATAATGGGCCATATTTCTATTAAACTTAAATCAAAAAGTAACCCAGTGGAGCCTCTGGCTGTAAAGTGCAACTCGATATAAAATCAAACTTAAATATACTTTGTTTAAGTATATTTAAGTTTGTTTTTCTGAACATATGAGTTCAAAAGAAGTAAAGATCAAATCTGTTTACTTGTTAATTTCTTGGGTAATTTCACCTTTTATATCTTAAATAACAAGCTGAGCCAGACCTATTTTATTCATCTTCATACAGACGGCAGCCTGTGAGTCCTCCTCCACCACCACGGCCGATTTCCCCTCCACATACCTATGGCTACATTTCAGGACCCCTGGTCTCAGATATGGATACGGATGCACCAGAAGAGGAAGAAGATGAAGCCGACATGGAAGTAGCCAAGATGCAAACCAGAAGGCTTTTGTTACGTGGGCTTGAGCAGACACCTGCCTCCAGTGTTGGGGACCTGGAGAGCTCTGTCACAGGGTCCATGATTAACGGCTGGGGCTCAGCCTCAGAGGAGGACAACATTTCCAGTGGGCGCTCCAGCGTTAGTTCTTCAGATGGCTCCTTTTTCACTGATGCTGATTTTGCCCAAGCAGTCGCAGCAGCAGCAGAGTATGCCGGTCTGAAAGTGGCGCGAAGGCAAATGCAGGATGCTGCTGGTGAGTCATAAGACCTTCACCAAGCTGGGAAAGAAAACTCAGTGCATGCATGTTTGTTGCTGATTCGCTCCTGTGATCTTAAGGCCTATTTGAAAAGCAACTGTTATTATCGGTTTTTTTTTTTAGCTGCCTATGAAAATGACAGTTCAAGAATATGACTTAGTTGGATTTTCCTTGACAAGGCTTCTTAATCTATTTTATTTTTATTTCATAAATTTTACATAATATGAGTGATAGGAAGCTAACTTATTTTTAGGATAGCCATAGCAAATATATCGATTACACAAATTGATATAATTTCTTTATACATATAGTTAAATGAAATTTGTGTTTTTGAATGTATACTCAATTTTTTTGTGTGTAGAATGTCACCAAAATCAAATTTATTGTGATAGCTCTCTTACCTTATTTAAATAAAAATTATGTAGGGGAAATAGATAAATACCCAAGTGGAACACTTTGACCCTTGGAAAATGGGCTATTTCTCCTTAATCCCCATTCTCTTCATGTCCTCTCAAATTAGAATGTTAATTGGGAAGATATAAAGATATACATAATGTACATACATTTTCAATGTTCAGTGTTCCAAACTTACAGTAAATATTTTATGTGTAATAATTGGGACAGCAAGCTAATCCAAGCGCTTTTCATATTTTTCCTTTCATTGCCAATAACCTACTTTTAATTACTGTATATCCATCTTTATAAGTTATTTTTACTTATATCCTCCTATTCCCAACCCTGTTTAAAAAGTAAATAGTTCTAGAAAGAAAATAATTTAAATGTAAGACTTATTTATCATGATTTTCATTTCTGTAGAATTAATATATACATTCCCATACATATTTTTGTGTGTTTGTATTTTTAATAGCCAAGAAAATCTAAATAGTAGAGTAAAACAATGTGATCACCAAGAAAGAGATACATTTCAGAGAAGGAAAAGACCATCACAACAAATTAGTTACTGGTATTTTACTGTCTTTATTTTTCTTAGTTTAGTAATTACCACATTGCTAATTTTCCATGGTCCTTTCAGATATTGGATTGGTCATTATTTTTTATCAGTGTAGAATATATTCAGAGAAAATTTAAATCACAGTATAAAATCATCTCTATATATGATATATCAAGAATATGTTATAGGAAAAAGATTTCTAATATCTCTCAACTTATTATTGTAGAATATATTATTTATTTTAGCCAAGTCTGTATTTTTGACATTCAACCAAATATTCTTTTTTATTCCTCCAGTAGCTGCTGAATGTAATAAGCTATGCAAACCTAATTACCTTTCTTAATAAATAAATAACATCTAACTTTACATATAGCTTTTGTTTCTCCTTATTTTTTTAATCTTCTGTTTAAAAAAGTGAAATTAACCATCTCAAACCACTGCTTTGAGAATACATTAAGAAAATATTTCAGTTTATTAAATGGACAAAACATAGATAAAACATTGAAAATTCATCTGTAAATGACCTTATGCCTCAGGGTCTGTGAGCAGTGAATGGTCTTATGCAACAGAATAAATAATGGGTTCAGTTTCAGCCCTATTTCTCTGTTTCATGGATATGTAACTTTAATTATAATAGTCTCCATCATAGCTAAAGAGAGTCGGTTTAATATTTTATTGTATTGTAATTTAGTGGCACTTCTGGTTTTCCTTGAGCTCATAATTTTAATGAACTAAACATGCATTGGCCTCTGCTTATTACAGTGTTCTTTTCAGGGAATGATGGTGCTTGTCATGTGACTTGAAGTTAATATGAATGAATATCCAATCACATGGCTTCTCACTTGGCTGCATTAATGTCTATTATTTAGTATGCTTCAGTTATCATCTTTAAATGTGTTGATTTCACTATTTGTGGCTTCTGTTTATAGCCAAAAGATATGTTGTCTAAGTCCGTTGGAAGTTTCTTGTGGTACAATAGAAAGTTCTGGATTTGTGACTGGAATTTCTAGAAACCAAAATGGTGAAAGTCAAACATAGGACCAAAAATCTCCATTGTCATTATGGATTAAATATGTTGTAGCTGTTATAATACAGGATCTATGTAAGACAGCCAGAGAATCTGGGAGCATTGAAATATGCTTTGTAGGGAGGGCTCGGGGGCTCATGCCTGTAATCCCAGATCTTTGGAAGGCTGAGGTGGGTAGATCATGAGGGTAGGAGTTCAAGACCAGCCTGTCCAAGATGGTGAAACCTCATCTCTACTAAAAATACAAAAAATTAGCTGAGTGTAGTGGCAGCACCTCTAATCCCAGCTACTCTGGAGACTGAGGCAGGAGAATCACTTGAACCCAGGAGGCAGAGGTTGCAGTGAGCCGAGATAGCACCACTGTACTCCAGCCTGGGGGACAGAGCAAGACTCCATCTCGGGGGAAAAAATAAATAAATGAAACACCATGTCTAATTAGTAAATTCAGTTTCCACTGGTACCTGGGATTATTGTTTCTCTAAAACCAAACATCTACCTCTTCCACCACCAAAAAAAACAGAAGTCTCAGAGGGATCACCTTAGGTATCCAGAACTAGCAAATACTTTGAGATAGAAAAAAGATGCAAGTGATTTTTGGCAGACCTAAATATGTGAACTAGTTCAACTTCAGACCACCTGCAGAGAACACACCTGAGTCTGTCTTCAAAGTATACTATAAATATATGTTTAATTAAAGTAGTGATGCCATTGGTGCTGTTCGTTTTTCTTAGAACGTGAATTCTTAAGAACTTTGGCTGTCCTCTTGAAAAAGCAATGAACATTGGCTATATTACACAAAAACTTAATATTTTTTGTTTAAGTATAACATTTTAGTGAAGCTAATTGCAAAAATAATTGGAATGCTTTTCTTTAGTAAATAGGTATCATAAACTTTAACAGAACAAAAGCACCGTGGTTTTAAAAAAACAAATGAAATCAGCAGAAAATGCTTTTAGGGTATTTTCTCCAGTAAATAGCAGAGTGACAAAAAGCCTATTATTTTCTTAGAAGAGTTTGTTGAAGCTTTTTTTGTTGTTTTTCAGAAAAATTACGGCTGTTTCTAGCTTTAATGTTTTCTTTTTGTTGTTCCTGTTGTAATTAAAATTCACTGATGAGTTTGGCTCGGATTTTTTTTTTTTCCTCCTTAGGCCGTCGACATTTTCATGCATCTCAGTGCCCTAGGCCCACAAGTCCTGTGTCTACAGACAGCAACATGAGTGCCGCTGTAATGCAGAAAACCAGACCAGCCAAGAAACAAAAACACCAGCCAGGACATCTGCGCAGAGAAGCCTACACAGATGGTAAGTCCGTTGACACGGATGAAAACATCTATGAATCTCGCCTGTTTACCCTGCTTCCCTAGGACTAGAAATTGCGTTCACTGACGTTAGAAATTACATTAAAAATTTATTAACAATCAGCTTCGTATTACTTATGGAAGTGATCTACTTACAGAGTCTGTCAAGCAGCTCTTGCAGTTTTCTGATAAGCTTGTTATTTAAAAAACAAAACCATTTGTAGATCTTTTGTATTTTGGAAAGTTATTTTATACTTTCAAAACAATGGACATCACTGTAGTTGATGTTGATAGTTGAAGTAGTGGCATAGGTTGACCCTTTGTTAGATTTACTGATAAATTCTCCAAAGTGCCTTCATTTTTTTATTTTACAATTTTGCATTCAAATAGAAGACAATAAATGTGTTTGAATATTAATTCTAATGCTAGTGGTGTTACAATCAGTTATTTTGGACACTGTTATATGAATCAAATCATGTTTCTTCATGCCTTCACATACAATATCAACTCTCACTGAAGAGGTAACGTTCATATTCTCCAGGGAGCGCAGGAGGAAAATGCAAACATCGTGATGTTGTCTCAAGAAAACCTTTAATGAAAGCGCCTCAGGTGGCCCAGCATTTATTAAACCACCACCTTCTCATTTTACAAAACAACCCCACAGGCTTTGTTGGAAATTCATGTAAGATAAATTCTCTCAGACTCACTGCTTTTTTCAAGTTTGCTAAATTTGCTAAAGGGGTGGAGAAAGAAGGGCGTTAGAGGCACAGTTCCCCCGCCTCCTGGTCCTCTGCAACAGAATCTGATTAGGACTTTCATTACCAGTCAGCAATTTTTCAAAAAGGGCATCATTTGCCATTATCATATGAAAGCCTAATATTATAGATCCTTATCACAGGTTGCAAGGAAGGTTTTCTGAGGTACTTCTCCATATGATTCCTACCACTTGACAGAAGAATTTAATACAACGCTCACAGCATGATGAGCACAAGTAATTTTGCAATGAGTGGCTGTCCATGCTATTATCTGTACTTTATTCTGAGTATTTTCTCTCACTAGCATCTATCTGATATTAGACTACATTAAATACTGGCGTGACACAGCGCACCTGGGCCTCCTGGCTTCTGCCCAGGACTCTTTTGTCAGTGAAACTGAGCTGTCAGAATATTATCTGATTTTGAAGGGTTATTACGGTGGCTTTTTGCATGTCTGCCTCTGTGAAGGGACAAACACTAGGTATAAATCCCCCAACTCTACCAGCAATTTTACATTTATGGGACAACTGTAATGGCATTTTTCAAGTTTTATGGCTGTTTTATCAAATTTTATTATCTAGAAGAGAGTGCTCCTCACTGAAAAACTGACCAAACGTCAAGCCTGGATGTAAACACATCTAAATTGAATACAAAGGAGAGAAAATCTGGCCTACATCCTTGTGTAGATCTTTCTACCACTTATTTATACTTGTTCAAAGGGGAATCTGGCACTGAGTGATGCTTTTTAGAAATGTTTTAAATAATGTAAGCATGCCAAGTTAAAGAATATTGTATCACAGTTACAAATTACACTCTGCTTGGAAATTGTCTATATTTATTGTCCCATGCTCGTAGTGCTTATTTCAGTGTTAATAATTAAATATAATTCTAACTAATCCCTGAATAATAACTATTAAATTGCATGATGATGCATCCAAGTTATTAAATGAATTTCAGAAATACCAAAGAAATATATTGCAATATTTGTAAAGACAAAGTTAATCTGAAATGTTTATTTAGATTTCTAATTGCTCATTTCACAAAAGTGATTATGCAGAATTATCGTAGTGCATACTGCAATATAAAAGCCAGTAATTATTTTCTCTAAGTCACAAAAATAGATAAAATGGAGAAATGTCTAAAGCTAATTTTATATTACAATATTCACTTTGTTTCAATACTTTGATAACTGTATTTCAAGTTATGTTTACTGTACAAATGAGTCTTGAATTTTATGCTGTATGTTTACTGTTTAGTAAAAAAAAAATAAATAAATAACAATGCTGTGTGTTATTATACACATATCCCATAATGTATATTGATTAATTAAAATCATGTAATGCAGTTACTACTTAATGCACTAAATAAATGCACACACTCTTGATGGCAGTGGTTATGACACAGAGACAAAGGCATTTTCTCAGAAATTATTTTCCCAAATTACTACGCTGCATATTTGGGGAAAAAAATTCATAGACCAATTCATGAAGCAGCTCAATGGCAGACACAATACGTACGATTTATTAAAAAAGAGAAGGAAGAGGAAGAAAGAATTTAAAGAACTACCCGTTGTTTAAATGTGAATTGGACATATTAGTAGGACATGGAGGATTTTGTGTTTTTTTTTTTCTTTTTAGTGGGTAAAATGTATGGACTATAGTGGATGAGTTTGGTTATTGTCAATAGATTTATGTGAACTATGTTCAGAATATGGTTTATCAGTATTCAGTTAGTACCAACTTTACTTTGTAAATTTTTTTCGGATTATTACATTCCTTTGTAGAATCTTTGAAAACTATGCAAAGGATAAAGAGCGGCTATGTCTGAACTGACAAAGAGTAATTTGTGATGCTCCTTCTCAGTTAATCCTTTTATTAGTTTGCTATGGCCAAACTATGTACCGCAGACTAGGTGGCCTAAACAACAGAAATTTATTTCTTCACAGTCCTGGAAGCTAGAAGTTCAAGATCAAGGTGTGAGCAGGATTGGTTTCTCTGTGGCTGGGAGATGGTCATCTTCTCCCTGTGTCTTCACCTGATCTTTCCCTAGTGTATGTGTGTGTCCTAATCTCCTCTTGTAATGACACCAGTTATATGGATTTGGACCTACCCTAGTGACTTCATTTTAACTTCATTACCTCTTTAAAAACTCCAAATACAGTCACATTTTGAGGTACTGGGGATTAGAACTTCAAAATTTGAATTTTGAGGGGCACAATTCAGCCCGTAACAATGGACCAGCTCGTAAGACCTGGCATTGTGGCCAAACCTTGCTCTGTGGTCAAATCCAAGGTCTCATAAGCACGCATGGAGAACTCGATGCAAAGGGGAATACTCATGCTACAGTAATATGAACAAGTGGTAGCTAATTATTTATTTATTTCATATTTGCCTTTTACAAGTTTAACCCAGATAAAGGGTAGGATTAGGATATATGAATATTTATTAGCTAGAGTCTTATGGAGTAAAAGCCAGGCATAAGTGCATTTCTAGGACCTTCTAATAGATTCTTTCCACTTCCTCTCTCCAACCTTTCCAATGCATTTACATAGTTGATTTAAAAACCAAATCTACATTATTTCTCCAGCCCTACTTTTCATAAATTATAAATTCACCACCCACTTTGGAATGATGTTATTTTGACTTGATTTATCATTAATTACAAGGTCTCAGGACTTAAAGCAGTTAAGTAAATAGAGTGCTGGATGTCTATAGCAAGTTAATGTTGGCAGAATTGTCTGAATGAATATATTTTTATATGTTACTTTACATGCATTATGCTGTTATTTGGAAAGCCTTGTATAAAGAATGAGTGCTTATATGATTACATAAAGTCTACACACACACACACACACACACACACACACAAAACAAGTCTACAATCCCATTTGTTAAATATAATTTGTACTATTCATTGTACAAATTAGGTGAAAGAACTATTTATCACTATGTGAAATACAGAATTGTTTATACTGTAATAATCCCTGGTCTCATAAGCAGGGATATTTTATAATATCCCTGCTTGGTGATGTTTTATAATACCTAAGAAAGAATTTATTTGGCAATCTGTTTATATAGGAAATCAAACCTGTCAACATTTCCCTCTAATTGTCAATTAGATACAATGACAAATATATACAGGAAGTTAGAATTCTTTAAATTACCATCAGGTTCCCTTCCCTTTTTAGCTTCTGTTATAAATAACACCTATCTAGAACATCTAGTCATAGATTTTTGTCTCATGAGTCATATATTCCCAAGGCTTTGTATGATCTTATGATAGTGGTAGTCATCAGCTTTGATATCTTAAAGGCCCAGACATTTTATGATTTGATAATAGTGGCAGTCATTGGCTTCCTGATAACCCGTGTTTGCAATCTAATTTAAGTTTATAGCAAGCAGACAGTGCAGAAATGAGCCTGCAGCCACTCAGTCTCTCTGCTTCCTGGTGTGTTCTGAATTAGACTTTTCTCCCCTTGTTGCTAATCCCAGGCTCAGTCTGAACTTAAAATCATTCTGCCTTGGGCCTCTTGGCTTTAGGCTACTTGGCACAGTCTGCTTTTTAACTCTCTGTTTTTGGTTATCTTTAACAATAAGTAGGATATGCGGGAGGGCAGATCATGGTACTTTTATGTATTATTCTTGAAAAATCTATTGAAGTAGTAGACAAAGGAGGAAAAACACACACTAGTGACAATTTCAATCTATGTTGCAAGACAAAAACTTGATTTTGTAAAATCAGAGGGAAAACAAGTGCTTTTGCTATAATTGGCTACCATTTTAGCTAAAATGTTGAAGCTATTTATGTAATACTGGAACATGGTAAGCCATGAAAATCACTAACGAAAAAATGCAAGGGAAAGTTTGATCACTTTTTATAATCATTCTTAGATAAAACATCTGGTAGGTACTAAGATGGCAACTCAGACTTTCTGTTTTCAAAACTAATACAGTGAATTCCGACACCTTAGCTTTAGCGTATAATGGCAAAAGAAAATAAGTTTCAAAAAAATGTATACCTATTTAGGGAACAAAAAAAGCTTCATTCATTTTTAAAAACATGTAAATATGAGAAATACTAGGTTAAAACTGATGCTGCTTTGGGCCATTAATTTGCTATTGTAATAAGAATCTTCAAAACACAATTGTAATATTTATCAGTTTCTCATGCTGGTACATGTAAATGATAGTCAATGGCCCAATGTCAGTAATAATAAAATATCTGGAAACAGCCTAAATATTTCTCTGTAGAGATTGGCTAAAACATAATGATGTTGTCATAGAATAGAACATTAGGCAAACATTCCCAAAAAAAGCAAAGCCCTATGTGCACATATGGAAGTTTATACAACTACCTGGTTAGGTGAAAAAAGCAATCCCATTCATGTTGGTAAAGAAGGAAGGCTGTCTCTTTGTGCGTGGCCCTTTTGAGCAGGTCACCACATGTGAACAGGCAGACAGGCACTCTGCATCATCCCAGGCGTGGCCATTTCATATAGTCCTTGATGTGAATGGTGCTCCCTGCAGTTATGAGACTTGGCAGCCCTGCTTTATAAATAACTTCAGGAATGACCTATAGAAATCTATTCAAGCCAGTTACCTCTGCATAGTCAATACTGGGGATTTGAAATGGAGGTGGGGAGGTACAAGAGGTTGTTCTTTCACATTTAAACTCTTACTGAATTTTTTACCATGTAAATTTCTGTTTTTTACTTTAACACCTTAAGACTAATTTTATAATACTGTGTGTAATAGATGTTTTATGAATGTGTTTTAGTTGATTTATTCTAGACATTACTCTGTAAATTTGAAAACGTTAACATTTCTAAAGACATAACTTAAAAACGTAGCTATGCTGCTAATTCCAAAATCTCTGTATCTCTAGTTTTGCTCTCTCTTGAAATTCAGATTTTATTTACAAGTACCTGTTGTACTTTTCTATTTTGATACTCCAAAGGCTCCTCCTGTTCACTTTTAAAAAACTGAACTCATATTCTTCCTTCACAAATTTCTCTTTCTTTTTGCTGCATTCTATACCTTCAATGATGTTCTTCTCTTTCACCTAGCCAACTATGACAAAAATCCTAAAAATCACCTTAGTTATCTTAGATTTTCTTAGTATCTAAGATGTATCTAAGAAAAATATCTTAGTATCTAAGATGTAGCTAAGAAAAAATAAATTATATAAATTATATATAACATATATTACTTAATATGTAACTACAACTAGAAATAATTTTATGTGTGTGTGTATGTATGTATGTAAATGAAATTTTAGTAAGATGACTCTTAGATACATCCTACTAAGATGACTCTTAGTTATCTTGGATTCTTTCCTCCCCCCAATCCTGTACTGTATTTCATTGATCCTGAAATAATATTGATTTTTCTCCCTTAATCTCAAACACATCTTTTCCTCTCCATCTGAACAGCCACCAATACTGTATTATCACCTATCATTAATTATGTGAGCTTTTATAATAATCTCTTGACCTCCTGAATTGAAGCTTTTCTTTTTAATACATTCCCCATACTAGAGCCAGAATAACCTAAACTTAGTATCTATTCATATCCTTCTACTAACTTATCAAATATTATTAGAATATATATTTCTTTTCTCCCCAGAGTATACATGGGAATGATTTTTAAAGATAGCACTAATTAAAAGTTTTTTTTCTAGATACCAAATTTTATGCCTACTTTCATCCTTAAGTATATCTATGATAGGCTAAATTGAATTACAGGCTGGGTATGGTGGCTCATGGCTGTAATCCTAGCACTTTAGGAGATGCAAGTGGGTGGATGGCCTGAGCACAGGAGTTCGAGATCAGCCTGGGCAACGTGGTGAAACCTTGTCTCTACAAAAAATGCCAAAATTAATCAGATGCGGTGGTGTGTGCCTGTAGTCCCAGTTACTCAGGAGGGTGAGGTGGGAGGATCTCTTGACCCTGAAAGACAGGCTGCAGTAGCCAATATCACACCCCTGCACTCCAGCCTAGGCAACAAAGCGAGACTCTGTCTCAAACAAAAAATGTAAGAAACTAAATTATATGTTATATTTAATATGCATTACTTAATATGTAACTACAACTAGAAATAGTTTTATGTATGTATATGTGTGTGTATGTATGTATGTATGTATGTATGTATATAGATGAAATTAACCTATATTTATACCAATGTAATATGGTTTAAAACCTCTGGGTACATAAACAGAATGGTGAGATTCCATCAACGAATAGTAGATTATAAACATGCAATTGAATGTAGTAATATAAAGAAAGCTGAAACATTGGTTAGTCCTGGTTCTGATCATATCTAGCTTTGGGATAGCACAGTAGCTTAAGGTCTACATGTTTGAGCTTCCTTACCTACAAAATGAGAAGAGATTTAGGCTAGATTAGAGATAGCAAATAGATCTCAACTCAAGTGCCAACCTCAGTCAATTTGAATTGATTGTCTGGAGGAGCAAAGGCATGCATCTGGCACTAGCAGTGTTATACTGAAATCAGTTAGGAAGCTCTACAATACTTGGGAGAGAGAAAGTTACAGTACATACACCCAGTGTTAGCTGTCGCAGGAGCAGACGTCAGTAAGTCCCAACTCGGTTATCCAATAGTTCTGTACTAGATAACAAGAGTACATTAAAATTGTTGGCCTTGGCCGGGTACAGTGGCTCATGCCTATAATTCCAAAACCTTAGGAGGCCAAAGTGGGCAGATCACTTGAGTCCAGGAGTTTGAGATCAGTCAGAGCAACATGGCAAAACCCCATCTCTAGAAAAAATAGAAAAATTAGCCAGGTGTGGTGATGCACGCCTGTAGTCCTAGCTACTCAGGAGGCTGAGGTGGGAGGATAGCTTGCAGCCAGGAGGTCGAGGCTGCAGTGAGCTGGGACTGCACAACTGCACTGTAGTCTGAATGACACAGTAAGAACCCGCTCAGAATAAATACGTAAATAAAAAGTGGGTGTTTTTCCTTGGTTACCTTCAAATATTCTAGTTTGTTTAAAATATAGTATCTCACAGGTGAATGTGACTGCAATGATAATACAAATGTTTGATGACTTCATAAGTAGTAGACTTTACAGCAGTATTTTTAACATTTCTTTTTAGATCTTCCACCTCCTCCTGTGCCACCACCTGCTATAAAGTCACCCACTGTCCCATCCAAGACACAGCTGGAAGTACGACCTGTAGTGGTGCCAAAACTCCCTTCTATAGATGCAAGAACAGACAGATCATCAGATAGAAAAGGAAGCAATTACAAGGGGAGAGAAGTATTGGATGGAAGACAAGTTGTTGACCTGCGAACAAATCCAGGTGATCCCAGAGAAGCACAGGAACAACAAAATGACGGGAAAGGACGTGGAAACAAGGCAGCAAAACGAGACCTTCCACCAGCAAAGACTCATCTCATCCAAGGTACTCATTCAGTAAAGCAGCAAATGAGTACAGATTGAGTGTGTTTGCAAGGCATAGAGTTAGGCTCTATATGGCCACATTAAAAGGGGTAAGATTAAGAAATTTGCTCTCTGATCGAGGACATAGGTATGTACTCGAATAATTTTAATATAATTCACTTTAGTGCACGACTTTATACAAGTTCTCCCTGGAGAGGTGACAACTGAGTTAGATTTTAAAGGAAAGCAGGATTTCAACAGGTTAAAGAAGGAGAAGGGATATCCAGGAAATTAAACAGGTTGAGAAAATAACCTGATTGTGTGAAAATGAATGTTTGGTGAATGATGGTTTCCAGTTTGGCTGGAGAATTGAATATTTGGGGCCAGGGACCATCTATACATAAAAATACAAAAATTAGCTGGGCATGGTGGCACATGCTGTAGTCCTAGCTACTCGGGAGGCTGTGGGAGGATGGCTTACACCCGGTAGGTTGAGACTGCAGTCAGCTGAGATCGCACGACTGGCCTGCCTGAGTGAAAAATAAAACTAGATAAATGGTTAGGCCAAGTTACGAACGCCAGGGATACTACTCTGAGGGCTTTGAGATTTATGACAAGGGCAACTGTGCGCCAACAAGGAATTTTGAGTGAGAAATGACGTAATCAGATACGTGTTTTAGAAAAACAACTGGCACTGCTATATAATGGAGGAAGAAACAGTAGATGAAGGTATCTGAAACATTACAGTAACACTCTAAGTATAAAACACGAAAGCACTGAGTTAAAATAGTCCAAAAGAACAGGAGGGATCAGCCTATGCAGGCACTTCAGGGAGAGGCCCAATAGAACCTCGTGGCTAATTGAATGTTGAAAGGTAAGTTGAAATAATAGAATAAACAAAAAAGTTTATTCACAGGTTGACCAGGTGGCTCCGAATGACCAGTGGAACATGATTGTATTAACCGTTGGGAAAATAAAATAAAATGTGAAACAGGGAAAATGTTAAATTTCATGGGGAATATTATTGCAGTTTTGAATGGATTAAAATCCTGACAAGAACACAGTTAGTAAATTTCACAATAAGAATTTAGAGAACTAGGTTTAAAGATTAGGAGAAAAGTTGTGAAGACAGAGTGGATTTAGAACCCACAACATTGACACAATAATTATGTGAATAACAAAGGCTGAATATCAGCAGAGATAATGCTGGTAACTATTTATCAATCAATCAGCTGTGCAGGAAAAAAACACAACCAAACCCTAATTTGTAGCCATTTGCTTGCCTCTGTTGTATGAATGCTCTCAAAGTTGCCAATTTCAAGTCACTGAAAGTGGAGGTGGGAAGAGAGGAATATAATCAGCTATTGTGAAATATTGAGGCTGCCCCAACACACCAATAGTCAAGGATGATTATACTTAGAGAATAGGCAGAAATCAACATCCTTTCAAGGAAGCAGATTGTCCGACCAGAGATTTAATAATCAAGATACCCAAGCTGTTGAAAATAGTATCCTATGAAGAATGGAGTGGGAAATTTTCAGACAGGAAGGCACATAAAATGCCACAGTGGTGAAAGTTGAATGTAAACCCAAGTGAAGGAAAAAGAGATCTGGCAATATGTTGTTTGTAGATCAGAATAAAAGCCAGACCCTAGGGGGTTGGAAAGTGAATGGAAATTTTGTAAGGGAGGTGATGAGCACAAGTAAGCTGTTTTTGGAAGTTCGGGATGAGGAGGAAAGATTGGGCTAGAGTTTGACAGAAAGGCCAAATCACTGGAAATGTTTTAGGATTGTGGATTTGAACATTATTTTAGACTAAAGAGAAAAAACCATTTAGGAGAAAGAAACACAGAAAAGGAATATTATTAGTTGAAGAATCAGGAAAGAGTGATAGGGGAATGAAACTTAAAAACCTGCGGGGCACTTAACTACTGTATTTGAATAGATATCTTGTGGGAAGGTCTGATATCAGTGTATTGTTTATTTATTATGGACATCTGGTCATTAGCTAACTTCTTTTCAGCATGGAGGGTAATTTCTCTTTGTTCTGTGACTGCAGCCTGAACTCCTAATCCAGGCATAGACTCAGAAGCGAGGTGGTAAATAAAGCTGTGCATTTCAGACTGATGCCTCTATTGTGGGGCCACAAAGTCCTTGGTAATATCAGCATGATCCAAAGCTTGAAAAATTTACTAACTTATTTTTCTAAGTTAACCCAAAGTTGACCTGGCTCTGAACTTTTGACTCAGTGTGACTGGACTCCAAATGGTGATTCATAAATAGAATGTGAGGATGTAAATTCTGAAGTTTATTTCTGGCCAGAGAGTATGGAGTAATTCCTGGCTATAGGTAGGCTTAATTAAAAGTTGGTTGGGCATGATGGCTCACGCCTGTAATCCCAGTAGTTTGAGAGGCTGAGGCTGGTAGATCACTAGATCAGGAGTTGGAGACCAGCCTGGCCAACATAGTGAAACCCCATCTCTACTAAAAATAAAAAAAATTAGCTGGGCATGGTGGTGTGCACCTGTAATCCTAGCTACTCAGGAGGCTGAGGCAGGAGAATTGCTTGAGCCGAGGCAGAGGTTGCAGTAGGCTGAGATTGTGCCATCGCGCTCCAGCCTGGGTGACAGAGCAAGACTCCATCTTGGAATGAATGAATAAATAAATGAATAAATAAATATAACCGAAAAGAAAATTAGGAAGGATTCTTCTTCAGGAGGAAATTTTACAAACCTGGAAAGATATTGTTGTATGTAGATTTAAAACAAAGAGATCATTTTTTTAAAAATCAATCTTCAGAAATTTAGTAAGTTGTCCTTTATGCTATAAAATTATTTTCTAACAAAAGAACTAAGACTGGACCATTAGTCTAGAAACAAGTAACCCATGGAATCATGGAAATCACCGAGGTGCACTGACCAGTTATTCTTTTATATGCTCTGCTTTTCCAAATTCTTATTTGAATCATAACCCTGTATATATAGGCCATTAAATGATCATTTCTATGCATTGCTATAATTTTCACCTTCATAATTCAGTTTACATTGTTTATAGTGAAAGAGGCAACCTGATTTATATGTATAATGAAAGATTATTTTTAATTAAGGAGAGTGGTCTTTTGGACTTGAACGTCTGATCATTTTGCTGACATTTGCCTCCATTAGTTCAATTTATTTCTACATATATCAAACAACAACTGTGTTATTAAGCATTGTACTAAATCCTGAGATTTATGTATAAGCATGAACCTTGACCTCAAGAGGCTTATAGTCAGACAGAGAGGGACAGATAATCTATAAATTCACAAATATTTTTGTATTCAGTATAACCTTCATAATGCCATGATACTTGAGAGTCCAGAAGATAGAGAATTAATCCAGGAATGTGAGATATAAAATGTTAGGAGTTAGGAAAGATCTTTCCTGGCAGAAATGACATATAAACTGAGTGTTTCAGGATGAGTGGAATTTAGCTTGCATAAGAAAAGAGAATGTATTTAGGTGGATAAATCAGCATAAAAAGCTTGAAGGTCTATTGAGGAAACTGTAAGAAATTCAGTACTACCACGTAATAAAAGTGGTCAAAATTGAAGCTCTTGAGGCTTAAGTCATAAAGATCCTATAGATTTTCTAAGAGAAAAGTAGCTGAGTAAAGACGGTTTAGAGGGGAATAGCTCAAGGGTGTTTGAAGATGTGTGCGACCCCCAGACAAGAAATGTAGAAAACATAAACCATGCTATAGGAGCAAGGGTGGGTGACTGGGATAATTCAAGAAAGCTTTTAGAGTCAAAATCGACCTTCCTTGTTATATGTTGGACCGTGTGGAAAGGATACACTTAAGGGTTATGGAAAGGTTGTTGAAAGGGAAGAATCTGTAATCATTTCAATTTTCTGTCTTATATATCTTAATGATTAGTGATGTCATTCACTGTCTTAGAGAATATAGCAAAGGAAGACATCTAAGGGAGTGAGCATTGTGAGATGAGTACTCAGGAGGTTGGATTTGAAGAACGTGCAAGAGCAGGTGTTCAGTTGGGCTGCCTATAGGAGCTGAAGGTTTGGGGCATAGTTTAGGAATTAAAAATATAAATTAATGATTCTGCATAATGAAAATAATGGAAAACAATGTATTAATGGCCTTTTATAGGTCAAGGTGAAAGTATAGCAGCACACAAAGCAGACAAAAATACCTGCCTTTATGACAGTTATATTTTAGAAAAGGTTATTATCTGTGAAACTGGTTAAATAACCTAAGGGTAGTAGAAGAAAAAAAATATTTATAGCATTAAGCCATTTTTGAATTTCTATAATTGAGAGTGGGTAATTTATTAAAAAAGAGAGAGAGAGATTTAATTGGCTAACTGTTCTGCAGCCTTTATAGGAAACATGCTGTTGCCATCTGCTGAGCTTCTAGGGAGACCTCAGGAAGCTTACAATCATTGTGGAAGGTGAATGGGGAGTAGACACGTGACATGGTGAAAGCAGGAGTGAGAGAAAGAGTGGGGTGGAGGTGCCACATACTTTTAAACCATAAGATATTGTGTGAACTCAGAGCAAGAGCTCACCTATGGTCAAGGGGATGGCCCAAGTGATCCATGAGAGATCAGCTCCCATGATCCAAACACCTCCCACCTGACTCCACCTCCAACACTGGGGATCACAATTCAATATGGGATATCCAGACTATATCATATATACATACTATATCATATATACATATATATACACACACACACACACACATACACATCTATGTATATATATATAATAGAACTTTCATATGTATAATACATATACATATGAGTGATATACATTAGACTGAAAATAGAAACCTGTAGAGCGTCAACATATCGGAGGTAGTTCATAAAGAGAGCCCACAGAAGATTGACCAGGGAGGAAGGAGAACTAGCAGCAGAGAGAATAATAATGTTTGCATTGATTAAGAGCAGTAAGAAGCCCAGGCACATAAGGCTGGAAACACGGTTAGCATTATGAATTTTCTCAGTTTCATAGTAGTGATGTGGGTATAAATAGATTGCAGTGAGATGCAGCATGAATGAATTGTGACTATCAATATTGAATCCAGATTGCTTTTCAAGAAGCTTGGCTGAGTGGTGAGGAAAGAAAGAAGGTGTTGATTTCTTGAAGAGCACAGCCTTGAGGGTAAAATTTTTAGCAAGAAAGAGATTTTATCATACTGTAGTTTGAAAAAACTAAAGTCAGTAGAGAGAAAGCAGTTGATGAAACAGAGACAGAAGATGACGATCACACAATACCAAGTGCTGTGAAGAGAAGCTACAGAAATGGTCATCCTCAGGGACTGTAAAACTCCTATGAACCAGAACTGTTGGTTAGGGGTGAAAGTTGTGATAAGTAGAATGGAAAGGACAAGATGCTATCAAGGACCGTACCGGTTTCAAAAGACGATGACTTGCTCTCAGAGGTGGAGATGTTTTTGTGCAAGGATAGAGGAGCAATGATTTAGAACTGGTGATAGTGAGCTAGAGGCAAGCCTTCCTCCTTACCCTTCCGCTGCAGAGAACATCAGGGTAACTTCAGGGGAAGTCAGGCTTCATTCAGGCAATGTGAATAGCAGAAGCAGCATTTGGAAGGGGTAGGGAAAAGTATGTCAAAGAGTTAGGTATTTATGTGTTTGTCGTCCAAAAGGCAGAGTCTTAAGACTTCAGAGAGAAGTAACCTGCTGGATGATCCATCAGTAGAAGTCACACCAAATTTCAAGCAGTAAGGAGATAGAAATTCAGGAGAAAGAAGTTAATTGGGGTGGCTTGCTTATTGAAGTTAGCAACAATAGCAGGCTTCTAAGATTCAGAGTTCAGCAATGTAAATAGGACATTGACATGAAGGTTGATATTTTGATGTCTCTGGCGTGAACCTAGGCTTAGCTCTGTTTGGTATTTCTAGGAGACTGGGCTTGATTTTTATCAATTCCTTATAATAACATTTTATAAATTACATAGATATCTGTTTTCATATAAACACTAGGAAACACTCTGAGTATAGATATTATCACTTTTTTGGAAAAGTAGAAACTAAAGCCTAAAATAATCTGAGATCATATAGTGAATTATAGAATTGGAAGCCAAGTCTGACTCCAGGTTTGGTTTACCTCTTTTAATGATACTGGTCTCAATGAGTTTGAGATGGACAAGAGCTTATGAGCAGAGAATCAATCCAAATCCCCGACTACTTATAGGAAAACAACAAGGCTTATACTTTTCATTTTCAAGACAATATGCTGCATTATTCATTATGCTTATAGAGTGTCCTCATTTATACCTCAAATCACTGATGCTTCCTTATTCAGAATTACAGATAGACAGGAGTGATACAATATACAGTAAAAGTGTATGATGGTGTTCACCTGCATTTATTATATTTCATTACACAGAGGATATTCTACCTTATTGTAGACCTACTTTTCCAACGTCAAATAATCCCAGAGATCCCAGTTCTTCAAGCTCAATGTCATCAAGAGGATCAGGAAGCCGACAAAGAGAACAAGCAAATGTAGGTCGAAGAAATATTGCAGAAATGCAGGTACTTGGAGGATATGAAAGAGGAGAAGATAATAATGAAGAATTAGAGGTATCTGTCATTTTTTTCTCAAGTTTACTAATGTTAGACTGTAGCTGTTTTACTAGCCTCAAAGTTAGAAACCTTCAGCAGTGTATAGGAATGTTACTATTTTATCACAAACTTTTCAGTGCTCTAATGTCTGTGAAGCAGAAACTGAAGTTCCAAGAACTTGACAATTTTCTTGAAATGTGTTCCAAAGATTTAAACGTTAATTGCATTTTATTTGTTTATCTAGGGTTTATGTTCATTTGCAGATTTTCAGATAAGAAATATATATAGCAAATACATTGTTAAGAAATAAGAGCTATTGATCTAGAGATATTATAACTCACAGCATTGTAGCAGGCTATTAAAACCCAGTAAGATGGCAGAGTTATATGATGTGAGTGAGCATGTTGCCGTAGTCATCAACAGGGTAATGTGACTGGTTTGGCTAACTGTCCTTCACCTTTACACTTCTAAAAATGTATGCCTAGTCTGTAACACTGACCTTCCCAGTTGGAGGAAATTTCTTAAGTCTTAAATTTCTTGTTAGGCTTGACAGACAGCTATACAAAATAGAGTTGGCAGTAAGCCGTATCATATTTATAAATTCTCCCCCTATTCAAAGATTGGATTTTCTCAATTTAATAAAAGATAAGTTGAGGACAATTTTTAATAAATATATTTGATCTTATTAAATAATATATTTAATCTTTTAAAATATATTTAATAAGTACGTGTCAAGTGATAACTTTTTATAATAGAAGCTGAAAACTCGTAAGCTGCTATGTCTGATAAAGTTCTATAAAGCTCAATGCATTTTGATTTTGAGGTTTGGAACAAGAAACACTTTCGCCCTGCAAACAGTTAGAAAAGTTGTTTTTCACGTTTTAGTTTATTTTAAAATAGAAAAAGCCTTTTAGGGGAACAAAATGTCATTACTGTTAACTCCAGTATTTAAAACCAACAAAAGCAGAGCTATAATGTTGACTATAGCTCAGTATAGCTCAACATTACATAATGTTACATTACAACATTACAGCTGAGGGAAGTACAGCTCAGGGCTGAGGGAAGTAGAGAACTCAACACAGCCTTCCTCTGTTCTCAGAGCCCTGTGTCCCACCACACAACACTGAGGCACTAAGCAGAACCCAGTTTGGTATTTATTGAATTTTCTGTGAAGACCAACTAAAGTTGATGAGTGAATTAGTTGACATGAGTACTTTCCAACATTGGCCAGTGAATAAATGAAAAAACATATTAAATTCTAATAGTAATAAATACATATAAACAAATATAAGACAATCCTCTTAAGATTTATTTTCAAATGTGACAATAACATGTCTCTTACAGGAAACTGAAAGCTGAAGACAACCAAGAGGCCTATGAAATTGAATGTGAAAATTATCACTCAAGATGCCTCCTGTCTGATGACACATGACGCCAGATAAAATGTTCAGTGCAATCAGAGTGTACAAATTGTCGTTTTTATTCCTCTTATTGGGGTATCATTTTAAAACTTTATTGGGTTTTTATTGTTGTTGTTTGATCTCTAACCCTACAAAGAGCCTTCCTATTCCCCTCGCTGTTGGAGCAAATTGTTACACTTTACTTCCAGCAAGGAAAGTGCTTTGACTTCTTGCTTCCCTCATCAGCCAGCAGGAGAGAACAAAACTGTGCTTTTGCATTTTGCCCCTGAGATATGGCATTGCACTGCTTATATGCGAAGCTAATTTATAGCAAGATATTGATCAAAGATATAAAGTTGATATTCAACCTCATGCCAAGGGCTCTCAAAGTGTAATCTTTCCATAGCCAACTGCTAATGCAAATTAAAACATATTTCATTTTAACATGATTTTAAAATCAGTTTTTCATACTACCCTTTGCTGGAAGAAACTAAAAATACAGCAAATGCAGAACCACAAGTAATTTGAATGGGGTAGAAACATTGTAAATATATACTCTTTGCAAACCCTGGTGGTATTTTATTTTGTCTTCATTTCAATCATTGAAGTATATTCTTACTGGAAATGTACTTTTGGATAAGTAGGGCTAAGCCAGTTGGATCTCTGGTTGTCTAGTCATTGTCATAAGTAAACCTAGCAAAACCTTGTTCTATTTTTCAATCAAAAAGCAACTATAAATGCGTATTATGAACAAGTGGATGTTTTTAATGACCAATTGAGTAAGAACATCCTTGTCTTAACTGGCCTAAATTTCTTCCGGTAGTGTCAGTTCAACTTTCAGAAGTGCCACTTAAGGAAGTTTGATTTTTGTTTTTGTAATGCACTGTTTTTAATCTTTCTCTCTCTCTCTCTCTTTTTTTTTTTTTTTTTTGGTTTTAAAAGCACAATCACTAAACTTTATTTGTAAACCATTGTAACTATTAACCTTTTTTGTCTTATTGAAAAAAAAAGTTGTTGAGAAGCGTTTTTAACCTGTTTTGTTAATGCTCTATGTTTGTACTTGGAATATTTGAATGATGACAGATGGTGAAGTGACGTGCATACTTTATTGTGGGCCATGAACCAAATGGTTCTTACTTTTCCTGGACTTAAAGAAAAAAAGAGGTTTAGGTTTGTTGTGGCCAATATTGAAACTTACAAGATTTCCTTAAAATCTGCAATAGAGGCATTACTTGCTTTCAATTGCCAAATGATGCCCTCTGACTAGTAGATTTCTATGACAGTTTTTTGTCATTTTATAAATATCATTGATTTTATAATTGGTGCTATTTGAAGGAAAAAGAAAAGTACATTTACTCATAGATAGGTATCAGGTCTGACCCCACCGGAAAACAAAGCCAAACAAAGCTGAACCACAAAAAACAGGCTGGTGTTCACCAAAAACTAAACGTGTTCATTTAGATAATTTGAAAAAGTTCCATAGAAAGGGTGTGCAGTCCTAAGGGAACAATCCATGTGATTAATGTTTTCATTATGTTCATGTAAGAAGCCTCTTATTTTTAGCCATAATTTTGCATACTGAAAATCCAATAATCAGAAAAGTAATTTTGTCACATTATTTATTAAAAATGTTCTCAAATACATCTTTCTTTCTTGTGTTGATTTCTTTTTTCATTGTGTGCTGATCAAATTTATTCCATTTAATCACAAAATCGTTCTGTCTTAACATTTCACCCTTGTATTATCAGACGAGTGAAAATTCTCAATTAGTTTTATGAATAACCAGGCTTTACTATAAGCAAAAATTTTACCTAACTCCTCTGAAATTAAAAATGTAAGATCAGTCAAGACCTAGAAGTTAATAATTGGATCAGAGACTAAGTCTTTAATATTAAGGGTGTATTATTTTTGTGTATGTGTATCTGAATTTCAGCTAATCTATTTCTAAAATAATTGGGATTCAACTAGATAAATGTGACTTGTAAAGTCTGAGCCACCTACGTTCTGTCAGCAAGAAAATCATATAAATCCGAAATGCTTATCAGTAACTATCTGCTTTCTTGTTACAAATTCATGTAAAAAATTAACAATACCTATCATATAACTTTTTACACATTATTATAGTTAATGTATTCAGGTATTTAGCTTTAGATGAACAATATGGGCACCATGTCTTGGAATTCCAAGAGCAATAGAATCTAATGAAGATTTTTTTCCTTTCACATATATATTGCTCTTCTACCTAAATTTTGTGTTTATGAAAATTTGAGAATATGAGGCAAAACATTGAACAAAGGGGGTGTAATCTGAAATTTAATTCTATAAAAGTGAAGTAATCACCAGCATCTACTTAAAGATGATCAGGTCCACAGGTCAAGAAGTCAGTTTCCAAAAGCTACTTCAAGGAAAACTTAGAGGGACATATGTAATGACCTAATTTCTCTCTTTCCCTTGGTGAGTTGACTATAAATAAGTTAGTCTCTCTTTATTTATACTATGTGATAATACATACTGATTCTGTGTATCAGAGGACCTGATTTTGTCACAGCTGTGTTTCCTTGGACATGTTACTTAACCTCCAAGTCTCAGGTACTTCACCTGTAAATTCAGTAATACCTACCTCATGGACCTGTTGTCATGATTTAGTGCGTTAATGCGTATGATATGGACTCTGTAAACTCCATAAACAGTACAAAATTATTGTTATATTTATGGACTGAAATTCATTACACATGCAATCCCCGCTTTTCATACCTAGTTTGTTTCTAAATATTTGCATGTAAATCGAAGAATAAGTGTGGTACAAGGATGAGGTTGGTTTCGTTTCCGGTGAGTAAAATTCACTGTGAAATTCCTAACTGTGGAATAAATTCTTGGCGTTTTTGTTTGTTTTGTTGCTCTTAATTCGAGGGCCACACAGTGGGTGGAGTTACGGTGTTTGCACACATATTTCATTATTGGCGGGTACAGACATGTCACTTGAGTTCTCAACAAATAAACTTAGTGTTTTTTTGGGCTGCTATTCTGCCTAGTGCTAGAAAATATCATCTTCATTCCAGATGAAGTCGATCATACTTGACTTTTTTATTATTTCATATATAGTCTGGATTTTCTTCTTTCCCTTTGCACGAGGTAACATCTGAATTTCAGAGGCTGTCCCCATGTGTAGAAAGTGTGGGTGGTCAGGAAGCAGGGGGCTTTTGGCATAACTGTTGTCCAAGTTTCCTTAAATGATGATCTTCATTTGTCATATGCTCTTCTCCCAACCTCAATGCTCCTTATTACCAATTGATCTTCCCTGCTATTTCTAAGTCCTTCAATATAGGGTGGGTGTGAGGAACAAGGAATGAGGGTTCCATATGCTCTTCTGTGCCATGCTGGGGCTCTAAGGACTTAGGACTTCCTCAGGGTCTCACAAGATACTACAATGGCCCCTAAACTGCCTGCTGCATTTGGACTGTGTGTTGTTTGAGGGAGTGGGTGAGAGCAACTTCTGCAGTTTTGAAGAAAGTAGTCTAATTATTTGCATTTTGGAGACAATCCTATTTATGTTAAAAATAGTTTGGTAGGCCAGTGCGGTGGCTAACGCCTGTAATCCCAATACTTTGGGAGGCCCAGGCAGGTGGATCATAAGGTCAGGAGTTCGAGACCAGTCTGGCCAACATAGTAAAACCCTGTCTTTACTGAAAACACAAAAAAATAGCCGGGTGTGGTGGTGTGTGTCTGTAATCCCAGCTACTCCAGAGGCTGAGGCAGGAGAATTGTGTGAACCTGGGAGGCGGAGGTGGCAGTGAGCCGAGATCGTGCCACTGCCCTCCAGCCTGGCAACAGTGCGAGACTCCATCTCAAAAAGAAAAATTGTTAGCTACTCTAACAACTCAAGGATAAGTTTCACTGTACTACAGCTGAAGTTGAAATGAATCTTATAGTCATCAGTGTCTCTCAATCACTTTCACCCAGGTCAAAATTTTCATTGCTTGCTGTTAAAAAACTTAAGTCTCAAAGAAACAGAGAGAGAGGATGTGTCAAACTTTTATTTACCTCATTAATAAGGTAAATAACAGAAAGACAAAGAGGAGTCAATGGTAGCTGTGGAAGAAACTTAAATGATTGCTGAGTTAGTAAACTTTCTTTTTCTTTTTCTTTTTTTTTTGAGAAGGATTCTCACTCTGTCGCCCAAGTTGAAATGCAATGACACCATCTCAGCTCACTGCAACCCCGACCTCCAGGGAGCGATTCTCCCTGCCTCAGCCTTGTGAGCAGCTGGGATTATAGGTACCAGGCACCATACCCGGCTAATTTTTGGTAGAGACAGGCTTTCGTCATGTTGACCAGGCTGGTCTCCAACTCCTGACCTCAGGCCATCTTCCCTCCTCAGCCTCCCAAAGTGCTGGAATTACAGGCGTGAGCCACCATGGCCGGTCAGGTTAATAAACTTTCTACAGGGCAATACGAACATAATAATCTTCACTAGGTAAGAGAATTGTAACAACCATCTTTTTCTATGGGTTAAACAACCCTAACCTTCAGGACCACAGGAAGTCTGAAGTCGGCCACCTTTATCATTTGCAAATTATCTGTCAAAAATGTACCTTGGTAATTTATGTTCACTCAGGAGAATCAGATAAAGGTCAAACAGTGACTTACTCTTGTTCATGTTTCCCCAGAAGCAGAGCCTGCCACAAAGACTTGGAGGCAAACAGTTTATTTGGGAGGTAATTCCAGGAAGTGGCAGTGGGAGAGGAATAAAAGTCAGGATAGATCCTTCAAAATAGGTGAAGATGCCTCTAACAGGGACCCTACGGCTCTTGCAGAAGCACGCAGCATGCCTAAGAGAACTTTTCATTTGAAGGACAATAGCCCCAAACAGTCAGTACCTGTTACCCATTAGCTGCATATTGCAAGAGGGGCAGGGGATTTCACTTGCCAGTACTAATGAGCAGACCAGGTAGAAATGGAAGCCCCTAAGGCAGAAAGAAGACATGCACCTGGCAAGGTAGTTGAGATGAGAAGATGCCAAGATGAGGTAAGTCTGAGCTCAAAGGGAGCTTTTGGCCATAGCAAACCTCCAAGGAATCTACTTCTGGCAGGATGATTGGAAAATGTTTTAGCATGGTAACAAAAAGCAAGGTATCGTTAATTTACTACTTTTCAGATATAAGAGAAATGTTCCTGCATAATGTACACATATGAAATTAGTTATAGGTGTTTTAATTACTTTCGCATTGATGGAATTTTTAACAGTTATCAATTTCTGGTACTATTGGTGTTACATTTAATTCATATTTAACATACTTTGAAATTTTTTACAATATCAGCATTGAAACAAAACAAAAGCAAAAAGCATGGAGAATTCACCAGTGAGATGTGAACTGAATCCTTAGAGGAATAACCACAGTTATGCATTTTTTGGCAAAGCAACAAGGTTTAAAGTACCACAGACAGTAAAATATCCCACAGTAATACAAGTTGTGCTTTCCAACACACACATGTATGCAAACACACATATACAATATTATTGAAGCCAGGTAAAATTATGAAATTCTTCAAAATAACATGAAAAAATTTGCCAGCAAAGTTGAGCATGGTGTAACCAGTTTGTGTTTTGAAAAATTATCATTGAAGCATTATATCAAATGAGACCTTATAGCAAATGATTGCTGAGTTAGTAAACTTTTTTTCTTTTTTTTTTTTTTGAGGCAGACTCTGACTCTGTTGCCCAGACTAGCATGCAATGGTGTGATCGCTGCAACCCCGCCTCCCAGGTTCAAGTGATTCTCCCTGCCTCAGCCTTCTGAGCAGCTGGGATTACAGGAGCCTGCCACCACACCTGGCTAATTGGTAGCATTTTACAGTGACTCATACAATGAAACCTTACATTAAAAAATACTTTGGCCTGGAATGATGGCACACACCTGTAATCCCAGCACTTTGGGAGGCTGAGGTAGACAAATCACCCGAGATCAGGAGTTTGAGACCAGCCTGGCCAACATGGTGAAAGCCAGTCTCTACTAAAAATACAAAGAAATTAGTGCAGTGTGGTGGTGCATGCCTGTAATCCCAACTACTCGGAAGGCCGAAGCAGGAGAATTGCTTGAACCCAGGAGGCAGAGGTTGCAGTGAGCCAAGATGGTGCCACTGCCCTCCAGCCTGGGCAACAGAGTAAGACTCCCTCTAAAAAAAAACAAAAAACAAACTTTAACATGTATACAATCCCGTTGCCTTAAATTGGGCTCATCATATTTACATAGATTGGGTACTGGTTAGGGACTGCATGTTTATGTCCGCCCTGAAATCATATGTTAAAATTCTAACACCCAGTGTGGAGTGTTAGGAGGTTGGGCCTTTGGGAGGTAATTAGGTTTTGATGGTGGAGCCTTCACGAATAGGATTAGTGCCCTTATGAAAATAAAAGACCCTAGAGAGCTCTTCTTCCTGCAATGAAATGAGGAAATGTCAGCAGTTCACAATCCAAAAGAGGGCTGTCACCAGAAGTCAGCTATGCTGGCACTTTGGTCTTAGACTCTCAGCTTCCAAAACTGTAGTAAATCAATTTCTCTTGTTTCCAAGCCACACTGTCTATGGTACTTTGTTACAGAAGCTTGAACTGCCTAAGACAGGCACTTTTTAAAATTCAAATCTTTGACATAATCACTAGCTCACATATGGGTTAATCTTCCCTCTTTCAGAAATTCTCCCTCTGTTTGGGAAAAGCTCTGAGCTCTTCAACTTTGAGTAAAATAGCTTTTAATGCCTCTGGCTCATGTTCCTTTTATAGCCTGCTCAGATTCAGAAATTAACAAAAATAATCTGGGCAAGTAGGGTTTCTTTCCCTGCTCTGTACCTCAGGGGTCTCCTATACTTCGGCCTACCTTCCTGGAAAGTTTTAAGTCCTCCTCTGGTGCCTGAGATGGGCCTGCAAAGGCAGCACCAACAGGACTAGGTGCTGGAGCCTGAAGGGGGACTAATGTAGGTCCAGGCCCCCTGCATATGGGATTGATATTTGAGGGGCTGCGGAATTCAGAATGAATACCTATGGGGTACTCCTGGGACCCTGTAGCTGGCCTTCTGGTTCCAGAAGACTGCAATCTATTGAGTTCTACTATGTGCTAGAAACTAAGATAAACCCTGGAAGTGCTCACAATGTAATGGGAGGCAGACTGTTTTAGTTTATTTTTACACTACTATGATGGAATACCTGAGGCTGGGTAATTTATAAAGGAAAGAGGTTTAATTGACTCACAGTTCTGCATGGCTGGGGAGGCCTTAGGAAACTTACAGTCATGGCAGAAGTGGAAGCAAACACATCCTTCTTCACTTGGTGGTAGGACTGAGAAGAAGGAGAATCCAGCGAAGGGGAAGCCCCTTATAAAACCAGCATATCTCATGAGAACGCACTCACTGTTGGGAGAATAGCATGAGTAGCATGAGGGTAACCACTCCCATGATTAATTTATCTCCCATCGAATCCCTCCCATGATGAGTGGGGATTATGGGAACTACAATTCAAGATAAGGTTTGTGTGGAGACACAGCCAAACCAGATCAAAGACATATATAACACTGTAAACTATGTAACAGAAGTATTTACACAGCAAATTGCTAGCTGATTGCTCACAATGGCAGACATTTCTTTCATAGGATAGAGTGAGGTTATGCTACCAGAATGGTACTGACATGACTGATTTGAGATGACTTAAATTATACACAGAGGCCCTGCAGAAGCATTTGCCCTCGCCTGGCAGCCAGGGAAGCTCTGAACATAGGGAGGGAGCATATTTTAAAACCAGTCTGGGCTGGGTGTGGTGGCTCGTGCCTGTAATCCTAGCACTTTGGAAGGCCAAGGCAGGCCGATCATGAGCTCAGGAGATCAAGACCATCCTGGC